ACTCTACCTTAAAAATTTGCTAAATTAACGGGCTGGAGGTGTGAACTCAGTTCACCTGCCTAACAAGTATAAATCTGAGTTCAGATCCCCAGTACTTCCTTTTTAAAAAAAAAAGGAGGGGCTGGGAAGGTGGCTCAGTGGTAGAGCAATTATCTTGCATGCATGAGGCCCTGGGTTTGATTCCTCAGCACCACATAAGCAAAAAGAAAAAATCTGGAAGTGGTGCTGTGGCTCAAGTGGTAGAGCGCTAGCCTTGAGCTGAAGAGCTGAGGGACAGCACCCAGACCCAGAGTTTAGGCCCCATGACCGGACCACCCCCCCCACCCCCCCCAAAAAAAGGAGATTTGTCTATGTTTCTTTTTTCTTTTCTTTTTTTCTTTTTTCTTTTGCCAGTCGTGGGGCCTGAATTCTGGGCCTGGGTGCTGTCCCTCAGCTCTTCAGCTCAAGGCTAGCGCTCTACCACTTGAGCCATCTTCCCAGCCCTTGTCTGTTTCTTTAATCAGACAGCCCCATAATCAGCTATTTTCCCAAGGATCCTGATTCCTTTTTGTAAAGAATATCAATCTGAATAATCTGATTCTGCTATTTTTACTCTAATTTAGAGTTTGAAGATAAATCTTTTTCTTACCCGGTCTGGCTTTGAACCGTGATCCTCAGATCTCAGCCTCCTGAGTAGCTAGGATTAAAGGTGAGAGCTCCTGGCTGAAGATAAATCTTTTTTTTTTTTGGGGGTCCGGTTGTGGGGCCTGAACTCTGGGCCTGGGCTCTGCCCCTCAACTCTCCAGCTCAAGGCTAGCGTTCTACCACTTGAGCCACAGTGCCACTTCCAGCTTTTTTCTTTTTGCTTATGTGGTGCTAAGGAATCGAACCCAGGGCCTCAGGCATGCAAGGCAAGCGCTCTACCACTGAGCCACCTTCCCAGCCCCTTGAAGATAATTCTTTTTTTTTTTTTTTTTTGTCGGTTGTGGGGCTTGAACTCTGGGTCTGGGCGCTGTCCCTCAGCTCTTCAGCTCAAGGCGAGTGCTCTACCACTTGAGCTACAGCGCCACTTCCGGTTTTCTGGTGGTTTATTGGAGATAGGAGTCTCATGGTCTCTCCTGCCCGGTCTGGCTTTGAACCGTGATCCTCAGATCTCAGCCTCCTGAGTAGCTAGGATTACAGGCGTGAGCCACCAGCGCCCGGCGAAGATAAATCTTAAGGTGGAGACTTGGCAGCTCTGTCTTGAGGTGCTCTTGTATTTATGCACTAGAACAAATGTAGTGATGTCCCTGGGTCACTGCGTGTTGGTGTTCTAAAGTGCAAAGAAGAAAACATGTTGGCAGCAGAGCTTGACCAGTGGCTTGTATATCTTCATATAGCAGACTCATCTGAGTAATCATTGAAATAAATGAAACCTTGGCCATTGCAAACATATGTATAGCTCTGTATTGGCAGCATAGTTTGAAGGACAGAGTTAGAGAAGAGCACTAGGATTATAAGTGTGAGCCATTGGTATCCAGCTCCTTTATTTTTATTTATTTTGCTGCCAGGCCTGTGGCTTGAACTCAGGGACTGGCACTGTCTCCCTGAGCTTCTTTTGCTCAAGGCTAATGCTCTACCATTTGAGCCACAGCTCTACTTCCAGCTTTTTTGGTAGTTTATAGGAGATGAGTGTCTTGTGGATTTTCCTACCTGGGCTGGCTTTAAACTGTGGCCCTCAGATCTCATTCTGCTGAGTAGCTAGGATGACAATTGTGAGCCACTGGTACCTGGCTCCGGCTCTTTTTTTTTTTTTTTTTTTTTGGTGAACTTGACAAAGATATTTGTTTCACAGAATCTAAGCTGTTCACTTTGTCAGATTTTAAAATGAAGGGTTTGGAGGCGTGGCTAAGTAAAGCGCTAGCCAGTGAGCCAAAGCATCAGGTACTAAGTTTGAGTCCTGCTTTCAGACCAAAAAAAAAAAAAAGAAAGAAAGAAAGAAAAGAAAAATTAAATGCAAACAACGTTATTCCTTATTTGTTGTGTTTTGTTTGTGCTGGTCTTAGGCCTTGAGTCTCAGAGCCTAGGAACTATCCTCGAGCTTTGTTGCTCAAGGCTGGCAGTGAACCACTTGTGCTACAGCTTCACTTCAGGCTTTCTAGTGGTTAATTGCATATAAACATCTCACAGACTTCCCTGCCCAGGCTGGCTTTGAATTGTAGTCCTCAGATCTGTCTCCTGAGTAGCGTTGGGATTACAGGCGTGAGCTACCAGTGTACCGTTGGCTGGCATGCGTGTGTGCGTGCATGTGTGTGTGTGTGTGTGTGTGTGTGTGTGTATGTGTGTGTGTGTGTGTGTGTGTGTGTGTTTACTTGGTTGCTTGCTCTTGAATAGCTTTTTTGCTTAAGGCCAGTGTTTTACCATTTGAAGTATACCTCCAGTTCTAGTTAATTGGAGATTACTATGGGTTTGTCTGCCCAGGCAGGCTTTGAACCTCAATCTTTAGATCTTAGGCTCCTATTAGTCAGCGTGTGTGTGTGTGTGTGTGTGTGTGTGTGTGTGTGTGTGTGTGTGTGAGAGAGAGAGAGAGAGAGAGAGAGAGAGAGAGAGAGAGAGAATTGACAGAGACTGAGACTGTTTTGGGCTTGAATTTAGGGCATGAGTGCTGTCCCTGAGCTCTACACAAGACTAGCGCTCTACCATATGAGCTATAGCTCTACTAAAGAAAGGTAACTGGTTTTTGCTGGTTAATTGGAAATAAAGAGTGTCATGAATTTTCTTGCCTGGGCTGGCTTTGAACTGCAATCCTCAGATCTCAGTCTCCTGAGTAGCTAGGATGACAGGCGTGAGTCTCAGCACGTCCAACTGTCAGCTTCTTTTTTTTTTTTTTTTTTGTTGGTCGTGGGGCTTGAACTCTGGGCCTGGGCACTGTCCCTCAGCTCTTCAGCTCAAGGCGAGCACTCTACCACTTGAGCTACAGCGCCACTTACGGTTTTTCTGGTGGTTTATTGGAGATAGGAGTCTCAAGGTCTCTCCTGCCCAGGCTGGCTTTGAACCGCGATCCTCAGATCTCAGCCTCCTGAGTAGCTAGGATTACAGGCGTGAGCCACCAGCGCCTGGCTAAAAGGCTGAGATTTTTTTTGTCTTTTCTTTTTTGGTACTGGGGATTGAACCCAGGACGTTGCACTTGCTAGGCAAGTGCTTTGCCACTGAGCTACATCCCAGCCTCCCAACTGTCAGCTTCTTGAACCATAGGCATTACCAGTAATCAAATGGAAGACTTAGATGGCAAATAGGAGATCAGATTAATAGAATCTGTCTCCACCAGAAATTACTTGTACTATACTGAGTATCTTGCTCAGTTATGGAAGTGTCCTTAGATTTAGATCCCAAATGTAGTTCCAGGATTTTTGTTTTGTTTTCTCCTTATGGTACTAAAGTAAGTTTCAGTTTTGAATGTTAAGGGGTTGTTGCTAATCCAGATCTTGATCACAGATAGTGAAGTTTAATTAATTGTTAGCTTGGCAACTGTTTTACAGAATATTGCATGTTAACCTCCAGGCTCCTGACAACAAATCAGAGAAAGGGGAATTGTTACTTTTAAAAATGTAAACAAAGATGAACTTCCTGGGACTTCTGCCAATATCTAGACGGGACAATTTGTGGATGGCCCTTTGTGTGTGAGTGTATGCATGCTGTACTGGGGCTTGAAATCAAGGCCTCAGCTTGTCGCTTAGCTTTTTCCCTCACGTCTGGCTCTTTGCTATGGGAGCCACACTTATGCTTCCAGCCTTTTACTAATTAGTTGTAGATAAGAGTCTTTCAGACTTACCTATCTGGGTTGTCTTCAAACTGAGATCTTCAGATCTCATCCTCCTGATTAGCTGGGATTATAGGCATGAGCCATCAGCTCCCAGTCTTTTTTTTTTTTTTTTGGTGGTCCTGGGGCTTGAACTCTGGGCCTAGGTATTGTCTCTGCTCTGTTCAGCTCGAGGCAAGTGCTCTACCACTTGAGCCACAGCACCACTTCTGGCTTTTGCTGTGTATGTGGTACTGAGGAATTGAACCCAGGTCTTCATGCATGCTAGGCAAGCACTCTACCACTAAACCACATTCCCAGCCCTTGTAAGCTGTTTCTTAAACATTGAATGGTCTTGGAGCAGTTGTGGCTTAATGCAAAATTGAGAGGAGAGTATGGAGACTTCCCACATCCTCTGCCACTACAAAGCATCAACTATTATCACTACACCTACTAAGGGCTTATCACTCAGCCTGCCTGACACTCCATTATTTCACAAGTGCATCCTGTACCCTGGGGTTCACTCTAGGTGAGCTATGAGCTTAGATAAATATGTAATGTCAGTATATATATGATCACATAGGACAGTTTCACTGCCCTAAAAATCCTGTGCTATACCTGGTCATTTCTCCTGTCCACCCAACTCCTAGTAATCACCAACTGATTGTTTCTCCAGTTTTACTTTTCCCAGAGCATCATGTACAGTAGTTGAAGCCATGCATGTAGCATGTCACCTATTCAGATTGGCTTTTTCTGGTTTATTTAAATAGCACATTTAATAGCACAATATGAGTATCAAGGGGATTCAGGATCCAAGTTGGATTGCTGTTAATTGGGGTTTTAGTGTCATTTTCCAGTAGGAAGACAAACTTTAATTACTGAGCTTTTTTTTTTGGTGTGAAGTTTTATTGGCATTGTGACTCAGTATCAAAAAAACCTAAGGTTTCCTAGTTTAACCCTTTTGTTGTCATTCAGTGTTTAAAGGTAATGATTTGCAATTCCATTAAAACCCGAATAACATCTTTTACAAGTCCCTTTTTCCTCCAGAGGTAAGTTACAACCTTAAAGTATTTATTGTACATAGAAGTATTTATTATAAGTAATGTATATTACAGTGTATATTTAAAGACATTGGATAGATAACATTTCTCGTATAAAAATGGAATCCTGATAATTTTAGTTTATATTCATCCTTAGGATGCCACAAATGACTATAATCTCATTACTTTTCATTGTTTTTCAGCAGCAAGCCCTGACTGGGAGCCTGGTGGCAGGGGCTAGCAATGTGATGGAGGCTGACCCATTCAAGAGACAGCAGGCTGTACCACCCACAGGTATGTCCTGGGCACAGGTGGAAGTGGCCATAGTGGCAGTGGCGATGGAGTTGCCATGTATTTCTAAAAGCTTAATTTCTACTTTTAAAATTAAATTTTCTTTTGGTGATTATCAGCTAAAACAAAAGATGTGAATGTTATTGTATATTAAAGTTAGAAATTTTTCATTTGATGAGTTATATTCCATTTTGATTTTCCATGGACCATTGTTATGTTGTGATTAAATGTTGGCATTATTTATCTGCTTTTTGAAGTGGTTGGCTTTTTTTTTTAACTGGATTTTCTTTAAATTATAAATGTGATGGCACATTTTTATGTGAGAGACAGAGGCAGTTCAGAAGGTAGCTTCAAGCTACCCTGGCTTGTGGTCAGCTTCTTCCCCAGCATAACAGGGACCACTACCCATGCTTTGTGGATTCTCAAAGACATTTTATTCCTGTACAAGTGTTAAGTACATGTCATTCTGAAAAAAGTTCAATTGTGACACATTTTTATAAGTTAAAAATATTTTTTAAAATATTTAAAAATATTAAAAATAAGCTACCAGGTGCTGGTGGCTTACTCTTATAATCCTACCTACTCAGGAGTCTAAGATTTGAGGATTGAGATTTGAAGTCAGCCTGGGCAGAGAAAACCATGAGATTCTTCTCCCCAGTTAACCAGCAAAAAGCCAGAAGTGGAAGTATGGCTCAAGTGATAGAACCTTGAGCAGAAAAAACTAAACAAGAGTACAAGCCCCTGAATTCAAGCCCAAGTTACCAGTACAAACAAAACAAAGCAACAAAAAGTGGACCTTAATGGCTGCCTTTCTAAGTATTCCATAGGGTGGATGATTCCTTCTTTAGCAGTCAGACAGTACAAGTGTTTGCTTGTTATTGAAAGTATTATTGCATATTTGTCACTCTGAGGTGTTGATAGAGGTTTGGATATCTAATCTCAAAAGTGTTTTCTTGGCATGATTGTCAGCATTATCTAAAGGGAAGCCCAGAAATGAACTGCCAGGTCAAAGAGGATGTGCAGTAGTGAGGTGGTAGCTTCATTCAGCTGTTCCTCAGGACAGGGCACTTATATTTCCAGCAGAAATTTCTGCTTCTCTCTTTTTTGTTGGTCTAGGGGATTGAACTCAGGGCCTCATGACTTTCTAGCAAATGCTCTACCACTTGAACCATGCCTCCAATCCTTTTGCTTTTAGTTTTGGTTTTCACTAGGTTCTTGGGCTGACTTTTCCTTGTCTGGCCTTGAAACACAGTATTCCTGTCTTTACTTCCTGCCTGGCTGGGACCAGGCATGTGTCACCAAATTCAGCCTTGGTTCTCTTACATTTTAATGTGTTATTTTGTTCAATAAAACCTTTCATCTTCAGTGATCCCACAGTGAATATTGTATCTTTTGTTTAGATTTAGATATCTCTGATTTTAAGTAAGGGTACAGAGTATCATTAATTGTTAGCCATTTGTGACTCTGCTCACAGCTAACTGCTCATGTTCTGTACCTGTTTTCTCATGGTTGTTGAGACTTTATTTTTCATTTGTAAACTATGTCAGAATGTTGAATAAATCAGCCTGTGTCTGTCATGTGTTGCAGTTTCTCTCGGTTGCTTATTCTTTGGCTTTTTATTATGCTTTTTCTTCTATCAACATTTTAATGAAGATAATTCCCTTATTCCTTATGGCATATAAAGGCTTCCCTCTTCTAAATTATGAAAACACTTGCACATGTTTTTCTATACATTGTATGATTTTATTTTTACATGAAATGGCACCTTTCTTGAAAATTATTCTAGAGCAGTCTAAGAGGCCTCGACTTGAAGTGGGTCATCCAGGGGTAGTTTTCCAGCACCCTGGGGCGAACGCAGGAGTCCCTCTACAGCAGTTAATGCCAACCGTCCAAGGTAAGCCCCGGCATCAGAGCCAGTGCTCTCAGCTCATAGCGAAGGAGTGCATGGAAACCTTGTGACCAGCCCAGCCCAAGGCTGCGCAGTCGAGCGGTTATATTTAATGTGAATTTCTCACATGGGGACATTTCTGTGTGCCCCGGTCAGTACAGGATGAGGAAGCCCCTGGAGACACAGTCTTGCCATTCTAATGGGAGCCACACTTTGCCTTGTCATTGTGCTTTCTAGCAGTTTTACTTGTGATTTTCTTAATTGCTGCTGTTGTAGGGGTGCCCTGTGATTGGTTATTTGATGCTTGTTTTGCTTGTTGCTAACCTGCAAAGGCCGAGCTCCTGTCCTTCCTTCTTTGTGTGCTCCTTCTGACATTAGGTCTGATAGAACACTAACTCCCATTTGAGTATGGTGGTGAGTTGCCCTTGGAACTTACCTGGTGGAAGCTGACGTGCTCTGAAGTCAGTATTCTGGGTTCTTCCTTACTTCCTAGGAGGGATGCCCCCCACCCCTCAGGCTGTACAGCACACTGGGCAGAAGCAGAGCCAGCAGCAATACGACCCTTCCACTGGGCCTCCTGTGCAGAATGCCGCCAGCTTGCACACTCCACCACCACAGCTGCCCACGAGGCTGCCCCCAGCTAGTGTTCCTGCTGCAGCCCTCTCTTCCACTCTGCAGTTTTCACAGCAATCGCAGGTGGTGGAGGCTCAGACTCAACTCCAAATCCCCGTGAAGACTCAGCAGCCGAATGTCCCTCTCTCTGCTCCTGCAACCAGCCAGCTCCCTGTTCCTCCTCCACAGCCTACACAGCCAGCTCTCCATGTTCCAGTGCCTGGGAAGGCACAGATGCAGGCATCTCAGCTTTCATCTCAGACACAGGTACTGAGGCCTTTGCTGTTTGGTTACAAGTTAGATATGCAAGCAGAGGGAAGTGGTGTGCAAAGGTGGCTTGTGGTCTGTGTAATTGGCAGGTGGCTCACTATACTAACTGTATATGCTTCAGAGAACCTCATTGGCCTATGAGAGTAGTTGGTTAATTTAGCAGTTGGAACATAATTTGTTTTTTGCCAGTCCTGGAATTTGAAGTTAGGGTCTGGATGCTATCCCTGAGCTTTTTTTTTTGCACTTGAGTTACAACTCCTCTTCCGGCATTTTGGTAGTTTATTGGAAATAAGATTCTCATGGACTTTCCTGCCCGGACTGGCTTTGAACCATGATTCTTAGATCTCAGCCTTCTGAGTACTTAGGATTACTAGTATGAGCCATTGGTGCTTGGGTTGAAATGTAAATTTTTTGACTGAATTATAGCCATTAAAGTAGTTGAACCCATGACTACTGCTGCTCTTGGTACGGGAGCACCCATCCATTGACACACACACTCGGAAGGGCCATTATCTCAGGTAGTCACTGAACTTACCAGTTGCAAGAGATCATGGGACTGGCCTGAGTTATATGGTAATGATCCTACCTCTGTCCAAGAGCAAAGTCATATTTGTAAACATTTGTCACACATTCTCCATGGGGGCCTCCCTGCCCTGTTTTTTGATGCCATAGGCTCCACGGTTTGGTATAAGGCATTACTCATACAGCCTTAACACATATTTTGAGTGTTTAAAGTGTCCCTACTCCCCCAGTTAGTTATCATTTTGTTCATATGTCTTGGGAATGTTTGTAGTAAACTGGCCAGAGGTTCTCCTAAGGACCCATGAGCACCAACTCACTGAGAGCATGGGAGTGGGAAGAGCATTTTCCAGAAACACACCTTGATTCTCTTGTTCTCTCAGACTTCACTGAAAACTCTTAATATTTATTATTTCATTTATTAAATGAGTTTAGGGGCTTGAGCTTAGGGGCTGACACTGCCCCTGAGCTATAAAATTTGAAAGTTAGCACTCTACCACTTGAACCATAGCTTCATTTCTGGCTTTTTGGTGGTCTTAAGGACTTTCCTGCCTGGGCAGTCCTCACATCTTAGCCTCTTGAGTAGCTATGGTTACTGGTACCTTGCAATGAGCCTTTCTGGCCTGTGCTTTTTCATCAGTAAAATGGGATAATAGAGGGTACTTCATAGTTACTGCAGAAAGAAAATAAACTAATTCCTCACAACTCACTCCACAGGTGATTAATAAGCAGTAGCTACTAATAACTTTTGCCACCAGTCCAGAATACTTGAGACTTAGCGATAGATTGCAATGAAGTTAAACTCAAAATCCAGCTGGGACGTTTGTTAAAAGGGGAGGGGGGGAGGAGGTTGCAGAGTGGCTTAAGTGGCTCTGCTACTCAGCAACACGAACATCACGATTAAGAAATGTAGCAGCCAGGCGCTGTAATCCTAGCTACTCAGAAGGCTGAGATCTGAGGATTACGGTTTGAAGTCAGCCTGTGCAAGAATGTCTATGGGATGCTTATCTTCAATAAACTAAAAAACAAAACAAAACAAAAACTGGAAGTGGAGGGGTGGCTCAAGTGGCAGAGTGCTATCCCTGAGCAAAAAAAGCTCAAATACAGTACCCAGACTCTGAGTTGAAGCACCAAAATCAGAGCAAAACAAACAAAAAGAAACAAAGCAGCAGGATGTCAGTGTTTTATGCCTGTAATTCTAAGCTGTTTAAGAGGCTGAAATCTGAGAATTAGTTTGAAGCCAGCCCAGACAAGAAAGTCTGTGAGACCAAAAGCTGAAAGTGGAGATGTGGCTCAAGTGGTGGAGCTGTAATCTTGAGCAGGGATCCTGAGAGGATTTTACTCCATCTTGTAAGAACAGTTGGAAGCATCTTAAGTTTTGTAAGCTTGGCCCTGGACAGTGTAGGGGATTTTCCACCCTGGTAGCCTGCCACAAGAGATGACTTGGAATTTTCTCCTCTAAGAAAAGATATAAGATGATCATGTGGTATTTTCGATTAGCAAAAAAAGCTTATGTGATTAAATTTTAAAGTCGAGAAAAAGCTGGAAGATGCAAAAAAGAAAAAAATAAAGTTTCCTTGAGGTCTTAACATAATATTGAAGATACAGTTTGCTGTGAGCACTCTTGTTAGGGTTTCTGGAAGTAAGGCAGGGTGACATTTGGAGACCTCCTCAAGTTTGTTTCTTAGTTGTGGCTGTAATGGGCCTTTGTGAGCATGTGTTGCTATGAAGAGGAAGGCACTGGGTGTGTTGGCCTCTGTCATCTGAGTGCTCTGGTGTTTGGGCACTGTGGATGTCATGAAGCTTTGTTTTGATCTTGTTTCATTTGTCTTCTGTGTGCTAGGCAGTGGCATCAACCAGGCTTCCCCTGGACTCTGTCCAGCCCTGCCAGCGGTCTCTGCCTGCTTCTTCTTCCTCATCTCTCACACCCGTGAGTGGCTCAGGCCCGGGGCCTTTGCCTGCACGGTCTTCACCAGTGAACAGACCCTCCTCAGCCACTAGCAAAGCACTGTCTCCTGCCACTTCTCGTTCTCCAGGGGCTGCGGTGCCAGCCCCCCCGAAGCCACAGAGCCCTGCTCAGAACGCTGCCTCATCTCAGGACAGTTCTCAGGATAAGCTGGCAGAGCAGATAACACTGGTAATTATGCCCAAGCAAGTATAAAATGTATTCCAGGTTTTTGTTGACTGTTTACTATTGGCTTTGTTGCTCAGGCTAGTTTTCAGTTCCAGAGTTCAGGTGACCCTCTTGCCTTTGCCTAGAAAATAACTGTGATTGCAAGTGCATAATCTAGTTTATGATGCACCTTCCTCCCCCCCTCCGTCCCCCAATGCTGGGTTTAAACTCAAGGCTTTGTCCTCACTCAGCTTGTGTGCTCAGCTGTCATTCTATCACATAAGCCACGCCTCCTGTCTGACTTTTGTTTGCTATTTTGGAAATGGAATCTCAAGGACTTTTCTGCTTGGCTGGCTACAAAAACCTCCAGATCTCACCTTCCTGAGTAGCTGAGAGCAACGGGGACCCAACTTTTGTTTTTTGTTTTTTAGTATGTGCTAATTTAAAACTGAATACCTAGTTGTAAGAACAATTGAATGTGGTTTATGATCTTTAGAAAGCATGACTAAACCATGTGGTGCAACCTCCTCTGATAGAAGCAGACTCATATGAGGAGTCTTTTCCTCAGGACACATTGGCCATCTTGGGCTACTTTCCAACAGCCACAAGTGGGGCTGGGAGTATACTTACAGTCTTTTGCTCAGCTTCATCAGAGATTTGAAAGACATATGTGAAAATCTCACTGTCTTGCTTATTGGTCAGTATATAGCATATTGGTCAGGACATAGCCAAGCCTTCCTTGATTTCTTCCTTTTCCCAATTATTTTCAACAAAATCCCAGCTATTGTATTGTAAATACTTTGTTAAAACTATTGGGTCTTGGGCTGGGAAGGTGGCTCAGTGGTAGAGCGCTTGCCTTGCATGCATGAGGCCCTGGGTTTGATTCCTCAGCACCACATAAGCAAAAAAGAAAAAAGCCGGAAGTGGCGCTATGGCTCAAGTGGTAGAGTGCTAGCCTTGAGCTGAAGAGCTGGGGGACAGCGCCCAGGCCCAGAGTTCAGGCCCCATGACCGGACCCACAAAAAACCCCAAAACATTGGGTCTTGCTTTCTTTTTCTGGGGGGTTGTTGATGGTCCTGAGGCTTGAACGCTGTCACTGCACTCTTCAGCTCAAGGCTAGCGCTCTACCACTTGAGCCACAATGCCACTTCTGGTTTTCTGGTGCTTTATTGGAGATAAGAGTCTCATGGTCTTTCTTACCAGATCTGGCTTTGAACTGTGATCCTCAGATCTCAGCCTCATGAATAGCTAAGATTACAGATGTGAGCCATTGGCGCTCGGCTTAATTTTTTTTTTTTTTTTTCAATACTGGAGCTTGAACTCAGGGCTTTGTGCTTGCTAAGCAGGTAGTCTTACCACTGAGCCACACCTCCACCCCTAAACATTGGATCTTTAAAAAAAAAAAAATAAGTGTTGGCTGGGCGCCGGTGGCTCACGCCTGTAATCCTAGCTACTCAGGAGGCTGAGGTCTGAGGATTGCGGTTCAAAGCCCACCCAGGCACGAAAGTCTGTGAGCCTTCTATCTCCAATAAACCATTAGAAAACTGGAAGTGACGCTGTGGCTCAAGTGGTAGAGTGGTCGCCTTGAGCTGAAGAGCACAGGGACAGCGCCCAAACCCAGAGTTCAAGCCTCACGACCAACAAAAAATAATAATAATGTGTTGGGGATTGAATAAATACAGGGTCTCCTACATGCTAGGTAAGCTTTGACCTCCCAGCCCAGTTTTATTTTGCTTCTTAGACATTGAGAAGGATTGCTGTCTGGCTTCCCTGAGCCTTCTGTGAGAGTCACACTTATTCTACTGTGCTCTCCTTTAGCTGTTATACAAAGCTCATCTTAAGCTGTGACCTCCTTGAGGTCTTTCTCCTCTTAACACCTTTCTAACTGAGCTTTTCACACCATAAGATTTCAAAATCTGATCTGGGCATTCACTAGTGGTTCACACTTGCAATCCTACCTACTCAGGAGGCTAAGATATGAGGATCCAAAGTTTGTGAAACTCTTATACCAGATTAACCAGCAAAAAATTGGGAATAGAGATGTGGCTTAAGTGATAAAGCACCTGCCTTAAGTGAAAAAGCCTAGTGAAAGCAAGTGGCCCTTAGTTCAAACCCCAATACTGGCACACACACGTGCACACACACACACACACACAAATTGGGTTATTAATTATAGGAACAATAATAATATGCTGACTCTCCTCCCACCCTGGTGGTATGTTTCTTACAGGAAAACCAGATCCATCAACGAATAGCAGATTTAAGGAAAGAAGGATTGTGGTCCTTAAGGCGACTGCCAAAATTGCAGGAGGCCCCACGCCCTAAATCTCACTGGGACTACCTGCTAGAGGAGATGCAGTGGATGGCTACAGACTTTGCCCAAGAGCGGAGATGGAAGCTGGCTGCTGCTAAGAAGGTAGATTTGTCACAGCACTGTGCTGTGTCCATTGGTGGTGGTAGTTGAGATTTAGATCTGTGATCTGTGGCTCAAGTGGTAGAATGCTAGCTTTGAGCACAGAAAACCTCAAGGACACTGCATAAGGCCTGAGTTCAAGTTCCAGGACCAGCACACAAAAAAAGTGACACCCCAGTCCAACAAAACTTAGTAAGTTTTGCTGCTTTAATGCAGTAAAATACTCTGACCTATTAAACTTGCTGCTGATCTGTGTTGAGTAAGGTCACATGTGAAACTGGAAAAAAAATGTAATGCAGTATAATATATATGTGAGAAAAATGTGTCTAATTAGTAGAATAATGCTTTCTAGAAAAATTAGACATCAAAAGATGATGGTTTTTGTTTGTACCACTGTTTGTTCTAGTACACCTAAAGAGAGTAGGAGGAACTTTCTGATATTAAATTGACTGTGCTTGCTTTATTGTTTGATTGGCAGAGTCTTTATATGTAGCTCTATCTGGCCTTCAACTTGGGGTACTCCTGCCTCAGTCTTCCAAGGCCTGGAATTAGGATTGTGCCACCTGCCTCATATGTGACTTGAACCTGCCTTAAAATTTACATCTCCTGGCAAGACGTAGAGTACAACATAAAATTCTTAAACTTTGCTTTACTAGCTCGTTAGAACAGTAGCACGTCATCATGAGGAAAAGAAGCTTCGTGAAGAAAGAGGGAAGAAAGAAGAGCAGAACAGATTAAGACGTATTGCTGCCTCAACTGCCCGAGAAATAGAATATTTTTGGTCAAACATTGAGCAGGTAAATTGTGGAATTTCAGTGGGATCATTAAAATCAGAGTGGGTCTGAGCTGGGATTCTGAGTGCCTCTGGACAGAACCTTGATAGCAAGAGAAGATACTGCCCTTAGGAAATGTAAGGTATGAGTCCTCCTGCCTACTTGCCTCTTGTTGTTTGAGTTAGGATGAGTTGGCTGCCTCCTGAGTAACTCGGATTACAGGTGTGAGCCATCAGCACCTGGCTTCTCCATTTATTTGTGTATCTAACTATATCTTGCCCAAATTCTGTTTGGTCAGGGCTGGGAAGTTGGCTTAGTGGTAGAGAGCTTGCCTTCCATGCCTGAGGCCCTGGGTTCGATTCCTCAGCACCACATAAGCAAAAAGAAAAAAGCTGGAAGTGGCGCTGTGGCTCAAATGGTAGAGCGCTAGCCTTGAGCTGAAGAGCTGAGGGACAGCACCCAGGCCCAGAGTTCAGGCCCCACAACTGGACCCAAAAACAAACAAACAAACAAATTCTATTTGGTCGTAAGATTAATTAAAAAAAAAAGTTTTTAATAAAGGGAGCAAGAGTGCTGGGACGGTGGCTAAGTGGTAGAGCGCTTGCCTCGCATGCATGAGGCCCTGGGTTCAACTCCTCAGCACCATATAAGCAGAAAAATCTGGAAGTGGCACTGTGGCTCAAGTGGTAGAGGGCTAGCCTTGAGCTGAAGAGCTAAGGGACAGGGCCCAGGCCCAGAGTTCAAGCCCCACAACTGACCAAAAACATAAAGGAAGCAAGAATGTGTGTGGACTAGCATGCTAGCAAGCAGCTATCCCGAGGAAAACTGCTTTCAAAGCCATTCACACCAAGAATTACCTGGAGAAGATTTGCCATAGTTTTCTCATCTCAAAGCTACAGTTGCAACTGGACCTTGTTTCTAGGCACAAAGAGAAACACAAAGGCAAGAATGGCTCATCCTAACCGTTTTTTGTGTGCTTGAATTCAGGGCCTGTGTGCTGTGCCTGAGCTTTTTTGCTACTGCTACTGCTGTACCACTTGAGTCATAGCTCCACTTTCGGCTTTTTGCTAGTTAATTGGAAATCAGTCTCATGGCCTTTCCTGCCTGAGCTGGTTTTGAGCCAGTTGAGATCTCCAATCTGACTTTGAAATCCTCAGATCTCAGCCTCCTGAGTTGCTAGGATTACATGTGTGAGCCACCGTGGACAGCATCTAGGCTCTGAATTAGAAAGCCCTAGGACTGGCACCAAAAAGAGAGAGAGAAAGAGAGACAGAAACAGAGACAGAGAAAGAAAGACAGAGAGAGAAGCACCAAATTAAAATTTTGTTTTTGAATTAATGTGAAATGATGTTGAATAGTATTTTATATGCTATATGTTGAGTTCTAATGTTTTACATATGGAACTTGTATGACTTACATGTTTTTTTTTCCTTTCTTACATGCTTAATACTTAATTCTTTGTATTTAGGTTGTGGAAATAAAACTGCAAGTGGAATTAGAAGAGAAAAGGAAAAAAGCCTTAAGTTTACAGAAAGTGTTCAGAAGAGGTATGATTATTTTAAAAGATCCTTGGCAGAGGATCTGCGCACAGTGGGGTGGTAGGGGCCATGCCTCCTCCTTCACTTTCTAGCACCAAAACAAAACAAAAACCCCTAACATTTTTAGATTACACTTTGTTCAGACTCTCTGCTCAACAGGCAGTTTCTTTTTGTATTGGCTTTTATTTATTTATTTATTTATTTTATTGTAAAGATACTATACAGAGGGTTACAGTTACATGAGTGAGGTAATGAGTACACTTCCTCTTGAACATTGTTACCCCCTCCATTGTTTTCCCCCTACCATCCCCTGCCTCCCTCCCTTCCCCGAGGTTCTTTTTTTTTTTTTTTTTTTTTTTTTGATTGTGATTAAGTGATTACATAATTTCAAAGTCACAAGTTCATTCTAACTTCCCTGGAGCAAATTGTCTACCACAGTCTGTAATATATAACAGTGTTCACATGTTATATACCATATTTGTGATCAGCAGCATGGGGATATTTAGTAGTGGTTCAACCAGATGAGCAGGAGTTCTTTGTTTCTTAAGTCCTGTTAGTTTTGTCGTATCACCTAACATTTTGGATTTAGCATCCACTTATCAGGGAGACCATGTACCGTTTGTCTCTTCGTTCTTGGCTTACCTCGCTCAACATGATTCCTTCTAGCTCCATCCATTTCCCTGCAAATGCCATTATTTTGTCATTTCTAATGGCTGCATAATATTCCATTGTGTATAGATACCACATTTTTTGGATCCATTCATCTGTGGTGGGGCATCTAGGTTGTTTCCATATCCTAGCTATTGCGAACAGTGCTGCAATAAACATGGAGGTGCACGTGTCCTTGTATATTGGTTCCTGTTGTTCAGGGTAGATGCCTAGAAGTGGTATGACTGGGTCGTAAGGGAGGTCAATCTTTAAAAGTTTTCTAAGGACCCTCCAGACTGCTTTCCAAAGTGGTTGTATAAGTGTACATTCCCACCAGCAGTGTAATAGGGTTCCTCTTTCTCCACATCCCCTCCAGCATTTGTTGTTGGCTGATTTGTGGATGTGGGACATTCTGACTGGGGTGAGGTGGTATCTCAGGGTTGTCTTTATTTGCATTTCCTTCACCACCAGGGATGATGAACATTTCCTCATGTGTTTCTTTGCCATTTTTATTTCTTCATTTGAGAAGTCCCTCTTTAGTTCCCTTGCCCATTTAGTAATTGGTTTGTTAGGTTTGGGAGGGATTAGTTTCTTGAGTTCCCTGTATATACAGGATGTTAACCCCTTGTCTGATATATTGCTGGTAAATATTTTTTCCCAATTAGTTGGTTGTCTTTCTAGCTTAGTTGCGATAGATTTAGCTGTGCAGAAGCTTTTTATTTTAAGGTAGTCCCATTTGTCGAGTCTCTCTCCAACTTGTTGTGACCCTGGGACTCTGTTCAGGAAGTTCCTTCCTGTGCCTATTAGTTCAAGTGTCTCTCCTACTCTGTCCTGCAGTAGTTTCAGAGATTCAGGTTTAATGTTAAGGTCTTTAATCCATTTTGAGTTGATGTTGGTGCATGGTGATAGGCTGGGGTCCACTTTTAGTTTTCTGCATGTGGCTGCCCAGTTTTCCCAGCACCAGCGGTTGAAGAGGCTGTGTTTCTTCCATTGTATGTCTTTGGCTCCTTTGTCGAATATCAGCTGGCTGTAGGCCTGTGGATTTATATCTGGATCTTCTATTCTGTTCCATTGGTCTTCGGGTCTGTTTTTGTGCCAGTACCATGCTGTCTTTGTGATTATAGCTCTGTAGTAGAGTTTGAAGTTCGGCATGGATAGCCCTCCCATATTGTCCTTATCCCCTAGAATTGTTTTGGCTATTCTAGGTCTTTTGTTGTTCCATATAAATTTTTGGACTGTTTTCTGTATTTCAGTGATGTACGTCATTGGGATTTTAATAGGAATTGCATTGAATTTGTATATTAGTTTTGGAAGTATTACCATCTTTACTATATTAAGTCGGCCTATCCAGGAGCATGGGAGGTCTTTCCATTTCCTAGTGTCTTCTGCAATTTCTTTCTTTAACTTTTTATAGTTCTCATTAAATAGTTCTTTTACATCTTTGGTTAGGTTAATTCCTAAATATTTTATTTTTTGGGAGGTTATTGTGAATGGGGTTGCTCCCTTTATTTCCCTCTCTTCCTGTACGTTATCAGTGTATAGGAAGGCAACTGATTTTTGTGGGTTTATTTTGTATCCTGCTATTTTGCCGAAGTGACTTATGATTTCTAAAAGTTTGGGGATGGAGTTTTTGGGATCGTGGAGGTATAGTATCATGTCGTCTGCAAAAAGGGATAGTTTAACTTCTTCTTTCCCTATGCGGATCCCTTTAATGTCTTTTTCTTGCCTTATTGCCCTGGCTAGGGGTTCTAGGACTATGTTGAAGAGGAGTGGAGACAGTGGGCATCCTTGCCTTGTTCCTGTTTTTAGGAGGATTAGTTGTAGCCTTTCCCCATTACGTATAATATTGGCTATTGGTCTGTCATAAATGGCTTTTATTGTTTTTAGAAATGTTCCTTCTATTCCTATTTTCTCCAGAGCTTTTAGCATGAATGAATGTTGAATTTTATCAAAGGCCTTTTCTGCATCTGTGGCGATAATCATGTGATTCTTGACCTTGGCTCTGTTGATATGCTGGATTACATTTATTGACTTACGTATGTTAAACCATCCCTGTGTCTCTGGGATGAAGCCTACCTGATCATAGTGTATTATGTTTTTTATGTGTTTCTGGATTCTGTTAGCTAGAATCTTGTTAAGGATCTTTGCATCTGTGTTCATCAAGGAGATTGGCCTGTAATTCTCCTTTTTGGTTGGGTCTTTGCCTGGTTTGGGGATGAGTGTGATATTGGCTTCGTAGAATGAGTTTGGGATAGCTCCCTCCTTCTCTGTTTCTCTGAAGAGCTTGAGGAGTATGGGTATTAGTTCTTCTTTAAAGGTCTTATAGAATTCTGCTGTGAATCCATCTGGTCCTGGGCTTTTTTTTGTTGGAAGACTTTTGATAGCTTCCTGTATCTCATTATAGGATATTGGCTTATTTAATTGGTTAACTTCTTCTTTGCTCAGTTTGGGTAACTTGTATTTCTCTAAAAATGCATCCATTTCTGCCAGATTTTCTTCCTTTAGAGAGTATAGCTTTTGAAAGTAGTCTGTTAGAATTGTTTGGATATCTTGGGTAGTGTTGTGATGTTTCCGGTGGCATCCCTAATCCTATTAATATGGGTTTCCTCTCTTCTTTTTTTAATTAATCTTGCCAACGGGCCATCAATTTTGTTTATTTTTTCAAAGAACCAGCTTTTTGTTTGGTTTATTTTGGTTATGGTTTTCTGATTTTCTAATTGGTTAATCTCTGCTCTTAATTTGGTTATCTGGCTTCATCTAGTAGCTTTAGGTCCCATTTTTTCTTGTTTTTCTAGCTGTTTTAGTTGCAACATGGGATTATTTACTTGGTCTGTCTCCATTCTCTTGATGTGGGCACTGAGGGCAATAACTTTGCCGCTCAGGACTGCTTTTGCTGTGTCCCACAAGTTTCTTTGTGAGGTGTTTTCATTTTCATTGAGTTGTAGGAAATGCTTTATTTCTTCTCTGATCTCTTCTGTTACCCAGGTATTGTTAAGGAGTGTGCTGTTCAATTTCCATGTATTAGAGAAATTTCTGCGGTATGCTTTGTTATTGAGAGCTAGCTTGATTCCACTGTGGTCAGATAGGATACAGGGGATTATGTCGATCCCTTTGTATTTGCTTAAGTTCCTTGCATGAACTATGATATGGTCTATTTTGGAGAAAGTTCCATGAGCTGCTGAGAAGAATGTGTACTGTGTTGTTTTAGGGTGAAATACTCGGTAGATGTCAGTTAATTCCGCTTGAAGTATGGCCTCACTTAATTCGGTAGCTTCTTTGCCAATCCTCTGGTTGGTAGACCTGTCCTTTGGTGAGAGTGGCGTGTTAAAGTCTCCTAGTATTATCGTATTGGGATCTATTTTATTCTGTAAGTTTGAGAGCATTTGTTTGACATATCTGGGTGCACCGATATTTGGGGCATATAAGTTGATGATGGTTATATCCTCCTCTTGGATTGTTCCCTTTATTAATATGTAGTGTCCGTCCTTGTCTTTCTGTACTGATTTTAATGAAAAGTTTATTTTGTCAGATATCAGGATAGCTACACCTGCTTTCTTACTGGGGGCATTTGATTGGTAGGTCCTTTTCCACCCCTTCACTCTGAGTTTGTTTGTATGTTTGGCTGAGAGGTGGGTCTCCTGAAGGCAACAGATGGATGGGTCTTGTTTTCTGATCCAGTCCTCAGTTTGTTTTCTTTTAATTGGCGAATTCAGCCCATTTATATTAAGAGAAAGTATAGAGAGATGCATTGTTGTCCCTGCCATTCCGTTTTCCTAAGTTTTTCTTCTTTCCTTTCCTCCTGTGCTTGCTCAGTTAGACTTTGAGTAATGCCTGTTTGGGGCAGGTCCCAGTTCCTGGTTGCTTTCTTCAGGTTGTGTCCCCCCCTCTTAGAATTCTTTGTAATGCTGGCTTAATGTTTATGCATTCATTTAGTTTTTCTTTGCTATTAAAAGTTTTCAGTTCTCCATCGAATGTGAATGCTAGCTTTGCCGGGTATATCAGTCTGGGTTGGCAGTTATTGGCTCTCAGGGCTCGTATGGTGCTTTCCCAGGCTTTTCTTGCATTCATTGTTTGTGTGGAGAGATCTGCAGTGATTCTAATTTTTTCCCGTTGTAGTATAGCTCCTGCTTCATTTTTGCTGCATGCAGGATTGTTTCCTTATTATTCAGATCCATCATTTTTACTATAATGTGTCTAGAAGTGTTTCTCCTGGGATCTTGCTTGTTGGGTGTTCGATAAGCTTTTGTGATGTAGTTAAGATGGTCGTTTTTGAGGTGGGGAAAATTTTCATTGACTATCTTGTTAAATAGGTGTTGCATTCCCTTGCTCTGGAATTCCTCACCTTCGTCCACTCCGATTATGCGAAGGTTAAATTTTTTAGCATTATCTGCTTGCTCTTGAATTTCCCTTTGGTTTAATTTGAGTGATTTTTCCATATCTGTCACTTTTTGGTCCAGTTGGTGTATTCTGTCTTCTGTATCTGACACTCTACCTTCCATTTCATTCACTCTGTTGACCGTGGCTTCTATTGTGGTTTGCATGGAGGAAATGGATCCCTTTATGGATTCAATGTTGGTTCTCAGAGAGGTGAGATCAGTATGCATTACCTCTAATTTGGCGTTTATCTCACTTCTTACTGAGGTTTGTGCAGCTTCTATTTTTGCATCCAACTTTTGTTTGATATCCTGTATATCTTTTGATAGTTCATCCTTGTGCTCTTTCAATTTCTGATCCATTTCTCGCTTTATTTCTTGAGTCATTGCCTCCAGCAACCCTTGGATGTAGCTTTTGTCTTCCATTCCTGCTTTGCTCCCATTGGGGCTCTCCCCTGCGTGGCTGCTGGCTTTTGAGGTGAGCTTGCTGTCCTGGGTAGTGGTAAACCTTGTGATTTTTCTCTGTGATTTTCGCATGGGGGTTCAGGAGACTGCTCTTCAATTTTGTTTTGGTGTGTCTGCTTTGCTTGGTTGCTGATTCTGTATTGGTAGAGAGAGTCTGTGCCTGATCTGGATTCTGTTGGGAGCCTATTTCCAGCTGCTATTCTGACTTACTTAGGATTCTCAGCTCTCTGCTGTAGATTGCTGGCAATTCCCACCTTTGGAAGGGTTGAGCAGCCTAGACTGCTTGTGTTTGCTCCTGCGGGTGCTCTTGGGAAGATCAGATGCTCTGGATGCACTCTCCCAAATACTGGAGTCTGCTATGGGCTCCTGATGTGTTTTTGTTTGTTTGTTTTGGGCTGGTTGTGGGCTTGAACTCTAGGTTTGGGTGCTGTCCCTCAGCTCTTCAGCTCAAGGCTGGCACCCTACCATTTGAACCACAGCACCACTTCTGACCCTTTTTGCTTTTGTGATGCTGAGGAATCAGATCCAGGGCCTCATACTTCCAAGACTATCACTCTATTGCTGAGGTGCCTTATCAGCCTGAGCTCCTGCTTACTATCAGGTACTGGCAGCCTGTGTTGCCCAATTCCCACCCTAGGGTATATGGGTGGGGTTTTGGTGGGGTTTGGGCTTCTCTTGTCCTGAGCCTCCAGGTCTTTTGTTGTCACAGGCGTGCTTCCCGGGGAGTGCTGTTCCCTATTTCTCTCCCCTCTGTTGAGGTGTATGCTCAGCTTTTTACTTCAGTTGGGAGGAGTTGGTTGTGTTGCTCAGGCGCCGGTCCCCGGGCCTGGTTCCGGCCCCAGCCTGGAGCGCGCTCGTTAGGCCTGTGCTAATGTGTATACCACCTAGGTTATGCAGCCTGGAGGACACAGTTCAAATTTCTTCTACTGTTGGTAGTCTTGACCCAGGGGCGCTGTTCCTAGCTTGGGCATTTAAGCTCCCTTCCAGGGGCACTCTTGCTCTGGCCTGGCCAGCAGAGTGTGCTCCACCGGCTGGTGGAGCTCTCGAACAGTTCCCAGTTTTAGTGGGTCCTGTGGTCCGGGTGTTGGGGTAGGGAGTCTAGGTCAGGGTCTGGGAATTCCCTCCAGCTCTGGTCTCCCTTGAGGGATTCACTGTCCCCTGTGGGGTACTCACCCTGTAGGTCGTCAGTTGTTGTTGCAGTCCGAGTTCAGTTGGGGTGGTTGTGGGCTGGGTTGGGCGGCCCCTGCCGGGTCGTTGCGATCGCGATTGGGCGGGTGGTCTGCCGACAGGTCCCTTTGTCGTGCTGCTGGTGCCAGGCGGCTTTGGCGGGATGGAGCCTCTCCGCTCCGGTGGAGAGTGAGGGGTGGGGGTGGGATCCTCGTGGAGACTCCCAGCTGGTAGGTTTCTCTGTTCCTGGTGATCCGCTGTTCTGCAATCCGGTACCTGGTGATCTGCAAGCAGCCCCCTGTTTCTCTGGGGCTCCGGCAGCCCCCGCTGGGCCGTCTGGCCGGCGGCTTGGCGCACTGCCGCGCGGCCAGTAAAGGTTGGGGGGGGGGGGTCTTCGCTCTTCTCTGTTCTGAATTTCTTCTTTTCCTCTCTTTCTTTTTTTGTTACTTTCCACCTCTGGTTTTTCTCTGAGTGTTTGTCTTTTTGTTGTTGTCGGTCTCTTGGGGAGATTAAGCGTTGGAACTCCAACTCTCTTTTTGGTTGGAGAGAGCTGTGGCATTTCCCTACTGCCCCGTCGCCATCTTGGTCCCCCCCTCTGTATTGGCTTCTTGTAACCATGCTGGGGAGGCCATTTGCTCAGGGAGCCCATTGGGAAGGGCCTGGTCTGCTTGATGGTTGCATTTTTCTTTGTGTAGCCAATGTGGGTTTTTATGTTTTGTTTTGTTTTGTTTTAAATGTCGGTTCTTTCCCCATGTGCTAGTGTGAGTCAGCAAGCTCATGGCTGTCTATTCTGGGACAGAGTGCAGATTACCTGCAGTCAGTCAGTCTTTAGACAGCAAGGGAGGCAGCTATTAGTTGTAGGTTTCTTTGGGATTGGTTGGTATAGCCTCTGTATGCTCTTTTTTTTCCCCCTAATATTTCTGTGGCAGCTTCCTTCAGTCATCAATCCTAGGTATCTACAAAGGAAGGTTCACTATCTTACCATCTGAAGATGTCCCACTTTAGGGTAGAGTTGCATGATGCATTATAAATTATTGATGAGGAAACTGGCTGGGAAGTGACCCCTGCTAAAAGTCATAGAACTGTGGGATGGGTCATCAGAAAGGAGGAGGTGGACTGGAGCTAGCATATGGACCCTTTCTTGAACATGGCAGCCACAGGGCACAGCTGGCATGGGCAGAGACATTCATTGATTGAAATGCCTGATTTCCCCTCAGCTGCAGTGAAAACTAATCATGTTTCTTGTCTCTAGGAAAAGAGTTGAGGCCCAAGGGATTGGATGTGTTACCTGAACACTTTCTGGTAAGTTCAAGATTCTTACATCTGTCACAAAGAATGGAAGCAAAGTGAGTAAGATGCAGTGTTCTAATGCAGTGGGGTTGTTTTTATCTGGAGAAATATGTGGGTTATCAATATAACCTATACATATTTATGTATTTTATTCTAAATCAGTCTGCTTTGAAGCACTGTCACCTCACAGCTCATAGTCTCACTTGAGGTGTGGATTTGGCGATTTGGGAGGATGCAGCTAAATAGTGATTACAGATCCACATCTGAAGTTGTGGATCCCTCTTTTCTCTGGGTGTCTTTGCCACGGATTGAAGTTAAGGAAGCGTATCGTGGATCCCCTCTGTTTCTTTGAATATGTACTAAATAGATGTTTTAGCCTTGACATCCCATTCTGGGACTTTAAATCTTATGTTTGTGATTTTTATTCTGTTTCAGGATCCAGGAATATCTGGAAGAAAAAGAAAAGCTAGCACATCTTTGACTGATGATGAAGGTCTGTGCCTCATCCTCATGGAGCTGGCCTTTACTCTTTAGGGCTCTTGAAATAACAAAGTATAACGTGCATCTATGCCCTTAGACCATAAAGTTGTGGTGACTTTTGCTGTAGCAGTATTGTTATTTTAAATCTGTGGGAAATGTTAACCTTTGTAATTGTCCCAGTGACTTTGTAGGTTTAAAAAATTTTTTTTTAATTTTATTTTTATGCTGATCCAGGGATTTAAACTCAAGGCCTGGGCGCTGTCTCTCAGGTTTTACACTCAAGGATAAAACTCTACCACTTGAACCACATCTCCACTTTTGGCATTTGGCTGGTTAGTTGAAGATAAGAGTCTCATGGACTTTCCTGCCCAGGCTGGCTTTGAACCATGTACCTCAGATCTCAGCTTCCTGAGTTGCTAGGATTATAGATGAAAATGACCGGTTCCTAACAACTTTGTAGTATTTTTTTATATCTCTAAGAGGACTTGGAAGATTTTCTTGAGCAGTATGGCAGTGTCTGTTTCTTGAAATCCAGGTACATTTGAAGAGGTTAGGACCCTATCCTCAAATGGCATAGGACCCAGCTTTTCTGGCCTTGATGGTGACTCTGGGGTATTGGTGTGGACCTTTCTCTTGTGGTCACATGTGCTCACTGCCCATCACCCCTAGGTTTGCCAGTCTATGACTTTTTAGGAACCATCTCCTGTGACATTTAGGTGTTGATTCCTAACTCAGAGTGACTCACAGGAGTGACCACCAGTGTTGAGTGGGTATAGTGTATGACCACCAGCCTTTTACCTGGTTGTAAACCTGAATCAGTTGTGGCAGAAGTCTTTAGGACTGGCCCTGGTTGTAGGAACAGAGGGAAGGAGCAGGAAAAGGGTTGCAGCTGCAGTATTTTTTCTGTTTTATTATTATTACTACTACTATTATTATTTTGTGGATCATAGGGCTTGAACTGAGGGCCTGGCCCCTGTCTGTCCCTGAGCTATTTTGCTCTGCTGTTTTGAGCTATAGTGTCACTTCTGGTTTTTCGGGTGGTTAATTGGAGATAAGAGTCTCATGGACTTTCCTACTTGGGCTGGCATCAAACTGCAATCCTCAGATCTCAGGCTCCTGAGTTGCTAGAAATACAGGTGTGGGACATGGACATGCAGCAGTAATTTTCTAACAGTGTGTAATATGCCAGATGCCAGGAAAAGCCTGCAGTCTCAGTAGTGCTCTGGCTTGATTTGCTTCATTATAAAGTATAAAGTCTAGATTTTGGAAGTTTGACATTTTAGTATGTAGCGATTGTTATTTGGAAGTTGACAGGGAGATTTGGCCAGATTATTGGGTTAGGATTAAGTTCTGTTGTAAAGGACAGAAACAAAACTCAGAAGAGTATCTGGGATGAGCTAGGAACCTGGTGTATGTATCTCACAACATTCATATGGTAACCTGGGGTGTTATCAAAGCCCATGCTTGTCTCTACTCCTCTGTCCCAGTACCGTCCTGGGACAGAAGGTCTCTATGGCTCAGCTGTGCTTATTCAACACTATTGTCATTGAAGCTTGTGAGAGGCAAGGCAGAGTAGCTGACTGCTTGCCTCCAGCTTGTAGTAAACAGGCATCTTCCTGGAAGGTCCTGGGCTAGGCCCCTGCCTGTCACTGATGATATCTTGCTATTGGAAGGGTGGGATGTATCTTGCAGTGCATCAGTGTAGATAGCAGTTGGCTTAGTAACTGAGTGGAGAGCACATGGTTTTAATTGGTTGTAGTCTTGGATCTTGGACACATAAAGTGATTTAAGATGTCCTTCCTGACATCTTAAGTGTGATACTGGTTCCATAAACTAACTACATCACCGCAGATGCTACGCAGCAGGAATGCCTTACTCTCCTGTCCTTTTTTTTTTTTTTTTTGTGGGGGTCCGGTTGTGGGGCCTGAACTCTGAGCCTGGGCGCTGTCCCTCAGCTCAAGGCTAGTGCTCTACCACTTGAGCCACAGCGCTACTTCCGGCTTTTTTCTTTTTGCTTATGTGGTGCTGAGGAATCGAACCCAGGGCCTCATGCATGCAAGGCAAGCACTCTACCGCTGAGCCACCTTCCCAGCCCCTCCTGTTGTTAATTCTTAGGTCATTCTTGCTAAGTATTACCAAGTTTTGATGGCTTTGTGCATATCTAGATACTGTATCATAAAAAAATGGAGTGGATTGTGAACTTGGTGGCTGTGGAAATGTGTAATCACCCAAAAGAAAATAATGGTGTCATTTGGAGGGGGGCTCTTTTCTTTCTTTCCTCCTGTTCCCCCCCCCTCTCCCCTCTTAGGAGCAGAGGCTTTCTTTTAGGCTATGCATTTGAAAATTTCAATGTTTTAAGGATGCTTGTACATAATGTGTGCATACCTCTTTTGTTCTTGGTTTGTAAATTAACTTTTATAAACTTTACCTTTTTTATGCATAAAACCAACTTTCTCCTGTACCTTTTGAGCCTTGAACTTTGACCTGCAGCAATAAAGCAGCGTTTCTATGACACACGTCATTTTTTTAAGAAAAAAGAATGCATAGAGTTTTTACAATTTTAAGTGCTGCATTTAAAAGAGACAGTTATTCAGAATTCTCTAGTTTGATTAAATTCTTGCAAAGTACCCCTACTGTAATTTGTGATACAAATGCTGTGCCCTAAATTGTATTTTTTTACTTATAGACAATTTTTTTTTTGCGGGTGGGGGGGGCGGTCCGGTCGTGGGGCCTGAACTCTGTGCCTGGGCGCTGTCCCTCAGCTCTTCAGCTTAAGGCTAGCGTTCTACCACTTGAGCCACAGTGCCACTTCTGGCTTTTTTCTTTCTGCTTATGTGGTGCTGAGGAATCGAACCCAGGGCCTCATGCATGCAAGACAAGTGCTCTCCCAGTGAGCCACCTTCCCAGCCCATAGACAATTTCTTATGGCACATCAGCATGATTTCTGTTTAGATAATACACCACTACATTCTGTTAATCATTAGGTGTAACTGAATTTTCTTTTGCAGTTATTAAAAAAAATCTCAAATTTCTAAATCTGCAGAATAAAACTTGAAAAAAAAAGATGTCCTTCCTTCCTTCCTTCCTTCCTTCCTTCCTTCCTTCCTTCCTTCCTTCCTTCCTTCCTTCCTTCCTTCCTTCCTTCCTTCCTTCCTTTCCTCCCTCCCTCCCTCCCTCCCTCCCTCCCTTCCTCCCTTCCCTCCCTCCTTCCTTCCCTTCCCTCCCTTCCTCCCTCCCTTCCCTCCCTCCTTCCTTTCCTCCTTCCTTCCTTCCCTCCCTCCTTCCCTCCTTTCCTCCCTGGTCCTGGGGTTTGAACTCAAGGCCTGGGCACTGTTTCTCAGCTTTTTTTCCTCAAGTCTAGCATTCTGCCACTTGAACCACAGTTCCACTTCTAGCTGATGGACTCTCCTGCCGGAGCTGGCTTTGAACTATGATCCTTACATCATAGGGCACCAGTGGCTCACACCTGTCATCCTAGCTACTCAGGAGGTTGAGGTCTGAGGATCGTGGTTCAAAGCCAGCCCAGGCAAGAAAGTCCGTGAGACTCTTATCTCCAATTAAGCACCAGAAAACCAGAATTGGCTTTGTGGCTCAAGTGGTAGAGCACTTGCCTTGAGCTGAAGAGCTCAGGGACAATGCCCAGGCCCAGAGTTCAAACCCCATGACTGAAAAAAAAAAAAAAAATTCTTAGTAGATGTTTAATTAGGGGTACCCCCTTTGACAAGAAAGAATGGGTTACTCTGTACAGTATTTTCACAATAAAAAAACATAATAAAAAATAAAAAGAAAGAATGAGTTAGTTTGGAAAATTAGAGGCTCAGGAACTGCTTTGCATGAAGTACATGGGTAATGTTAAACTTTTTCCTTGCTTCTTTATTTGCCTGCTTTAAGACGGTATCACTGTGTAGCCCAGGCTGGCCTCAGACTTGAGGTTCTCCTGCTCACTCAGCCTCCTAAGTGCTAGACTTACAGGTGTGCATACCACATCCATCTGAAACGTGTGTGTGTGTGTGTGTGTGTGTGTGTGTGTGTGTGTGTGTGTGTGTGTGTGTGTGTGTGTGTGTGTGTGTGTGTGTGTGTGTGTGATATGTGATGCATGCACATGTGCTATGACTGGAGTTTGAACTCAAGGCTGGTGATCTACCATTTGAATCATAGCTCCACTTGCTTTGTGGTGGTTAATTAGAGGTAAGAGTCTTAAGAACTTTCCTGCCTGAGCTGGCTTCAAACTATCATCATAACATCTCAGCCTTCTGAGTACTTAGGATTAAAGATGTGAGCCACTGGCACCTGGCTCTGCAAAACAGCTCTGACACCTGGTTATGTTTGGTAGCTTTGAGAGTCTTGGATGCCCTTGACCTCCGATTATCATTTCAGTGGAAGATGAAGAGGACACCATTGAAGAGGAGGAAGCACATGAAGGGCTTGTAGACCACCACACAGAACTTTCTAACCTAGCCAAAGAAGGTAGGCTCTCATCTTATTGGAGACTGATAAAAAGTCTTCTTTATTTTAGTGTACTTGAGTGGGTGTACTTAATTGGGTGATTGATTGATTAATTAACTTTTTGCCAAATATTGAACCTAGGCCTTTATTTACCTTGTCAAATGTATTCTCTAACACTGAGCTACAACCCTACGCATTTCTTTTTTCTTCTCTCCTCTCCCCTTCCTCCTTCCCTTTTCTTCCCCTCTTCTTCCCCTCTTCTTCCCTCCTTTCCCTTCTTTCCCTGTTCTCTTTTGTCTTGCCTTCCCTCCCTCCCTCCCTCTCTTCCTTCCTTCCTTCCTCCCTCCCTCCCTCCTTCCTTCCTTCCTTCCTTCCTATAAAGTCTTACTATATATCCCAAGATGACCTTGAACTCATGCCTCCTGAGTGGTGGTATTCAGGCTGTGCCACCATGCCTGGCTTCCTCTCAGTCTTTCTTTAAAGAAAACGCTTTGCCACTGTCTTTTTTTTTTTTTTTTTTTGGTAGAAATGAGTATTTGGTTCTATTCTCTGTTATGTAAGGGGCAAAAAGAAGGGCTCAGTCTCCTTGGTATCATATCCTATACAGGTCACTGCTTATACTTGTGGCATTTGTTATTTTGACTCTGCAGTCTTAGGCTGGTAAGGGTGTGTGTGCATTCCAGTATTGTGCATTTCCAATACTTAGGTCCAGGGCAAGTTGGTACTCTGCCACTGAGTCATAGCTCCATTCACTTACAGCTTTTCGGTTGTTAATTGGAGATAAGAATCCCATGGCGGGGCTGGGAAGGTGGCTCAGTGGTAGAGCACTTGCCGTGCATGCCTGAGGCCCTGGGTTCGATTCCTCAGCACCACATAAGCAAAAAGAAAAAAGCCGGAAGTGGCACTGTGGCTCAAGTGGTAGAGCACTAGCCTTGAGCTGAAGAGCTGAGGGACAGCACCCAGGCCCAGAGTTCAGGCCCCAGGACCGGACCAAAAAAAAAAAAAGAATCCCATGGATTTTCTTTCTTTTTCTTTTTGGTTGTGGGGCTTGAACTCAAGGCCTGGGCACTGTTCCTGAGCTTCTTTTTGTTCAAGGCTAGTGTTCTACCACTTGAGCCACAGCACTTCCGGCTTTTTCTGAGTACTTTTTTTTTTTGTCGGTTGTGGGGGTTGGACTCTAGGCCTAGGTACTATCCCTGAGCTCTTCAGCTCAAGGCTAGCACTCTACCACTTGAGCCATAGTGCCACTTCCAATCTTTTCTGTTCATGTGGTGCTGAAGACTCGAACCCAGGGCTCCATGCATGAGAGACAAGCACTCTACCACTGAGCCACCTTCCCATCCCCATGAGTAGTTTATAATAGATAAGAATCACATGGATTTTCCTACCTAGATGGCCTCCAAAATACATCCTATAGTGAATAAGTCTTACCAGAGCTTATACAACTCAACCACAAATAAATTGGTTCATGTTGTCACACAAGTGTTCTGAGCCAGGAAGATGCTCAGTACTGGGTCTTGAAGTCAGGGTCTGAGTCCTGTTCCTTATTATTTGCCGAAGGCTGATGCTCTACTACTTAAGCTACACCTCACTTCTGACTTTTTCTTAGTTAACTGGAGAAAAAAGTCCCACTGACTTTCCCATCTGGGCTGGCTTCACACCTTATCCTCAGATCTCAGCCTCCCGAGTAGCTAGGATTACAAGTGTTGAGCCACCACCTCCTGGCTTCTAGTTATCTTTTTTTTTTGGTGGGGGGGGTCCGGTTGTGGGGTCTGAACTCTAGCCTGGGTGCTGTCCCTCAGCTCTTCAGCTCAAGGCTAGCGCTCTACCACTTGAGCCACAGCGCCACTTCCAGCTTTTTTCTTTTTGCTTATGTGGTGCTGAGGAATCGAACCCAGGGCCTCTTGCATGCAAGGCAAGTGCTCTACCACTGAGCCACCTTCCCAGCCCTCTAGTTATCTTTTGAGATAGGGTTTTGCTTTTTGCCTAGGCCATCTTGAACTTTGATTATTGCAAGCTGATTAATAGGCATATACAACTACACCTAGATATTGATTGAGATAGGAGTCTCATGAATTCTTTGGCCCAACCTCAAACTACAATCCTCCCATTCTCAGCCTTTCAAATAGCTATGATTACCAATGTGAGTCACTGGTACCCAGTTAACATTTTGTATGCATCATGACCATTAGTTATTTTATATCATTGGTAATTCAATTTTTGGTATATGTGTATGCCAGCCCTGGGGCTTGAATTTAGGGTCTGGGCACTGTATTATCTCCAGACTTTTTCACACAAAGTTGATGCTCAAGCACGTGAACCACAGCTCTACTACCAGCTTGGATAAGAGTCTCATGGAGTTTTTTGCCCTGGCTAGCTTCAAATTGCAGTCCTCAGATCTCAACTTTCTGATTAGCTAGGATTATAGATGTGAGCCACCAGCGCCAGGCTTCATTTTCATTTTTCTTGTGGTGTTGGAAGTTGAAGCCAGGACCTCACACATGCTGGGCAAGTGTTCTACCACTGAATATTTTTGCTCTTTAATAAAAACCCTCCAAAACTTGATTTTTTTTTTTTTCTTTTTTGGTCGTGGGGCTTGAACTTGGCCTGAGCGCTGTCCCTGAGATCTTCAGCTCAAGGCTAGCACTCTACCACTTGAGCCACAGCACCACTTCCAGTTTTCTAGTGGTTTATTTGGAGGTAAGAGTCTCACGGACTTTCCTGCCTGGGCTGGCTTTGAATCATGATCCTCAGATCTCAGCCTCCTGATTACAGGCATGAGCCACTGCCCAGCTCTCTAAAACTTTTGAGCACTAGGAAAATGATGCTCTAAAAGCTTTGGGTTTTGGGTGGTGGTTGTGATTTATGCCCATTATTCCAGTCACTCAGGAAGGTGAAGTAGGAGCAGCACAGGCTGGCCTAGGCAAAAGGTTGAGATCCTATCTGAAAAGTAAATGGAAACAAAAAGGGCTGGAGATGTGGCTCAAATGGTAGCTTGAAAGGCCTTGAGTTCACCAGTACTGCCAAAAAGCTTCAGATTTTAGAACATTTTATATCATCTAGTTAGGTTTGTTTACCTGGTCAGCTGTATGTAGATATTTCAAGTCTGAAAACCTCAATACTTTTGGAAATCTCAAGAATTTTGGTTGTTACTGGTGGTACCAGGGCTTAAACTCAGAGCATGTGCTTACTCTCTTTCACTTATGGCTGGTGCTCTACTAATTGAGCCATATCCTTAGTCTCACATTTTGCTGGTTAATTGCAGATAGAGTCTCCTGGACTTTTCTGCCAAAGCTGCCTTTGAACTATGATTCTTAGGTCTGAGCCTTCTCAGTAGTTTAGGATTATAGATGTGATCCACCTGTGTTGAGCTTCAGAAATTATTATTAGTCATGGCTCCAGTCATTTTATTAAAGATATTCCAACTTGCATGTACGGTTTCTGAGGAATTATCTAAAGCTAGAAAAATCCTTTTTACCTTTTTGCTTTGGTTCCTTGTTGTATTTTCTTTTCAGTTAACTGACAATTGTTATAAAATAATGGTGTTTCTTTGTGCAATCCTTTCAGCTGAACTGCCCTTAATTGACCTAATGAAGTTGTATGAAGGTGCCTTTCTGCCAAGTTTTCAGTGGCCACAACCTGAACCTGATTGTGAAGAGACAAGTGGAGAAGAGGGTATGTTTCTAGTATTTTTCTAGTATTATAAAGATGCAGGGTTTGAATTGGGAACCAGTGGTTCACACCAGTGATCCTAGTTAGTTACCCAGGAGGCTGAGACTGAAGCTCAGTTCAAAACTTGGGAAGACAAATCAGACTCTGACCTTTATTTACCCAGAAGCCGGAGTGGAGGTGTAGCTCAAATGAATAAGAGTGCCAGTCTTGTGCAGAAAAGCTCCTACATTTTAAAACAAGGAGGAAGTTTGCTGAAGGGCCCTGAAACTTGGGATGGGGATCTTTCAGCACTTGTCTTGTCCCTGCTTACGTGCACATGTGTCCAACAATAAGAACAAGTAGAGCTGGGCACCGGTGGCTCACGCATGTAATCCTAGCTATTCAGGAGGTTGAGATCTGAGGATTGCTTGTGGTTCAAAGCCAGCCCAGGCAGGAAAGTCCATGAGACACTTTTTTTTTTTTTTTTTTTTTGTCGGTCGTGTGTCTTGAACTCTGGGCCTGGGCGCTGTCCCTCAGCTCTTCAGCTCAAGGCTAGCGCTCTACCACTTGAGCTACAGCACCACTTCCTATGAGACTCTTTATCTCCAGTTAACCACCAGAAAACTGGAAGTGGTACTGTGGCTCAAGTGGTAGAACACTGGCCTTGAGCTGCAGAGCTCAGGGACAGCACTCAGACCCAGATTTCAAGCCTCACAACTAACAAAAAAAAAGGGCGGGGGACTCAGTGGTAGACTGCTTGCCTTGCGTGCATGAGGCCCTGGCCTCGATTCCTCAGCACCACATAAGCAAAAAAAGCTGAAAGTGGCGCCTTGAGCTGAAGAGCTGACGGACAGTGCCCAGGCCCAGAGTTCAGGCCCCACGACTGACAGGAAAAAAAAAGAACAAGTAAAATAAGAAGAGAAGTAGACTATGTATTTCCTATATCTATCTGGAATGGCTAATGAAAAGCAAACTCAACTACGTCAAATGTATTCAACTAATATAGCATAGCTCCCAAAACATGATAAAAACCTAACGTTTATAAAACAATGGCTGTTAGACATCTAGAGAAAAACATGATCATAGCCTGCACAACTTTATCCAATGCTCTGATAAATATGCCAAGTTAGCCAGAGCATAGAATTTAAAGTTTATTCAAAAAGTTCATTTTATTCAAGTGTTTATTTTCCTTTTAGTTTGATGAAGGGGAAAACTGGAAAATAATTTAATTTTAAGCTTTCACCTCTAGTTATTTAGCTTTCATTTTCAAACCTGATTGTGTGTGTGTGTGTGTGTGTGTGTGTGTGAGAGAGAGAGAGAGAGAGACAGAGAGAGAGAGAGAGAGAGAGAGAGAGAGAGAGAAGCAAGGAAGAAAAAGAAGGAGAGGAAGGAAGGAAGGAAATAGAACTCCGGGCCAGGGGATTTTCCCTTAGTTTTTTCAGTCAAGGCTGGCACTATATCATTTGAGCCACACCTCCACTTTTTCTAGAGTGTGGGGGGGGGAGATTTCTTCTTCTTAGATACTTTCTATCCATTATTCTAGCTCTTAAATGTAATAGAGGACTTTCCCAAATACCAAGCTATTGAGGCTATCCAGAGTGGTCTATTTTTTTTTTTTTTTTTTGGGTCCGGTCGTGGGGCCTGAACTCTGGGCTCTGTCCCTCAGCTCTTCAGCTCAAGGCTAGCGCTCTACCACTTGAGCCACAGTGCTACTTCCGGCTTTTTCTGCTTATGTGGTACTGAGGAATCGAACCCAGGGCCTCATGTATGCAAGGCAAGCATCAAGAGTGGTCTTAAATGTAATATTTCATAGGGGTTCTTGTTCATTTATCCAGGTAGTTATATAAAATGGGTTACAAAGGAAAAGTTTTGTTGGTCTTCTCTCTTTTGTTGGTTGTGAGGCTTGAACTCAGGGCCTGAGGAATGTCCCTGGACTCTTGCTCAAGGCTAGTGCTCTACCACTTTGAGTTACAGTGCCACTCCAGTTTTTGGGTGATTAATGGGAGATAAGTCTCATGAGGACTTTTCTGCCCTGGCAGACTTTGAGCTATTATCCTCAGATCTTAGCCTCCTAAGTAGGTAAGATTACAGGTTTGAGTCACCGGTGTCTGGCTTGAAGTATTCGTATTTTCTGTTTTTTCCATTCTTTTCATGTTCCATTTTTTTTTTCTATTGTTGTTCTAGATATGGAAGAGTGTCTGAGTGACCGGGAGAGCCAGAGGGCTTCGGTTCTCATAGACTCCCTCTTTATTATGGATCAGTTTAAAGCCACAGAAAGAGTGAACCTTGGAAAACCTAACACCAAGGACATTGCAGAAGTCACAGCTGTGGCTGAAGCTGTCCTGCCCAAGGGCAGTGCCCGGGTCACAACTGCGGTGAGGCATGGGGTCATTGTGTGCAAATTGTACGAGGAAAGCTCTCTATTCCAAATAGGCTCTTTGTCCCAACTGCAGAAGTTCCCAAAAATGGCTTCATCATTTGTAACTGGCCAACAGTAATACCATTTGACTCTTTTGATTTCAGCTTGAGAAAGAATTTTTGCTCATTATTTTGACAAGTAATTCTTTGGCTGGTCTGTCACTACAGGTGAAGTTTAATGCGCCATCTTTATTGTATGGTGCACTCCGAGATTATCAGAAGATTGGCCTGGATTGGTTGGCCAAACTCTATAGGAAGAATCTGAATGGCATATTGGCAGATGAGGCTGGGCTTGGTAAAACAGTGCAGATTATTGCTTTTTTTGCCCACCTTGCCTGTAATGAAGGTAAGAGATTTGTATTTTTGGACAATACACCTGTGCTAAGATTTCACATAGGCTGTATAAGAGTGAGGACTCGGCCTTCTCACCTTCTCTTGGCCCCTGTCCTTTGACCTGAGCCAGAATGTGGGCTCAAATGTCCATTGCAAGTGAGGCATCTGTGGCTTGTGCCTGAAATCCTAACTGCTCAGGTGGTTGAGTTCCAAAAGATTGTTGTTTAGAGATAGCTAGGGCAGAAAAGTCCTCAAGACTCCATCTTTAATTAACTGGCAAAACGTGGTGCTGAAGGCATGATGCAAATGGTAGCGTGCCAGCTGAGTAAACAAGCTGAGCAAGTGAGGCTCTGAATTGAAGTACTAGTGAAAAAAAAAACAAACTCATTGTAGCCAGATGTAGTATATGAATGGCTGTATTCCCAGTACTGAAGAGGCTGAGTAAGACAGAAGTATCCCTGGAAAACATAATCAGAGACTGTCCTAAAAATAGAGAACACAAAAATATTTGTTGCATAACAGCTAAAACATCATAATTAACAGGTGAAATGACTCACTGTTATTCAAAATTTAATACAAAGCCATGCCAGCCTGCACCTGAGCTTTCTAACTTGGGTGTCACACACAGCTTGTGAGCAGCAGAGCAGATGCATGGTTTTTCCAGAATATGCTAGTCTCCTTTTCTTCCTCCTCCTCTTCTCTTCCTCTACTTCCCCTTCTCTCCTTTTCCTCCTTTTAAAAATGCTTATTTTTTAAAAAAATTATTATAAAGGTGTCATGCAGAGGGGTCACAGTTACATTATGTTAAGTCGGATAAAGAGAACATCTCTTTTTTTGATAGTGTCACTCCTTCCCTCATTCTCTGTTTGTCCCTCCCATCTCCACCCACAAGTTGTGTCTGGTGAATACCACTGCTGCATTTGTTCACCCTTTGTCCCTCCTTTTCTATACGCTCCTTACTCTCCCAAAAACAGATAAATGAACAAACAAAGCAGAAATAAAAAGAGAAAAAGACAAAAAACAAAGGAAAAAACTAATTTCCATTTCCTGGAGTTTATTTTGAAAAATATATGATCAGAGGCCCATAGGCATTGTACCTTTGTGTGCCTCACCTAAGAGTATCTTCCTTTGGTCTCACTGTGTGAGACACCTGGAGTCCTGTGTAATAACATGTCCCAGTGTATTTTACATCTAGCTTCTGCATATGAGAGAAACGTGCACCAAATTGACTCTGAGTTTTCCTCTTCTTCCTCTTCTTCCTCTTTTTCTCTTCCTCTTTCTCCTCTTCTTCCTTCTCTTCCCCTTCCTTTTTCTTCTTCCCACTTTTTCTTCCCCTCTTTCTCTTCTTCTTCCTTCTCTCCCTCCCTCCTCTTTTGTGGGAACAGGGTTCTTTTGAGGGGGATGTTGAGCTCAGGACTTTGCACTTACAAGATTGGCATACCACCACTTGATGTCACAGGTCCAGCACTTTAGATACTTTTTGTATAGGGTCTCATGGGTTTTTTGTTTATTTGTTTACATGTGGCCAGCTTCAGACTGCCATCTACCTACTTAAGAGTCTCACCTACCCAAGACTGCAGTAACAAACCACTATGCCCAGACCTAATCACAAACTCTTGAATCACTTGGTTTGTACAACCTATGGTATCCACCATTGTACCCAGGGCTTTCTTGTGCTATTATATACATATCCCTCTTGCCTCTCCTGCTGAGTTCTGCCTTTCTGAGCAGCATTTCTATCTTTTTTTAAGTACATTTTTATTTTTTTAAAGAAGTTGTTCAAAGGAATTGCCATTCAGCAGAGCAGTTTGTGAATACAGTGTCTCTTGATCTATGTTACCCCTTTTATTCTCACTCATCCCTGAGCTGATACTTTGCTCAGGTTCAGTGGGAGTGCTAGTGTACAGCATTTGTTACCTTGATGTCTGCTTTCCTTGTGTGTCACCTACTTAACTAGCTTTGCTGCTAAGACATGGTGTCGGGTGATTAGACTGGACAGAGTAAGTGAAATATTCTGTTCTTTTTGTAGGTAATTGGGGTCCCCATCTTGTTGTTGTGAGGAGCTGCAACATACTCAAATGGGAACTTGAGTTGAAACGCTGGTGTCCTGGGTTAAAAACCCTCTCCTATGTTGGCAGTCACAGGGAACTCAAAGCAAAGAGACAGGTATTTTTAATTTATTTTTATTTTTTTGTTGTATAGTAGGCCTGGCTTGATGTGGCGTGGCAGTCTGTCAGTGCTTTGCAGATGATGGCTGCCAAGAACCGCGGGAAGACAAGGGCTTCTTTCTGTGCTGCAGGAATGGGCTGAGCCCAACAGCTTCCATGTCTGCATCACGTCTTATAAGCAGTTCTTCAGGGGTTACACTGCGTTCTCCAGGGTGCGCTGGAAGTGCCTTGTCATTGATGAGATGCAGCGTGTGAAGGGCATGACTGAGAGGCACTGGGAAGCTGTTTTCACTCTGCACAGGTCAGGTCTGAATGCCACTCAAGTACTGTGTGCTGCCCACCCACCCCTAGTAATACTGCCTTGTACCCTTCACCTTTGTCACAGGGCTGAGGAGACACCCAGAGCTCCTTTGTTCAGACCCTTTCATTAACATGAACTGCATAGAATGGCTATTGCCCCTTTTGTACACATTGCCCAGAGAGATGGACTGTGCAGAATCATGCATTTAAGATTCCAGCCTTACCTCATTGTGTTTGCAGCCAGCAGCGCCTGCTTCTGATCGATGCACCACTACATAACACCTTCCTGGAGCTCTGGACCATGGTGCACTTTCTCATCCCCGGGATCTCCAGGCCTTACCTGAGCTTTCCCCTGAAAGCCTCCAATGAAGAGAACCAAGATTACTACCATAAAGTGGTCATAAGGCTCCACAGGGTACCTGTACTTCTGTGTCTCCAGCTTACTCGCAAACATGCATGCGCCTTACTGTAAATGGGTTAGACCTCTGTGTCTCCTCCAGCTTATTTGTGAACATGCATGCACCTTACTGTAAATGTGTTAGACTTCTGTGTCTCCAGCTTACTCATGAACATGCATGCGCCTTACTGTAAATGTGTTAGACCTCTGTGTCTCCAGCTTACTCGTGAACATGCATGCGCCTTACTGTAAATGTGTTAGACCTCTGTGTCTCCAGCTTACTCATGAACATGCATGCCCCTTACTGTAAATGTGTTAGACCTCTGTGTCTCCAGCTTACTTATGAACATGCATGTGCCTTACTGTAAATGGGTTAGACCTCTGTGTCTCCTCCAGCTTATTCATGAACATGCATGCACCTTACTGTAAACGTGTTAGACCTCTCTGTCTCCTCCAGCTTACTCGTGAACATGCATGCACCTTACTGTAAATGTGTTAGACTTCTGTGTCTCCAGCTTACTCATGAACATGCATGCGCCTTACTGTAAATGGGTTAGACCTCTGTGTCTCCTCCAGCTTACTCGTGAACATGCATGCGCCTTACTGTAAATGTGTTAGACCTGTGTGTCTCCTCCAGCTTACTCATGAACGTGCATGTGCTTTACTATAAATGTGCTAGGGCCTTGTTTTGGAAAGAAAACAGTCATTATTTTCTCCAGGTGACACAGCCATTTATTTTGAGGAGAACTAAGAGAGATGTAGAGAAGCAGCTGACCAGAAAGTATGAGCACGTTTTGAAGTGTCGCCTTTCCAGTCGGCAGAAGGCCTTATATGAGGATGTCATTCTACAGCCTGGGTGAGTGCTGGGCTTGGTGTGCCCACTTGCTTGCCCCCACTCTGAGCGTTAGGTGTGTTCTCTGATGTCTTGCTGGGAGCTCTTGCTTGTGAGAACCAGGGTGAACAGATGGGTGCAGAACAATTGTGTGAGCATCTTCCTTCACTGTGCACCAAGATGGGGAGCAGCTGGTGATGCCTGTCTATAGCTGGCTGTTGGCCTCACAGCACCCTGCTGCTTCTCATCTTAAGGACATGGTGTATACTTGCAGCCCTGAGAATGATGTTTATGTTTCTGAAGTTCTTATAGTCATGGGTGTCACTGTGTATTCCTCGTTTGGCCATTATTGCAGTATGTCTCAAAAGTTTATTGGGACCTGGGTACTGGCTCAAATCTAATCCTGCTTACTCAGGAAGCTGAGATCTGGAGATCACAGTTCAGAGCCAGCCTGGCAGGAAAATCCTAAGACTTATCTCTAAGTAACCATCAAAAAGCCAGAAGTGGAACTGTGGCTCAAGTAGTAGAGTGGTAGCCTTGAGCATAAAAGCTCAGGGACAGCACCTGGTCCTAAGTTCAAGCCCCAGGATTGGCATTAAAAAAAAAAAAAAAAAGCTGGGCACTGGTAGCTTAACACCTGTAATCTGTAAGCCGTAATCCTAGCTATTCCGGAGGCTGAGATCTGAGGTTTGCAGTTCAAAGCCAGCTCAGGCAGGAAAGTCCCTATCTCCAATAAACCACTCAGAAAATGGGAAGTGGTGCGGTGGCTCAAGTGGTGGAGAGCTCACCTTGAGCTGAAGAGCTCGAGGACAGCGCCCAGGCCCAGAGCAGAGCTCAAGCCCTATGACTGAAAAGAAAATGTTGGGTGCTGTGGTGGCTCATGCCTGTAATCCAACTTCTCAGGCTGAGATCTGAGGGTCACATTTCAAAACCAGTCTGCAGGAAAGTCCCATGAGACTCATCTCAAACAAACTACTCAGAAAAAGCCAGAAGTGTCACTGTGGCTCAAGTGGTAAGAGCGCTAGACTTGAGTACAAAGAGGCCAAGGAATGGCACCAGGCCCTGAGTTCAAGCCCCAGGACTGACAAGAAAATAAAATTATTGAGAAATTTAGGACAGAAATATGTATGCATGCTTACTTACTTTCTAGTTTCTCCAGCAGTCCTCAACAAACCAGTGGTGTGAAACTCACCTTGTCAGTTCACTGTAGAATAGGAACAATAACATACACCCATCCATAACATCATCTGGGGCTAGCCCTTCTGAATGTGGTGGGAGCCAAAGGTGCTTTGCCGTTGCCTCTGCTGTGGTGCCAGTCAGATCTCTCAGTGAAGTATTGGTGTCACTCTTTGCTGGCTTCAGTCTGGTTGATGCACAATGTCCGGTGGAGGGGGACGCAGCTTCTGTGGTGGCCAGGAGCCATATCACCAGCACACAGGAGAAGCATTCCTCAGTTACCTTGCATTTCTTAGCTCACCTACCAACCAGAAGCTCTGACAAGTTGTTCCTTAATGTATTGGCCTGTACTCATGGAATTAAGCATTATGTTGAGAGTTATGGTGTCTGTTATTGAGGTGTGAGAGACTTGTAGTACTAGGGCCCAGTAGGTGAAAGCAGATCTTGTTTTACTGATCTTTGGCTGATTCTGTGGCATCTGCCCCCCTAGTGGCATGGTAGGGAGAAACTTCCTATTTATGTGTGGTTTTCTTCTCTGCATATCAAGTGCTAGGGTGTGAGGTGTGCATATTCCTCCGTCTTGCCTTTGGTCATTTTTTAAAGCATTGTCAGGTGCTGCCACACTGTGGGCTGTTGCTGTCTACCTCAGGTCCTCCAGGGATGCTGAATGTCCTGTCCTGGCCAGCCTTCCTAGACTCCACCCTGCTTTTGTGCTGTCTGCTCTGCTTTGTCTCCAGGCTCCTCAGGGAGCTGCATGTGTGTTCTTCAGTTCCTCTTGCTATGTTCTTCTCTAGGAAGCTCCTGTCTTTCCTTTTCCTTGGTCTTTCTCCAGGAGCCTCACCCCAGGATCAGCCTTCCTATAGAGAACCATGACACTGTTTAAACTCCTTCCCTGAGCAGCAGATATGTCTTAAGTGATAAGAGCATCTGCTTGCAAGCCTGAGCCTTGAGCTCAAACACCCGTACTGCTAAAATAAAAGAAAGGTGTACATCATTGGCTTACACCTATAGTCCTATCTACTTGAGAGAATCATAGTTAGAAGCCAACCTGGGCAGAAAAGTTCACTAGATTATCTCCAATTAACTAGAGCCATGCCTCAATAATAAAGCCCTATAAATGAAGAGAGCTGAATGAGAGTAAGATGCCCTTAGTTCAACACAGTACCAATGGAGCAGAAGTCAAATAACTTCCCTCCCTGTCCCTTTCCTCCATCTTTGTCCTCTCAGCCAGGCACTGTTGTTGCTCACCCTTCCTTCCTGTGCCCCAATGTGTCCCAGCACCCAAGCCACTGTGCTGGTGGCTTCAGGCGGTGAATCTGTTGCAGCACGCCCTGGGGCAGCGTCGCCCTGGGCAGCGTCGTCCCAGGAGACTGGCTTGTCCTGAGCTGCTCCTCTCGTAACTTTTTCCTCTTCCTGTTGTAGATTGTTTGACTTAGAAACCTGCAGTGATTCGCTCCACACCTTCTCAGGTTCCATGTTCCTTCCTGAATTTCTCCAGAGTAGCCAACCCTCACTACATATTTCTGGCTGCTGAACATGCTGCGTTCTGTCCAGGCAAGCTTCTTCTCTTCCAGGAGGTCCATTCCAGCTGCACCAGGGCCCAGCTGTTTGCCTGCTTGGTATCTTGTTCACCATTGTTCAGTGTAACCCCCATAGGATCAGGTGTTAGCAGCTCTATCTTGTGAGACTGGGGATGCACTTTCTGCAGTGTTTTCATCTTGCCCTTCTGCCTGGCCCATTCCTCTCACCCTTGGAATTGTCTGCCTCTGCTCCTCCTTCAGGGTCCTCGTCACAGTGGTGGAAACTTGTTGAAAGGAGAGCTCTCTCTCCCATGTCTGGCCTCTGGTTCATGGCTCTCTGACAGAGTATATTTTTGCATAGGGAAGATGAGGGACACAATGGGTGAATAAAAGGCCTGTGTGGGAATGTTTACCTGAATGTTCAGCAAAACTAATGTCATGTAGTTTAGGGGAACATGCCCGCGAAGCTTCTGGGGTTAGTATAGGAGATGGTAAGGAGTCAGAGTGTAAATACGTATTTGCCGTTCTGCCTCAACTACCTGTCTGTTCTCAATGAGCAGGACACAAGAAGCTCTGAAGAGCGGGCACTTCGTCAGTGTCTTGAGTGTCCTGATGCGGCTGCAACGCATCTGCAACCACCCTGGGTTGGTGGAGCCCCGGCTCCCAGGATCTTCCTATGCAGCTGGCTCTCTACAGTACCGATCTGCCTCTCTCATTCTCAAGGCCCTGGAGAGAGAGTTTTGGAAGGTAAGTACAGAAAGCTAAATCACGGCTTGAGGTCTTTCCAGGCACTTGCTAGATAAAACTCAGGCATCTATACAAAGCAACTTTCAGCCCCTTTCTTCAGCCTTTCCTGACCACCATCAGACTATTCTCAATCTGTGGACTTAACATGTTCTGGTTGCTTTATGAGAATCACATGCAGCCTTTCGTGTCTCACTTCTTTGACTTAACATATTCTTGAAGTTTACCCTGTTTTGTTTGTCAGAATGTTTGTCTGAATATCCTTTTTAAAGGCTGAAGTAAGAGTCTCTGCATATACATGGGCTTCCATTGCTCTTGGGAGTACACTAGGAAGGGAGTTGCTGGGTCACTTTGTGTCTTCGTCTTTTGAAGAGCTGCTAATACGCCACTGTGGTTGGGCCACCTGGCTTGCTTGCCACTTCCCACTCTCCATTCCTCACCTGCCCTGCTCTTGCCCTCCTCTTGGGGGTGGGGTTACTTTTTTGTTATCTAAAGCCCTGAGAAGCGTGACGACGAGTGGTACCAGGGAAGGCGGGTGCTTGCTGCTGTTAGAGGCAGAGCTTTGTGTCTAGACTGGATGTCGTTGGACCCAGGGCTGTGCCCTCCAGCAGTTCTGTTCCTGTCTACTGAAATGCCCAGGATTGGCCTCCAGTGAGACTTCAAGTCTCTGAAGTGAGCCTTGCTAAAGTCATTTCTACACCAACTTCCACATGCCCCAGCTCATACAGGCTTCACCCGAGCCCTTCCCCTGCTCTCTCCATAGGTCCAGACTTGGAGCTGCCTAAGTTCTTTCTCTAAGCTCTAGTTTGTCTCTCAGGGCTTATTCCTCATTCTTGGGACCCTGGGGAGGACCAAATGCATTAAGCATAGGGGAGTCATGACCTGCCTAACCCAAGCAGTATTTGTGAGCTGCCCTCCAGGGTAGAGCCTTCTCAGCTTGGCTCCCCTCCTTATAGCAGCTCATGGTTCCCTCTCAGTTATTTCCTCAGCCATCTTGTATAGCACTTTTTTTTTTTTTTGGTTCTTTTTTCTTTTCTTTTTCTACTTAGGAAACCGATCTTTCTATATTTGATCTTATTGGGTTAGAAAATAAAATCACTCGCCATGAAGCGGAATTGTTATCTAAGAAAAAGGTGACTCGGAAACTCATGGAGGAGGTGTTTGTGTCACCACCCCCATCAACACGGCCAGCAGCAGTGAAGTTGAAGGCCAGCAGGTATGTGGGTATGAGTTAGGAGCAGCACCTGGTTGGGAGTCAGCTTCCTAGCACTTGGGGTTGGGAACTCTCCACCCCTTCAGCTGACCCTGGGCCATCAATAGTGAAGAGGAATGCTGTAATCTTAAATAGGTTTCCCGATTCTCTCAGGAATTTTCCCTGGACAGCAAGTGTCGCTGCTGTCCAAGGAGTGCTCTTAAGCAAGCTTGTGGTTTGGGATGCATATGAGAGTTTAGTCTGCCGGCTGGTATAGCCAGGCATCTTGTTAGTGGTACGCTTGTGACAGGGTAGGCAGGGGTTTCTACTGGATTGCATCAAAGCTGTTCTCAGAATATCTCCACAGCAATGTGAAAGGATGGTTTTGTGAATCTGAGAGGGATAGACATACTAGATGGTGATAGTGAGAAATACATGATTCAGGATAGACTAAGTAGACTAAACCCAGTGATTCAATTCCTGAAATGAAATGAAAGTTGGTACTTGAGATAAAAGGGGCCTGTTTTGCCGAGTGCCAATGGCTCATCCCTATAATCCTAGCTACTCAGGAGGCTGAGATCTGAGGATTGCAGTTCAAAGCCAGCTCAGACAGGTCTATGAGACTCATCTCTAATTAATCACCAGAAAAACAGAAGTGGTGCTGTGGCTCTTGTGGTAGAGCACTTGCTTTGAGCTAAAGAGCTCAGGGACAGCACCCACGCCCAGAATTTAAGTCCAACCGGAAAAAAAAAAAAAAAGCAGGGGGTGGGGAGAAGATGAGCCAGTTCAGCAGATGGATAGTCCCTTCTGACCTTGGCTTACATGAGTATTGTGACCAGTTGTCTTCAGATTGGTGGTGGTAGGAATGGCAGCAGCAGGTTTCTGCAGACCCCCAGCCTGTCTACTTAGGAAACCTCTGACCTGATGTACCAGACAAATGGGTTCACTTGTGCTCACTGGGTTTTGTTAAAAGGCTTAGTGGAGCCAGGTGCTGGTGGCTTATGCCTGTAATTCTAGCTACTCAGGAACCTGAGATCTGAGGGCCATGGTTTGAAACCAACCCAGACAAGGGAAATCTGTGAGACCTTATCTCCAGTTAATTCCCCCCAAAAAAGCTGAGAGAAGAGGTTTGGCTCCAGTGGTAGAGCGCTAGCCTTGAGCAAAAAAGCAAAAAGCCTAAGGACAGAGCCCCGGCTCTGAATTCAAACCCTGGGCCCAGGACCAGCACACAAAATGAGGCTCAATGTTATCTCTGCCTATTGTCTTTGTACAGTGGTTTTGAAAACCGCCACTCCCGTTTTCTAGGTAGAAAAAGAGCAGGCTCCACCTTGTTGGACTTGGTGTCCCTCCCTCACGTGCCTTTCCAGACCTGCCGTGCCCACCCATCCTGAGTCCGTATTTACTCAGCATGACTTTTCCGCCCATTTTGCTATTACTCTGAATTGTAGTGTGCAGATGCTACAAGCCAGAGATGTTTTTTCTAATTCACATTGATACTTTATATTAAGATTATCTTTTTTTTTTTTTGTCAGTCATGGGGCCTGAACTCTGGGCCTGGGCACTGTCCCTCAGCTCTTCAGCTCAAGGCTAGTGCTCTACCACTTGAGCTACAGCGCCACTTCCAGCTTTTTCTGCTTATGTGGTGTTGAGGAATCCAACCCAGGGCCTCATGCATGCAAGGCAAGCACTCTCCCACTGAGCCACCTTCCCTGCCCCTATTAAGATTATCTTTAAAAAAGAGAGATAATCTTAATGTCACCAAGAATTAGGCGACATGCCACTTTTTTTTTTTTTTTTGGTCGGTCCTGGGGCTTGAACTGTGAGCTTCGGTGCTGTCCCTCAGCTCTTCAGCTCAAGGCAAGCGTTCTACCACTTGAGCCACAGTACCACTTCCGGTTTTCTGGGTGGTTTATTGGAGATAAGAGTCTCATGGACTCTCCTGCTTGGGCTGGCTTTGAACCGTGATCCTCAGATCTCAGCCTCCTGAATAGCTAGGATTACAGGCGTGAGCCACCGGTGCCTGGGTTGCAACGTGCCACTTCTAAATACAGTTTGTCAGCAGCTTTCCTGGGCTGAGAGTGAGAACAGCTGTCTTTAGAATTACATTGTTCCTGAATTAAGGACTCTCAGTGGGCTTCTGTGGGCAGTCTTTTAGAGTTTGAACTCTGCAGCTTGGTGATCTTCTGTGTATCTTTCTGCCTGATCCAACTGGCATCTAGGTTATTCCAGCCTGTGCAGTATGGTCAGAAGCCTGAGGGTCGTACTGTGGCATTCCCCACACACACACCCCGGACAGCAACTGCCAACACCACTGCTGCTGCTCCACAGGGCCAGGTTCGAGGACGGCCACCAATTGCCACCTTTTCTGCCAACCCGGATGCAAAAGGTACCTCACCTAGCTATCACACTTGTTGTGAAAGGCTTGGGGAAGCACATGGCACTGCATTCTTGCCCTACTGTGTGTTGCAGTCACTGCTGAGAGGGTGCAGGGACCATCATTGTCTCCAAAGGTTCCATGTACACTTTCCCATGATAGTAGCCTTTATTTTTTAAAATTTATTTTTGGTATCTTGAGTTAGGATCTTGCCCAGGCCTTGAACTCTTAATTCTCCTGCCTCAGCCTCCTGAGTTAAGAATCAGAGGCATGGACTAAGAATGTGGTTTAGTAGTAGTAGAGTGCTCCCTTAGCATTCATGAAGCCCTGGGTTCAATTCCTCAGTATCACATAAACAGAAAAAGCCGGAAGTGGCACTGTGGCTCAGAGCACTAGCCTTGAGCACAAAGAGGCTCAGAGACAGTGCCAAGGCCCTGAGTTCAAGTCCCAGGACTGGTACCAAACAAAAAAAGTCACATGCATGTGAATCAAGTCTTCTAGGCATGCACCACCACAATCAGCTTGTAGGTGTTTTTGCTTGCTGCGTTGGGTTTTCCCTGTACAAGAAACTTCACTCTTTGTTGAGTGAGTGTTGATGGTGAGTGCCTTAGCAAATGATTTCTTTTTATGTATGTCAAGGCATATTAGGAAGCTCCTGAGAAAGTCTGTTCTTGTTATGTGTGGTGCGGTCTTTTCAAGTAACTGATGGTAACTTTGAAGAAGTATAGGGTGAAGTACAGAAAAGGTTGCAAAGGCATTTTAACCACCAGCCGCTCAAGTCCATTGCTTTTCGAGATAAACAAGTACTCACAACAGCAGTGGTGAGCTTATGAAAAGGTGAGAGCAGATGCCTCCTTGTGTCTAGGGGGTTATTGTAATTGATAGAACTGTTGGACTGGACTGGCTCCAAACCCTTCTCTCCACTCTGAGAAGTGCACACTGCTTGTGCTGATCAGCTCACAGTGAGCCTAACTCAGCAGCAGGTTGAACCTTGTTCCTCTTTTCTCAAGAACTGTGTAAGTCCCTCCATCTTTTTTTCCCCCCAAGAGAGTGCTTCTCGTTTGAGAAACTGAAATGTTTATGTAATTTCTTTGAAAATCGGGTATAAAATACTGCATTTTATGAAGAACCTCTAACAGCTTTGCACAAACCAACCTTATCGATTGCAGTGGCAGCAGCCCCGTTTCAGACCTCTCAGGCTTCCGTCGGTGCGCCTCGACACCACCAGCCTGCCTCGACCTCCAGCACAGCAGCAGGCCCGGCCCATCCTGTGAAACTGCGGGCCCAGACCAATGCCCAGGCCTCCACCCCAGGCCCGCCCCCGCCCCCGCCCCAGGCCCCCTCGCTGGCTGCGGGTCCGAGCCCGCAGCCTCAGCGGCTGGTGCTCACCTCGCAGGCCCAGGCCCGCTTGCCCAGTAAGTGGCCTCACCAGTCAGCATCTGCTGTTGCTGCCTGGGGCAGCATGTCAGGAACATGGGATGTCTGAAGAGCTTTGCTGTCCACTACTTCTGTCTGCCCCTCAGCCCAGGCCTTAATGCTGCCTGGAGCCTGACACCTCCCTGAGGGTGGGGCCTCTCCAGAGGTCAGCGTCCAGGTCCCTGCTCTTTTCTGCTCTTTCTCCTTACCCTTGCCAGCTCTGTTTTTCTCCTGCATTCCTTGTGCTGGACTGGTGTGCCAGGCTAGCACTTCAGCTTAGTGTCAGCCAAGGTTCTGCCCAGCAGCCTATAGCCCCACACTGAGGAGCTTATGGTGAAGTTATATTAGGTGATATTACGTTTCCAAATACCTTTTTTTTTTTTTCCTGGCTTCTCAAGTGTTACCAAGTGTGAAAATGGGAAGAATATTTGCTTAACAGACATATTGTAATACTATACCAAGCTAAAATATCACAGTGTTCTTTTTTCAGTAGAGCACGTTTTAGTTTGGCCAGCAGGATTAGCATGTTTTCAAAGCTCATATGGACCTTTATTCTCCTGTTGGGGAGATTATCCTAACTTAAAATATTGCAGGCTGTGTAGTTTTCAAATACTGCCTCATGTATGTTCTTTCTTATGTGACAAAATTGTGTTAGGCCTTCCTGGAGAGAGAGAAGGGAGAAAAAGTAGGGAAGCAGCTCCTTTTTTTGTTATGAGTATCTCTTCATTGCCATCAATAAAGAGCAGTTATCTTAGGCAGGCAGATGAGAGGAGAAAGCCCTTACATGCTCCCGTTTCCGTTGGCTGGAGACGAGGTTGTACTGGTGTTTGGGGAGCTACGCATTAGAGGAGCATGAAGGGGGAATACCTTTTTATGTCAACTGGGCTTTACTTACCTACAGACCAAGGAGTGTCAGGGGAGATTTGAATTTCTGTATATAAATCTGTCTCCTACTTTCATTTCCCCATTTTCCTTTTCTTGCTCATAATTATTCGGTAGGCAAGATATCTTTAGATATTTTCCAATTCTTTTATTAACTATTCTCTTCATGGTACTATTAATGATTCTAGCATTTTACTAACTGTTCTTTTTATGCTACCATTAATGATTTCGGTGTGGGTTTTCTTGGGAGGAGCATTTGTACTTGGATGTCAGCCATTTGGTAAAAGCCTTTTAGCTGTGCAGGTTTGGCCTGATAGGAGGACTGTTTTGGAGACATAACATTGAACTACGTTGTTTTAAAATGTTTAAACAGTGTAAAGTTTCACTTCTTTTTTCCACAGTAAATGTTGTAGATTGAATCCTTCAGTCTAGTTTGAATTAGGATGAAATTTTATATCTAAAAGCTTTACTTAGGTATGACTTATTTAAATACATTTCAAGATTTTTTTTAAACATTATGGGTGTAATTGAAGCTCACTGTTTATTCTTTTCATCTAGTGATAAAATCTTTTAACCTCTGTGAGCTTAGTTGAACACATGCTTTTCAGATTTTGAGAGTCTTTTAAAGATTTGCCAGAACAGATTTCTAAATTTATTACAGATAGATTTCTGCTATTTTTGCTGTTTGCTGTTTTGGTTTTTTAAAATAATCATTCGAGGAGAAAAGTAAAATATTCGCTAATAGTTTGGCTGATGATATCAATATTGAATACCAGTAATTCCAACATTTTGTGATCAAATAGGTTAACCATTAAAATCTGTTATATTTGGCTTTTTTTCTAATATAACAATTATTTTCTTGAAGCAGTAAAGAACAATACCTAATTAGTGTTTCTAGGACACTTCAGTTTCTGTAGGTGGCCATTATTTGTAAGACATAATTGTCATGTAAGAGTCCTAGTTTTAACTTTTTTCTCTGCCTTTCAACAGGTGGAGAAGTAGTGAAAATAGCTCAATTGGCATCCATTGCGGGACCACAGAGCCGCATTGCCCAGCCAGAGACACCAGTGACACTGCAATTCCAGGGGAACAAGTTCACCTTGTCACATAGTCAGCTTCGGCAGCTCACAGCAGGCCAGCCCCTACAGCTACAAGGTACTAATGCTGAGAATGACAAGCATGCCACTGTTGGCACATGCCTGAGGACCTACCCTGCCTGGTGGAGTGACTCGGGCAAGTGAGCTGCCTCTTCAAGTTTCAGGTTCTTTAACTAGCAGTGGTGTTAACAAGTCTCACCACATAAAGTTGTTGAGGATTGGTGTCAACTTGAGGCACCCTAATGATAGTCTTTTTTATTTTTTATTTTATGTGCCAATATTGGGGCTTGATTAATCAAGACTGGTGCTCTGCCACTACAGATGTACCTCCACTTCCGATGAGAGAGAGAGAGAGAGAGAGAGTGTGTGTGTGTGTGTGTGTGTGTGTGTGTGTATACATGTGTACTAGTACTGGGGCTTGAACTTCGGGTCTGGGCACTGTCCCTAAGCTTCTTTGCTTAAAGCTAGTGCTCTACCATTTGGGTCACAGCTCCTCTTCCAGATTCTGGGTTTGTTTTTTGGGGGAGGGGTCAGGGAGAGGGAGGTAGTTGTGGGGCTTGAACTCAGTGCCAGGGTGCTGTCCCTGAGATCTTTTGCTCAAGGCTAGTACTCTGCCACCTTGAGCCACAGTGCCACTTCGATTTTCTGGTGGTTACTTGGAGATAAGAGTCTCATAGAGCCGGGTGCTGGTGGCTCATGCCTGTAATCCTAGCTACTCGGGAGGCTGAGATCTGAGGATCGCGGTTCAAAGCCAGCCCGGGCAGGAGAGACCATGAGACTCCTATCTCCAATAAACCACCAGAAAACCGGAAGTGGCGCTGTAGCTCAAGTGGTAGAGCGCTCCCCTTGAGCTGAAGAGCTGAGGGACAGTGCCCAGGCCCAGAGTTCAAGCCCCACAACCGACAAAAAAAAAAAGAGTCTCATAGACTTCCCTGCCCAGATTGGCTTTGTACCATGATCCTCAGGTCTCAGCCCCCTGAGTAAGTAGGATTACAGATGTGAGCTACCAGCTCCCAGTCACTTATAGATTTTTGGTAGTCAATTGGAGATAAAAGTCTCATGAGCTGAGGGGCATTGGTGGCTCATGCCTGCAATCCTACCTACTCAGGATCTGAGATCTGAGGATCACGGTTTAAAGGCAGCCTGAGTAAGAAAGTCTATAAGACTCTTACCTACAATTAACCACCTGTAAACCAGAAGGAGCTATGGCTCAAAGTGATAGAGAGCTAGCCCTGAACACAAAAGCTCAGGGGTAGCACTCAGGACCTGAGTTCAGGACCCACAACCGACAAAAAAATAAGTCTCATGGACTTCCCTGTTCCCGGGCTGAGTTTGACTGCTACTCTCCAATCTCAGCCTTCTGAGTAGCTAGGATTACAGACGTGAGCCACCAGCACGCACCACAGTCATTTTTATTAACAGCATCTGCTCTTTGAAAATAGGTCCCTATTTTATAAATCAAAATAGAAATACTTGCCAAGCACCAGTGGATCACAGTTCAAAGCCAGCCCAGAGAAGCAAGTTTATGAGAACCTTATTTTCAACTAATCACCAGAAACCTGGAAGTGGAGCTGTAGCTCAAGTGGTAGAGTGCTAGTCTTGAGCAAAAAAGCTAAGTGATGGTGCCCAGGTCCTGAGCTGAAGCACTAGGACTAGCAAAAAGAAAAAGCAATGTTTGCCTCTTTGTGATTATGAGATGAGTTGTTCAAGAAATGTCAAAGACTAGAGATTGGTGTGAGAGATGATTTTCTTTTACATATACACATTTTGTTTTTGGTTTTTTTTTTCTGAAATAGATTCTGGCTATGTTACCTAGTAGCTGGGACCACAGGTGCATGCTGCCACACCTGACTAGACTATTTAGCTTAACCTTTGGCTAAGAGTAACATGCTTTCTAGTTACTACTTTCAGAGAAAATGAGGGAATGAAAATTTGAGTGGCTCCCTAAAATCAGTGTTGAATCATTAGGTGACAGCAGTTTTAGCCACTTTAGCTCTATGAGTGCCAGATGTGTCCTTAGCTCTCATTTTAAAGTTAAGATTTAGAAGTAGCATCCTCTGCAGTTGTTGCCAGCCCCTCCCTTTGCAGCTTTGCTGGGAGGTCGCAACCTGGCCAACCACAGGGCAAAGGGTTTTTGCTGGTTTCATGTGGTTTGATTCCACATCTCTCCAGGGTTTAGGATGTCAGATGTTAGCTCATCTATGAACACTTTTGGTGGTCGTTTGTTTCCTTAGCACACTCGTGGGAAGCAACCCTCCAAAACAGCTGCAAACCTAGGGATACCTGGTTCAAACCCATTTTTCCTGGCAATTCTTCAAACCATTTGAAACACAGCAGGCTCTCACATGGATCTGGGAACTGGGGCTCTCTTGTGAATCATATCCTTGGGATAGCCATGCAGCCCCCACAGACCTGTACCGAGGTGTTTGTGTGAGGCATTATAAGGTGCATTGGCCTTTTTCCTGATGTTGAGCAAAGCAACTGTTCCTCAAACACTTCTTTACTGGGGATGAAATATTTCCATCTTCCTCAACGTGAGCTTTGCATTGATCTGCTTATGTAAATATGATTTGGGGTATTTAGTGTGTTTGTTTATTTCTGTAACATTGAGAAGTGATGGGTGTGTGCTGTAATGAGCACGTGCCTATAACTGACGCCTCTGGTGGACGTGTGATTGCAGGCAGCGTCCTCCAGATCGTGTCAGCCCCTGGGCAGCCCTACCTGAGAGCCCCCGGCCCCGTGGTGATGCAGACCGTGTCTCAGGCGGGTGCTATGCACAGCACCCTGGGAAGCAAGCCCCCAACTGCTGGCCCCAGCCCCGCACCCTTGACCCCACAAGGTAGGGTGTTCTGCTCAGGAGGAAGGCTTGGTGTTTAGCTGCTTTCTGACTCTTCTGAGCAATTGGGAGGTGTTGTGTTTCTGACTGTAGGCCCTCTGCACATCAAAGCCATGCTGTGACTGTCGCTTCCTCAGATATCTTGTGGCATCAGCTTGGTTTATTCTCTTTCTCCTTTGCTTTCAAAGGTCCTTACATATAACCAGTCCCCACTGTTTCAAATTTTTTGTTTTGATCTTATTTTAACAAGAGTCTTTGGGAACCATGAGTAATTCAGCTTGTTTATATGTCACCAACACACTTACTGAACATACTTAAAGTTTTTTGGGAGTGGGCCATGGGCCCCTGTGCATGCAAGAGTCAAACTTTCTGGGTGGCCTAGCTTCCAGACCTGCTGGGCTTCTAGTTCATGCTTCACCCCTGTCAGCTTCCTCTTAAAGACCTTGGCTCTGCCTAGATGTGCTCTGTCCTGGACCTAGTGGTGGGTGGGTTAGACATGTGGACACCACAGGGAATAATATCAAGTGGCTGATGGGTCTGCCCTCTTGGCCAGAAGCTACTGGTTTACTGGTCATTCTCTGTGTACTGGTTGTTCAGTGGCTTCTGCTTAGTTCCGCTTGCACCTCCAAGTCATCTCTGATGCTGCTGCAGGGCCTCTATGGACCGGTAGCATTCTGCCAGGGTGGGCTAGATGAGGCCGCAAGGCTGGGAGGGTGGGACGAGCTGCTACGTGCTTCCATGCCTGCACGGTCACCCAGCACAGTTCTGATGGTAGCTGCAGGGTCTTACCCTCCCAGTTCTTCTCACCTCCTTGAGAATTTGGGAGTCATCTATCACACCTGCTCCAGAGGTGGGCAAATTCCTATCTAGGCAGCCCACCCCTGGGACTGGGTCCTGTGCGTGCTGGCTGGCTGTCATGCTAACCTTCTCAGCTCTTCACTTTTGCATTTGTAGTTGGCGTTCCGGGTCGAGTGGCAGTGAGTGCCATGGCTATAGGAGAACCTGGGCTGGCTTCTAAACCAGCCTCTCCTGCTGCAGGTCCCACTCAGGTACGTGCCGGGCTGTGTGGGCGTGCGTTGGCAGCTTGTGAACTGCCAGTGTGGAGCAGGCAGCTTTCAGAAGCTGTTTGTTTGCATGCAGAGACCATGAAGGCTGTTTGGGCTCATCTGATCAAGCAGTTCACACACATTTGTGCCCTCTGAATTGTAGTCCTGATTTTAACACATAGTCCAATGACAGAAGAAACTGGAATGAAACATTTTTTTTTAAATTTCATTCCTATGTTTTCTTGGGGATGAGAAGTCTTCTGTATCTTGAGGTGGAAGAGAAAGAAGTCTTCCTTTTCCTGCTTCCTTTCTGTCACTAGTTCCCATAGAACAAGGATTGTGTATATCAATATACACAATAGAAGCTATGCTAAAGGATCCAGGGTGAAGAGATAATTTGTTGTGTTTTCTTCAGTAAGTAACTTTTTTAAATCATGTTTTTGGTAAAGGAGGAAAAGACCAGGCTATTGAAGGAGCGGCTGGATCAGATGCATTTTGTCAATGAACGACGCTGTTCCCAAACCCCGGTATATGGCAGAGACTTGCTGAGGATTTGTTCTCTACCTGGCAGAGGAAAGAGGCCTTGGCCAGGTTCTTTTGACAGCAGTTTTGGGAATGGGGTTGGGTCAACGAACTGTTACCTATTACCCTCAAAAAGTAAAGGTGATCTGATATTAACACTGAATCAGCGCAAAGAATCGCTCCAGGATATTCTTGACAGGTGAGTTAGGCAACTTAGTGTTGTAACTTTTTGTGTATGTGTGTGTTTCTTCACTATGCTATACCCATTTTCTTTGTACTTTTTCCAGTGTTCTTATTTTGATAAACTTCTCCCCATGTTATCTCTTAGGAATTTGTTCGAAGTTACTTTTCAGGGTCTCTGGCTTGGGACCAGAGGGTCATGTTACTGGTTCTCTCCATCAAATCCTTTCAGAAAAACATTCTTTGAAGTTGATTTCGTGCACTGGTGAATGTTGGATTCAGAACAGGCAGTAGTGGAGCAGAGCCATATGGGCTGGAGCTGTAGCCAGGCTGTCTGTGCTGTTCCTGCTGGGCTTGGATCTTTACCTCTTTTCCAAGTTCTGACCCTATGTGCAGTCCCCTGAGTGTTTGGCCCTGATGTCTCAGGTCAACTTCAGAGCTTGAATGATGAGCCATGGTCTAGAGAGTGTCCAACGCTGGTTATTTGGGCTGGGCTGTCTGAGGTGGTCCCCGGTTTCCATAATTGGCCAGGACTTGCCAGGCCTGCCCCCATGCTGTGAAGGACGATGCCAGCCCATGATGATCATCAGGTGCTCTTGTTGCTTCTCTTCATACTGCCAAAGGTGGTGGTGCCATGTGGTGACCACATGTGCTTTCTGCTCCTCAGGGTGGCCTGTGTGATTCCTCCTGTGGTGGCTGCACCCCCTTCCTTGTGGGTGGCCAGGCCACCCTCACTGTACAGTTGTGGGCTCCGGGCCCTGAGGCAGCGCCTGAGGGAGCATGCTGCCCCCTATCTCCGGCAGCTTCAGCAGCTGACTGCACTGCGTTCTCTACAGTTCCCTGAGCTGAGACTGGTGCAGTTTGACTCAGGTATGACGGACTGTTTCGGCTCAGTTCATGGCATGAGGTTGTGCTTGCTTTGTACTATGAGATTTTTTTCTTTTTTAATTTTCAGCAGGGATTTATTTCAGTGTATCAGGATAAAGTAGGGAGAAATGGGGGGCCGGGGAGGAACATCTCCTGCTTCCCACACTGGGAATGGACGTGAAGGACTCATGTGAGTTGCTCTTGATGTTTCATTTCCTAGGAAAGTTAGAAGCTTTAGCAGTCCTGCTGCAGAAGCTGAAATCTGAAGGGCGCCGGGTGCTGATTTTATCACAGATGGTTCTTATGTTAGACATTTTAGAAATGTTCTTGAACTTCCATTATCTCACCTATATAAGAATTGATGAAAATGCCAACAGTGAACAGCGGCAGGTAAGACATAACTTGTTTACATGTATAACCCTTAGTCACTATTTTCCAGCCTCATTTCCCACTGTAGTATAAGCTTAATGGTACCCTGGCTCTTCTAGGCAGAGAGATAGCACTTCCAAGATGGTTAGTCAGTCCCTTCCCTCCACAGGTATCTAGTTACATGCTAGGAGTCTCAGGACAGGTGCACTCAGTTTAGGTTTTGTTTTGGCATGGAATTGATTTATATTTGAGAAGTTTCACATTGTCATTTTAGTGGTTGGTTCACACTATGAGGTTAGAGGTATATCTCTCCAAGTCCTCATCCTTACTCCAGGGGCTTTTTGCCTGTAGAGTGCCCTGGCATTGCCTGAGGATAGAGGAGAAAGCACATCTCCCTCCCCAGCAAGACTCTGCTTTCTTGTGGGGCCTACAGATTGAGCTAACAAGAAGTACAAGGCAGAGCACACAAGGGGCTGGAAATGTGGCTTAGTGGTAAAGTGCTTGCCAGGCACACATGAAGGTTTGCTTCCTTAATACCACATAAACTAAAAGTCAGAAGTGGTGCTGTGGCTCAAGTGGTAGAGTGTTGGCCTTGAGCGAAAGAGGCTCAGGGACAGCGCCCAGGCCCTGAGTTCAAGCCCTGGGACTGGGGTGGGGTGGCGGGAAGGGGAGACAGAGCATCACATCTCTTTCATAGCTGATTAATGTCTATGCTGCTTGTTCAGTGCGCATGTGTGTGGTCAGTATCGAAGGTGACCACAGGTGCCGGAGAACCAGAATGAGATGTACAGACTATGTGTCACATGGAACACAAACCAATTTGTAACAAAGTAACTTTTCAAATTGGGGGATGTTAGAAAGCTTCTTAAGTCTCACAGTGTTTTCCAGGAATACTAACACCTGAACATTTTGTTTCCTTTCAGGAACTGATGAGGAGTTTCAACAGAGACAGGAGGATTTTCTGTGCCCTTTTTTCTACCCATAGCCGTGCCACTGGCATAAACCTTGTTGAAGCCGACACTGTTGTCTTTTATGACAATGACCTAAATCCAGTGATGGATGCCAAGGCTCAGGAGTGGTGTGATCGAATGGGGAGATGTAAGGATATACACATATACAGGTGACTACCATTGAGGACAGTGTGGTTGAAATGCTCATCATGAGAACCTTTGAGGGAGGAATATAGAAAGCACTACTGAGGCAGCTCAGGCTTGTAATCCTAGCTACTCAGAAAGCTGAGGACTGAGCATTGCAGTTTAAAACCAGCCTGAGTGAGAAAGTCCATAAGACTCTTTTGTTGTTATTGTTGGTCATGGGGCTTGAACTCTGGTCCTGAGTGCTATCTCTGAGCTCTTTTGCTCAAGACTAGTACTCCACCACTTTGAGCTACAGAACCACTTCTTGTTTTCTGGTAGTTACTTGGAGATAAGAGTCTCATGGTCCGGCTTGGACTGTCTTCGAATTGTGATCTCAGCCTCCTGAGTAGCTAGGATTACAGGCATGAGCCACCAGTGGCCCCAGCCATAAGACTCTTACCTCCAGTTAACCACTAGAAAAGCCAAAAGTGGATCTGTGACCCAAATAGCAGAGTGCTGGCCTTGAGCAATAAAAGCTCAGTGACATCGCCAAGGGCCTGAGTTCAAGCACCAGAACTTGTACTGCAAAAAAATATATATATTGTAGGCTGGGAATGTGGTTTAGTGATAGAGTGCTTGCCTAGCACGCATGAAGCCCTGGGTTCAATTCCTCAATACTACATAAATAGAAAAGGCCAGAGGTGGCATTGTGGCTCAAGTGGTAGAATGCTAGCCTTGAACAAAAGAAGCACAAGGGGACAATTCCCAGGCCCAGAGTTCAAGCCCCAGGACTGGCCAAAAAATAAATAAAAATACGCGCGCGCGCACACACACACACACACGTGTTATATAAAGGCACTAATGAAGCCAAGCGTCAGTAGTTCAGGCTTGTACCTTCTACTCAAGAAGCTGAGATCTGAGGACTGTGGTTTGAAGCAGAAAAGTCTGTGAGACTCTTAACTGCTAACCACAGAAAAAGCCAGAAGTGAAGCTGTGACTCAAATGGTAGAGTACCAGCCTTCAGCAAAATAAGTTCAGGGACATTCCCTAGGCCCTGAGTGCCAGCCCCAGGCCTAGCAAAAGAAAAGTCACTAATGAAGAAATAAAAGAACCAAAGATGATATTCCATAATTTAATTTTACAAGTTTATATGTTTGGTTTGTTTTTCCTTCAGACACATTTGTATGCCTGCTGTTTTATCTGTTTATACTTGACATTTGCTTAAAGTTGTAATTTAATTGGGCAGTTCAGGGCCTCTTAGCTTGCTGGCTTTCAGTGTTTACATGTTATACTTGTTTGTTTGAACTGTTATGAAATATAAAAGATCTCCTGAAAGAATTTAGATCTGTATTTTTACCTTCAAGCATAAAAATTGTACCTGGAGGGCTGGGAAGGTGGCTCAGTGGTAGAGCTCTTGCCTTGCATGCATAAGGCCCTGAGTTCGATTCCTCAGCACCACATAAGCAAAAAGAAAAAAGCCGGAAGTGGCACTATGGCTCAAGTGGTAGAGCGCTAGCCTTGAGCTGAAGAGCTGAGGGACAGCACCCAGGCCCAGAGTTCAGGCCCCACGACCGGACACCCCCCCCCCCCCCCCCCCCCCCGCCACAAAAAAAAAAATTGTACCTGGACAAACAGATAATTGGGGGAAATAGAGAAAGCCCCATAACATGTTTCTAAATTTCTGGAAACATTTGTTATTATGCTATAATACTAATCTGTATAATAAGTTGCTGCACACTGTTTCTGAGCTAGAGAAGGATCAAGTCATTGTTTTCATTTAGGAACAAGACATTCCAGATGGGGTAAACAGTTAATCTCTAGATAAGCTCTGAAGGAAAACACCACAACTAAGTAAAGAGGTGAATAATCACTTGGGAAGTGTGAAATAGGTGGCTCATATCTGTAATCCTAGCTACTCGGGAGGCTGAGATCTGAGGACTGTGGTTTGAAGCCAGCTCAGGCAGAAAAGTCTCTGTGAGATTCTTATCTCAAATTAACAACTTAAAAACCAGAAGTGGGGGCTGGGAAGGTGGCTTAGTGGTAGAGCACTTGCCTTGCATGCATGAGGCCCTGGGTTCAATTCCTCAGCACCAAATAAGCAAAAAGAAAAAAGCCGGAAGTGGCGCTGTGGCTCAAGTGGTAGAGCACTGCCTTGAGCTGAAGAGCTGAGGGACAGCGGCCAGGCCGAGTTCAGGCCCCACGACCGGACCCCCCCCCCCCCAAAAAAAAAAAAAACAGAAGTGGCACTTTGGCTCAAGTGGTAGAGTGCTACCCTTGTGTACAAAGAAGCTCAGGGACAATGCCCAAGCCTTGAGTTCAAGCCCCATAACTAACAACAACAACAACAAAAAGTGGAGAGAAAGTGAACTTAGGAATTTGGTTAGTCAACCCCAGGTGGCAAAATGAACATGAAAATATAACCATCTCACTGATAAGCAGAGAGATACCAGTTTAACGTATGATGAAATGTCTGTAGACACAGTAGGCAGATAGCCAGCAGCATGGGATAGGGAAGTGTCTATGGGACATGGGCAAAGTTTGCTGTAATTAAAATACTGTATCCTTTGTCGCATCATAACCTGTGGTGTCGGGATGGACTTTCCTTATTCACATGGCACAAAACAGGAACTATGGAGTGCCTGTGACAGGTAGATAGGCTCCCCTCCCAAACACTGGCTTCCTGGAGGAAGGGGTCAGAGAAGCAGGCAAAATGCAAGTATGTCTATTAAAAAAGTTACCCAAGGCTGGGAAGTTGGCTTAGTGGTAGAGTGCTTGCCTGCATACATGAGGCCCTGGGTTCGATTCCTTAGCACTACATAAGCAAAAAAAAGCCGGAAGTGGCACTGGCTCAAGTTGTAGAGCACTAGCCTTGAGCTGAAGAGCTGAGGGACAGCGCCCAGACCCAGAGTTCAAACCCCATGACTGAACCAAAAATAAATAAATAAATAAATAAAGTTACCCTTTTGTTCTTTACCTGATTGTAACTGTTGCCCTCTGTATATCACCTTTGTAATAACAGTTAAATAAATAGTTTAAAAAAAGTTGGACACCTTTGGGCTGGGATGTAGCTGAAATGGTAAAGCACCTACCCAGCAGGTGTGAGACCCAAGTATTGCCCCCCCTCCAGAAAAAAAGTTGTTCTTGTTCACTTGGTGCACAGCATCACACAGATAGAAGGTGACACTGTCTTACTGTGCGTATGTGTGTGTGCAAACTGTGTCAATGAAAACATCTCATTTTAATGTTATTTCAGAGTGACCAGGGACTGAGCTGGGTTCTCTTCTTCCTTCTTGCATTATATAATCAAGTCATTTGCAGTAAGCATGAGTTAATAGGATCGAGGCTGAGTACAGTTTCATTCATTCTCCCCAGGATCTGATTGTCACTCTATTCCATGCTTCTTGATTGTCTTTTGCTATCTATTTCAGGACTTTTCTGGAAAAATTCCATTTCTTAATATCCCTGTGAAAATCTTGTTTGTTGGAACTTCTCTGGGTTTTAGCATTTAGCATTAAAACAAGCATTCTGGGGGAAGTAATAGGATGGGTCTGCTTGCCCCTATAGGACTGCTGTTCATTTTCTGTTACATGAGTAAAATTCCTATGTATTCCTGGGATCAGCAGATAAAAAAATGTCCAGCTTACATGAGAATGAAAGCTCTCTTGGGAGTGTCTCAACAAGCAGCAATTAGGGAAGTATTCATCTTTTTGTTAGGATCAGGGAAATTTTGAAAGAAGACAGATGCTCATGGTGTCTGGAAGGACTAAATGGAACATTTCCAAGTTGAGATTGCCAAGAGAGAACTATGCCAGGCAGAGGATGCCATGTGGACAGTGTGGACACTTAGAGGGGCAGCTTGCTCTCCAGGCTGTTCGAGGGCCAAGATTGGAGTGTTTGCAGCCTAGCAGGTGCTCACAAAGACTGTGGGCAGATACTGGTTCTCTAGATAACATCCAGATATCTAGAAGAATTCTGTTTCCTAATGATTTAATTGTCACTCTGTGTGTGTGTGTGTCTGTGTGTGTGTGTCTGTGTGTATTTTGTTACAGGCTTGTAAGTGGCAATTCTATTGAAGAGAAATTGTTGAAAAATGGAACTAAAGATTTGATTCGAGAAGTGGCTGCTCAGGGCAATGATTACTCAATGGCATTTTTAACTCAGGTATTTTGTTTGTTTATTCTTTCAGTTCCTAGACCAGGACTCAAACTTGGTACCTGACACTTTCACTCATTGGCTAGTGTTCTACCAACTGAGTCACTCCTACAACAACCCCTGTTTGTTAAGAATTCTTTGGATTGGGTGCTGATGGCTCACACATAAATTGTAGTTACTCAGGGGCTGATATCTAATAATCATAGTTTGAATCCAGCCTAGGCAAGAAAGTCCATATGCCTCTTTATTTCCAAATACTAACAAACCAAATATGGAGCTATGACTCAAGTGTGGTATAATGCCAGCCTTGAAAAAGCTAAGGGATTGCAATAGCATCTAGGTCCTGAGTTTAAGCCCAGTTCTGAGAGCACCAGAAAACAAAAACAAAAAAAAAACTGGGCATGTTGGCGCAGACCTATAATTTCACCACTTGTGAGACCAAGGCGGGAGGATAAGTTCAAGGCTGGCCTGGGCTACACAGTGAGACCTTGTCTCATACCTCCCTCACTTCTCAGGGTTAGCAGCAGAATTGTTCTCACCCTTTCCTCCCTTTCCCTGTCCCTTTTCCTTTTTTTTTTTTTTAATTTCTTTTTAGTGTGTGTGTGTGTGGCAGTATTGGGGTTTGAACACAGGGCTCTGTGCTTGCTAGACAGGTACTACTGCTTGAGCCATGCCTCCAAGAGAACTTTTTTTTTAAACAGACACTTATGAGAAATGATTGAGCATTTTAAGTTACCTAAGTCTCAGGCTTAGGTATAAGATTACATTTTTAGTTCTGGGAAGTTGGCTCAGTGGTAGAGTGCTTGCCTTGCATGCCTGAGGCCCTGGGTTCCATTCCTCAGCACCACATAAGCAAAAAGAAAAAAGCCGGAAGTGGCGCTATGGCTCAAGTGGTAGAGCGCTAGCCTTGAGCTGAAGAGCTGAGGGACAGCGCTCAGGCCCAGAGTTCAAGCCCCACGACCAGACCCCTCCCCCCCCCCCCCCCAAAAAAAAAAAAAAGATTACCTTTTTAGCTGGGCACTAGTGGCTCACACCTGTCATCCTAGCTACTTGGTAGGCTGAGATCTGAGGATCAAAGTTTGAAGCCAGCCCTGGCAGGAAAGTCTGTGAGACTCTTATCTTCAATTGTCTACCAGAAAACCAGAAGTGGAGCTATGGCTCAAATGGTAGAACACTAGCCTTGAGCAAAAGAGTTCAGGGATAGCACCTAGGCCCTGAGTTCAAGCCCCATGACCAACCAAAAAAACAAAAAACAAAAAAAGATTGCATCTTTGTTTCTGGGGAGTAGTGTGCTTGTTTGTTGATTTTTAATTTTTATTTTTAATGTTCAGCGAACTATTCAGGAGCTGTTTGAGGTTTATTCTCCCATGGATGACGCTGGCTTTCCAGTGAGAGCTGAGGAGTTTGTAGTGCTTTCTCAGGAGCCCTCTGTGAGCGAAACCATTGCACCCAAGATTGCAAGGCCTTTCATAGAGGTAAGAGTGAAGGCTCTTTTGATGAGGAACATGTTATTTGGGTCCTTATCCCACATGCTTCCTCACAGTGGCTGTGTCTTTTACTTGACAGGACTCTTGAGTATTTAGTCTGACTCTTTGCTGACCTATAACCCCAACTCATAGCCTCCCTCCCTTCCTTCCATCTTACAGTGTGGGCATTTCCAGCTGTAAAGAGGGGTGAAGGAGCCAGGTGCCAGTGGCTCAGACCCATAACCCTAGCTACCTACTCAAGGCAGAGATGTGAGAACTGTGGTTTGAAGCCAGCCCTGGCAGGGAGGTCTGTGGAACATTACCAATTAACCACCGAAAGTGGAGCTGTGGCTAAAGTGGTAGAGCACTGACCTTGAGCAAAAAAGCTCAGAGACAGTACCCAGGCCCTGAGTTCAAGCCCCAAGATCAGCACTGAAAGGAAGGAAGGGAGGAAGGGGAAGGGGAAGGGAAGGGAACAGAATAGAATAGTGGGGAAGATTATCTCCCTATTTCATATGTGCTTTTTAAGCCCTTCTTGTTTGCCCCTTGCTACAATCAGCTGTCTTGGCCTCCCCTTCTCTGACTAAAACAGCCACTGACTCCATGTGGCCACTGAGCACTAGAACTATAGCTAACTTGCATGACAGTGTTCTATGAGTGTAGAATACACAGACTTTGAAGACTTAGAGAGAATGCTGTGTGTTTCATTAGCATTTTTTGTCTTAGGGATAAACCAAAGTGATAATATTTTGGGTATTGGGTTACATGAATTACTGTTTTAGCTCTGGAAGAATTGAGGTGGCCTCAGGATGACTGCCTTGTATGTAGAGGTGCGTTGCAAGTGTTTACCAAGGTCTCTTACCTCCCACTTCTGGCTTTGGTAGAGGCCCTCCTCACTACAGATCTGGGCCTCACATTTTTTTCTCACCTTCTGAATCCCTTCTTGCTACCATAGCCCCTATTAAGGGAAGGGCTATAACTCTTATTTCTAGAGATTCTTTCCTTTGTTACCATGGAAGGATCTGGTCTCTATGCCTCTCTTATCCTGTCTGGCTTCAGGTATGGCCACTGACTTCATTGCTTGTTTCTTCTGAAAATAAGAGCTGTGTGCCCTGCTCCTTGTTTTCAGCTTATTCTTTCCAATAGGTGTTGAGCAGCTGCTGCCTTTTCTGCTTTGGAAAATGAACTGTTCAGAAGGCCTCCCTACCCTCAGCCACTGCCACCTCCTGACTATCCTTCCCTTCTAACCTTCTTTTTTTTTCCTTGAAACAGTTTTTCTGTAGCCCATGCTGGCGTGGAACTCACTGTGTAGCCAGGCTGGCCTGGAACTTGTGACTTCAAGGTGTATACTGTCATGCCCAGATTTTCACTAGTGCCTTAGTGTGACACAAATGTATACAAGGATCTCAGTGTAGAGGCTCATTATTGCTTACAGAGAAAGCATTGGCCTTAACCTTAATAACCCCTTCATTTAGAAAGTATATCTCAGTAGTCAATGCCAAATCTCCATAGGCCCTCAAGAGCATCGAATATCTGGAGGAAGACGTGCCGAGGTCTGCAGAGGAGGCTGTACCTGTACTGAGCACTGGTGTTATGTTCTCAGACTCAGAGGGCCCTCGGTGTGATGAGGAACCGTCGCAGCTGGAGGAGCTAGCTGATTTTATGGAACAGGTTTGGAGCTATTTTCCCTTAAACTAATTATTTTAAAATGTGGACCTTTTTGTAAGATACTGTTTATTTACTGTGAACATTTACTTTTTGAATTCAAATATTGTTGAAAGGATTTTGTAAATGACTTTATAGATCTTTAGTAATTTGCTATTTACCCTGTTCAAAATATTTTTCGAAATAGCTAACGCCAATTGAAAAATATGCTTTGAATTACTTGGAATTGTTCCATGCAACCATTGAACAAGAAAAAGAGAGAAATAGTGAGGTAAGAGAATCAGTTTTTAATCGCTTCAGCATGTAAAGAGTCTCAAGTTTTTCATTGCTAAATTGGACTTGAAGTAGATGTACTTTTATTAAATTAAGAAATAAAGCCAAAACCTAGTGGTATGAGACTCACTTAGAAGGAGGTCTTGGAGTCTTTGCACAGGCAGCTGTGGTGTTCAGAGCATTGGTTCTATGTTGGAGGGAATAGAGCCTGTGTAGCAGAGAGACCTGTGAGACTTGCTCTTTGTGGCTCCACCTGTGCACAGAGGCTGGTGCCTAGGGGGTTGGCAGCCCGCAGGAACCCAAACCCAATGGCTCTAATCTGGAAAGTACCTTTCCTGGTGCTCTTTCTACCAGGACATGGTGATGACGTCAGTGAGAGACTGGGAGTCTCGCAATGCCCAGAGCCTGCAGCAGAAGGAAGCCCAGCTGCAGCGTGAGCAGGAGGAGGCTGAGCTGCTCACCTATACGAGGGAGGATGCCTATAGCATGGTACAGCTTGTGTCTACCTGTCCCAGATGCTAGCTCTCATCTTGCTTGGCTTGTTCATTCATATTTACACCTAGCTCATGTTCTGAAAGCAGTTTCTTTATGGCTTACTTGCTCTTTGAGATCTTCAGTTTGATGCTGGCCTTCTCAGTTACATTGCTAGTAGCAAGTAAAACCCATTTTATTTATTTTTTATTATTTTTTTTTGTTGGTCATGGGCCTGAACTCTGGGCCTGGGCACTGTCCCTCAGCTCTTCAGCTCAAGGCGAGTGAGTGCTCTACCACTTGAGCCATAGCACCACTTCGGGCTTTTTCTGCTTCTGTGGTGCTGAGGAATCCAACCCAGAGCCTTATGCATGCAAGGCAAGCACTCTACCACTGAGCCATCTTCCCAGCCCAGTAAAACCCATTTTAAAATCTCTGTCAGTTGGGGTTTTATACATAGAGAAGCTCCCTTACACAAGGATTTGCATAGAAACAGGAAAAAAAGTCATGCTGATCAAACTCACTTAGAAGAGTTAGTGTGAAAGTAAATAACTTGTGAGCTAGAACATGAGACCAAGACATTTTGAGTTTTAAGTTTGGTCATGTTTCCATAGGAATATGTCTATGAAGATGCTGATGGACAGACAGAAGTCATGCCGGTATGTAGCTCCTCTTCCTGTGTGCCTGAACTCCCAGCTTCATGCAGCTCTGCCACTCATGGGACTTTCTTTTCTCAGCTCTGGACCCCACCCACTCCTCCTCAGGATGACAATGACATCTACATTGACTCCGTTATGTGTCTCATGTATGAAACTACACCCATCCCAGAAGCTAAACTGCCTCCCGTGTATGTAAGGAAGGAGCGCAAACGGCATAAAACAGACCCCTCAGGTGTGTTACTGCAGGTTTTTATTCATTTTACAAAAATGTAAATTTTTACTGTAAAAGTGAAGTGCAGAGGGGTTATAGGTACATAAGTCAGGTAAAGAGGACATTTTTTCTTGGACAATGTCAGCCCTTCCCTTGCTCTCTTACTGCAGGTTTTTATGCCCCCACAAGTTGTTGTGCTTGATGGAGGGTCCTAAGATGCTGTGGTTCTTCCTCTTTGCTGAGTGAGGAAGAGAGAACCACACCCCTATCAGTTCCCCTCTTACACCCTATTCATTTGTTGTGCTATTTCCAGTGAGGAGCCTTTCCTGGTTGTAGCTCTTGTTAATAGTAAACTTAACAAAGAAGCCAGGTGTGGTGACACATGCTTATAATCCCAGCATCTGGGAAGCTTAGCCAGGGGGATCCTGTGTTTCAGGCCGGCTGTCTCAGGAAAACAAGTAAAAAACTCAAGGAAAGAATTAGTAGGTGCTTCCACGACGTGAGCACCTCTTGGCTGCCCTCCTGTTTCCTCTTTTCTTCCCTGCTGGTGCAGGGTCTTATTTTTCTGAAGTCACCCCTGTTTAGCCACAGGGAGGAAGAAGAAGCAGCGGCATGGTGAGGCAGTTGTCCCACCACGATCCTTGTTCGATCGGGCAACCCCAGGCATGCTAAAAATCCGACGTGAAGGCAAAGAGCAGAAGAAGAACCTGCTGCTGAAGCAACAGACACCCTTCGCTAAACCTCTGCCTACCTATGTCAAGCCCTCTGGGGAGCCTGCCCAGGACAGCCCTGAGTGGCTCATTGGCGAGGACTGGGCCCTGCTGCAGGTGAGCAGCACTCATACCTTGTCTGGGAGCACCCAAGTGCTTGTGCACACGTGCTAGTGTGCTCGCCTTGTGAGGGGTCTTGACAGGGAAGAAAGACCTTCTAGTGTGTGGCTTCTTAACCTGTTGGATCTGAAACCTTGTCCTACAGGCTGTAAAGCAGCTACTTGAGCTGCCCTTGAACCTCACAATTGTGTCACCTGCCCACACACCTAACTGGGACCTTGTCAGTGACGTTGTCAACTCCTGCAGCCGAATCTACCGTTCTTCCAAGCAGTGCCGCAACCGTTATGAGAATGTCATCATTCCCAGAGAGGAAGGGAAGGTGAGCCTAGCCTCCTAGGTTTTCCTGGGAGGATGAAGGCCTGCACAGTGCCCACAGCCTGTGATGCTGGCTGGTGCCCTGCTGTGCATTGCCTTGGTAGCTCCTTTGTCCCTGAGAGGATCAGCATCCTCATGCAGCAAGTTTCATGTCTGCACTGAACCTGGCATGCAGCACAGGCAGCCGTGGAGAGATTGATGTTACACGTGTTAGGATCATGGTAGATTATTAGCAGCAGACTCAACCTGATACCAACAGCTGTGCTGCTACTGCCGCTTGGAAAACTGTGTCATCTAAATTGTAGCTTTTTTTTTTTCTTTTGGGGTTTTATTTTTGACAATATGGGGGATTGCTCTCAGTGTCTCAAGCATGCTAGGCAAACACATTCTACCATCCCCCAGCTCAACTTTTTTTATTCTAAAGAGAGTTTTGGATGTCATAATGATTAGCTTACTTAAAAAAATAATCCTTTGTCTTCTTCTGCTATTTTGGTGCCCAATCAGTGGTTTGACAAGCACAAATAGTCTCTGAGGGTTAACTATGAGTATTGCAAATGTTCATTTACTTGTAGCACAGCTAAACCATTGTGTCTTTCATTTAAGAAGCCGGCTGTGGTTTGCATCCTGGCCCAGATGAGTCAGCACTGCTGCTCAGGGACATGCAGGCCTTCATTCGGCTTTTTCCCCACTCAGCTGAATTTGTCTCCTTCCATTTCTCCATCTGGCTTTCTTCACACACCTCCCTCCTCTTGCCACACAGCTGCTAGTCTTACCTCAGCACAAAGTCTGCAGGCTCTGTTGCACCAGCATTACAAATGTCCTGCACCCTTTGGGGGGTTGTGGCCCACTTCCAATAGCAGGTGCCACCGCAAGTGGGCAGAGAATACTGACTTTCTCCCCGCCACACACCCTCCACCCCCAAAGTGTCCTGTCAGCACAGGGGCCACAGCCACATCCGTAGAGGCAGACATCTCATCCCCCTATTAAGTTTGCTGTTTTGGTTACAATTTGTGAGAATTGTTTGAGTTGGTATGCCTCCAGATGATGTTGACACCACGACTCTGTGACCACGCCTTCAGTCATCTCAATTCTCATCTCAGAAACACTTGTCTCAGAATAAAGCATTTGTTTGCTTTTTTGTTCAGAATAAAAAAGCAAGTTTTCTTCATGATACCATTTTGTGGTGCCTCCACCTTAAGACTCCCTGAAATCTCACATTCACTCTTTTATGTTTTGGAAGCATTGATAATAATAGCCGTTACCTTAATATGGAAAAAAAATAAAGCTAAAATTTTTTCTTCTCTTATAGCTGATTTGTGAAGCTAATCCAAAGAAAAAGGCACAAAATATTTATAAGGTATGAAGGAGATGTTCTGAATGAGTTGGAAAGCTTTGTTTAAGATCCTCTGCAAAGGAGCATAGAACAAGATTCAGAATGAGTCTGTATTTTAGTGATAACAGAATTCCGAAGCCTAAGATTTTATCAAGTGCCTTTTATTCCTGTACGTAGAGGATTGGCTTCTTCACCTGAGGGGACCACACCACGGCTCTCTGAGTCTTGTAGGGGACGTCCTCCCAGTTGCTCACTCCCTGTCGAGGCCTTCAGCAGTGGTAGCTGGGCATGTGTGTGGGTAGGAAAGCCAGCGCCTACCTGAGAACCAGTCACAGCCAGAGCTAACAGGTTCCTTCACAGAACACAGAGTCCTTCCTGCCTTTGGCTTGGGCCTTCACTCTATGGTGTATGTGATGCACCTGACCTTATTCTTCTTTCTCCTGCTTCCCTTTTGCCTGATTTTATTTTGATAGGAGAGTGCTCCATATATTAGACAATGCTCAGGAAGTGGACCCGTGTAACATTGCACGTTGGTTTTCTCCTCTGATTTTTCCTTGAAATTCCCTCTGAAGTTAAAGCAGTCCTCTACCAACAGACTATTTGTGTCTCCACATGTGTGTGCATGCATACATACAGCACACCTACACTGGGACTGTCACTGTGTTGGCATGTGCTGTGTTGCTTGCACTCTGGCAGGGACTCCAGGTATGGGTTGCCTAGAGTTTAGAGATACCGAGAAGCAGAAAGAGCTCTGGGCCAGAAGGAGCTCTGAGCTCTTGCCCTAACTCCTTACTGACCTTTTCTGACCTACACAGACCTGGTACAGTGCTTCTCTCCATAGGTTAGGGAGTCACTTTTAAATTATATGGAATGCTAAGATGACTTTGGAGCAAGTATGCACTCAAGTAGGCAATAACTGAGTGACCTTTTGTTTAGTTGGGGGATTCATGCAGGAGAGATTACCAGGCACAAATAAAGTCATTGTCCCCAGGGCACACATTTAGACTTAAGTTTCTGAATGTCACCTTTCTACTGTGGGTAGAAGGAGGAGGGAGGGCCCTGTGGGGTTGGCACTGCCCGCTTCATGTCCATGGGCATTCTTGGAGGTGCCCTCATCCCATTACCTGCCATGTGACCCAAGTGCTCTATGTAACCTTTCTCTCCTCGGCAGAAGGGAGTAAGTTTCCCTCTGGGATAACCATGAGGCTCACATAAACAAGGGTTCCCACACATTAAGGGATATCACCAGCTGCCAGCAAATGACAGCCAGAAAAAGAAGGGAAGGGAAAGGAAATGGGTTGAGCCACATGGAGCTTAGTCTCAGGCTTCCGAGTCAGTGAATGCTGTTTTCCCCAGCGGTCGGCTGTCAAGCCCATGGTCCAGCCTTGATGAGTGCCTGTCCATTTTGTTTCAGAGTAAGAACAACCGTCCACTCCGCACAAGCCAGCTCTATGCACAGGATGAGAATGCTACACATACCCAGCTGTACACAAACCACTTTGACCTGATGAAGGTGACTGCTGGCAAGCGGAGCCCTCCCATCAAACCTCTGTGCGTCCAGGCTCTTCTCCCTGGGGTTGTGGCTTTGGGAAATAAGAGGCTGGTGGTGAGCGCTCTACCTTCGTTATGTACTCCCTTGGCTTATAATTCCTTTCTCCTTTTCTGTGCCGTAGGCTTGGCATGAATCCTTTTCAGAAGAACCCCAAGCATGCCTCAGTGTTGGCAGAAAGGTAATTGTATGTGTGACACACATTTTTCTCTACTCGAAATGTGTCTTAGTGTCCAGTGAAATTCAGTAAGTTTAGTGAACTTCCATACCAATGGCAAGTGTATCGCAGGCCCAGCCAGGAATGGTGTAGCATCTGGGCCTGGGAGATTGGAGCCCCCTGCTATCAGGCAGGCTAGGCCAGGTGGCCCTACCGAACATAGACACATGGAAAGTGTGCCTTGTTTCTGTCGGGACCCGGTTTATTTTCCTTGCTCACACTGTGGTGACCCACATTCACAGACACAATGGGTATGTTCTAGGACTGTGGAAGCAACTTCCAGGGAATTTCTTTCTCTCATCCTGCCTCTCTTCAGGCATAGATTTTGTTGGGCACCTTAATATGCTAAGTTCAGAGATGACGGTACTTGTGTAGAGATTTAATATCAGAAGAAATAAAAGATGAATTAGTAAGAGGATAGTGAAATGGGGAGGGGAAGTGAAACAGAGCAGGCTGAGTTAAGGAATCTGAGCACTAAGCATGTGGTTTGACGGTGTTGTATACAAATGCTGGCTTAGGCACCATCACTGCCATGTTCATGTTGGTCACCCCCTGTCTAGTCCCTGATTTCCTTCTGGATTCTGTAGATCTCCTTCCCACATAGCTGTAAGAGTGGTCATTGTCAAGGTGAGTTGGCTCATGGTACATCTGCTGAGAGCCTGTAGTGGCTTCTTCCAGCCTGCCTCCTGTACAGCCAGAGCCCTGGCTTTTAGCTTCAGGGGGCCCTGCCTCCAAAGGGAGGAGAATCCTGTTGAAAATCACAGGCCTGCCCTACTCCTCTTCTCTCTGTAGTACGTATTGCCTTTAGAGGTTCTGTGTGTTTTTATCTGTGTGTTTGTTATCTGTACAATGTAGGGATCTAGTACCTATAGAGACATAGAGCAGGGTTGGATCAGTACTTGTCAATTAAGTGGATGAATTCATTGTTAGTGTTCATTGACTGGTTACAGGCTAACGTAGTGGCCTGATAGACACTGTTTTGTCCTCTTTTTACCTAATATGAAGGCAGGGAGAACAGATAGGGAGACATCTCCGAGCACAAGAACACGAACACACACACACACACACACACACACACACACACACACACACACACACACACACACACACACACACACACACACACGGCAGTCTAGGACACACACACACACACACACACACACACGGCAGTCTAGGACACACACACACACACACACACACACACACACACACGGCAGTCTAGGTTTAGGGTAAAGGTCTACAGGTACTCTGGGGAGTCATTCGGACACTTCTTTGGGAAAGTAGGGTGTGAACTAAATGGGAAACCTTCTTTGTGGGCACAGGCAAACCATTGCTGCAGGGAACCATGAGCAAGAGGTGGGCTTGGCAGGAGTCCTACACAGTTGGACTCTTACCTGTCATGTAGCAGGTGAAAAGCATGGAGTACATGTAAGAGAAGTCTATTTTTATGTCTGTCTGAAGCACTTGTCCAGGCAGTTGTGGGGAAGCTAGAAACAGACTGTGTTCATTAGTGATTGTAAGAATTCCTGGGAGCATTTGGAGCTTATTAATGTGGGGCAATGCCTGCTAGTCGATGCTTAGAACTGCAGATAGTATTGCATATTATATTTGCTATGGGTGTATATGTGCGCCAATCCTGGGGCTTGAACTCAGGGCCTGGGTACTGTCCCTGAGCCTTCTTGTGTTCAAGGCTAGCACTGCACTCTACCACTTGAGCCACAGCTACACTTCCAGCTTTTTGATGGCTGATTGGACATAAGAGTCTCACAGACTTTCTTGCCCTGGCTGTCATCAAACCACAATCCTCAGATCTCAGCCAAGTACTCATCTGAGTAGCTAGGATTATAGACATGAGCCACCAATGGTCAGCTGTTATGGTTTTTCCTAAGTAAAAAATCTTACACTTTTTCACTTAAAGGAGACACTTCGCAACTTCTCTTTGACACATACTAATTACCAGCATCATGACAGTTGTACTTGGAGGCCATTATTAAGTAAAATAAAAGTTTCTTGAACATAAGCCTGCAATACAGCAACAGTCAACCTGGTAACTGATACTAGGCAGACACTGGACGAAGGGGCAATCCATGTCCTGGGCGTGGGACAGCCATGATCTTTAGTACTACTAAGAACAGTGTGTAGTGTAAAAGGTGTAAATTGCCAGGCACCAGTGGCTCGTGTCTGTAATCCTAGCTACTCAGGGGCTGAGCTGAGGATTGTAGTTTGAAGCCAGCCGAGGCAGGAAAGTCCATGAGGCGCTTACCTCCAATAAATTACCAAAAAAGCTCAAGTGGTAGAGTGCTAGCTAGCCATGAGCAAAAGAAGCTCAGGGACAGTGCCCAAGCCCTAGGACTGGCAAAGAAAACAACAAAACAAAAGGGTTTATTTGTGGAATTTTCCATGTCATACTTTGGCACAGGTAGCTGAAACTACAGGTGAGGGTCTACTGAATTTTTAAGTTTTACGTTTATCTTTCAGTGGAATCAACTATGACAAGCCGCTGCCGCCCATTCAGGTTGCATCTCTCCGTGCAGAGCGAATTGCAAAAGAGAAAAAGGTATGTGGCAGTGGGCTGTGCTGTGCTGAGCTCCCCGGCGTGTGTTGCCGCCACGCGGCTTGCCCAGCGCTGGCCCCCCTCTCTGACGGTACCCCTTCTCACCTGACCCTTCCAGGCTTTGGCAGACCAGCAGAAGGTACAGCAGCCAGCTGTCTCACAGCCGCCCCCACAGCCACAGCAGCCGCCTCCACCGCCTCCACAGCAGCCGCCTCCTCCGCTGCCCCAGCCACAGGCAGCCGTCAGCCAGCCGCCAGCAGGGCCACCTGCTGTCCAGACCCAGGCCCAGACCCAGGCCCAGGCCCAGCCACAGCCTGTACAGGCCCCACCAAAGGGGCAACCCACAATCACAACTGTGGGCAGTGCTGCAGTGCTGGTGAGGACCCCTGCTCCTTGATATGTTCTGCAGATCTCCCTCTTTGAGGAGACAAGAGAGAGCGCCACCCTGCCTCAGAGACAGCAGGTGCTCCCCTGGCTCTGACTCCCTCTTCCAAGGCTGGCAGCCAGAGAGCCTTGCTGAGTTGGGAGGGCTGGGCTGCTCTGGCAGTGTAGGGATTGGGGCGTGTAAGAACCCAGATCCCATAGAACATGATGGAAATGAGCTTGCCCCTTCAGCCCCTCTGGATGCCTATTGTGCCAGCGGTAGGCACACAGGGCTAAAGCAAGCCCTCGTCTCTTTGGGGACATGCTGCTCCTTCCCTCAGAGCTGCATATAAGTGCCTGACTACATGTCCAAGCCATGAAGTACACAAAAAGGGCAGAGTTATACAGCCCACCACTATTGACACCTACACCTCAGTGTGTTCTTTTACTATGTCTTGGTATGTTCCTTTTCTGTGTGTCACATGTGATGGGCTTATCACACAGACATAGAAATCCCATGTGTAGTGTTGCACTTTGAGAGAACACATTCAATGCCAAATGGGGAAACAGTTTGGGCTTGGCCAGGTGTGAATGTATTTTTTTTATGTAGAGTTATTCTCTACATTATTTTTTTTCTTAAATTATATTTGACCATGGATGGGATTTTAAAAAATAACAATGTTGTGGTATATATTAGTTGTACAAGGTAGTTTCATAGTGATGTTTCCATACACAAGTACAGTTTATCCCCTGATCAGACTCACCCCTCCGTTAGTATCTCCCTTGCTTTCCTCCCCACTTCCAAAACAGTTTCAAGAGGTTTCATTGTCCTATTTTCATATATGCAAAGACTACAACCATACTCACTTTCATTTACCCTCTCTTCCCCTCCTATTGACTCTGCCCCTCCTCCAAGAAGAACCTGTATTACTTTCTTGTCGTTCTTTTTTCAGAGTATATTAATTGTACCAAGAGGTTCACCATGGCATTTCAGAGGTGCATATAAACAGAATAACCTTCTATTTTCTCAGTCCACTCATCTATTGTCCTATTGATTAGTAGCTTTCACTGAGATTCCATATGCCATCTTCAAAATTCGCCCTTCATCATTCTTTTTACCTCTTCCCCTTCCCCTCTTCCTCCTAAAGAATCTCATTGTTATGGTCATGTTCTCTATGTGTGTGTTTATATGTATGTCCTTGTCCATGTATATGTATGTCCTTTAAGTCTAGCTACTACAAATAAGGAAAAACATGAAACATTGGCTTTTTCAGCTTGCCTTATCTTGGTTAACAGGATGATCTCCATTTATCCATTTTCATGAAAATGACTTGATCCTATTTTTCTTGATGGCTATGTAATTTTTTTTTTTTTTTTTGTCAGTCATGGGGCTTGAACTCTGGGTCTGGGCACTGTCCCTGAGCTCTTCAGCTCCAGGCAAGCGCTCTACCACTTGAGCCTTAGCGCCACTTCTGGTTTTCTAGTGGTTTATTGGAGATAAGAGTCTCACAGACTTTCCTGCCCAGGCTGGCTTTGAACCATGATCCTCAAGTCTCAGCCTCCTGAGTAGCTAGGATGACAGGCATGAGCCACCGGCTCCTGGCTTGTGTAATATTTTTTAATGTACTTGGTCAACATTCTTTGTTCATTCAAATGACACATTTTCTAACGATTGTCTGTGTGCAAGGACAACTGCAGTGAGCAAGATAGACAAACTTCCTGCTTGCTGGAGTTTACATTCCATTTAAGAGCACTGGAGAGTAGACCAAGATCATTTTAAGTGCTGACAGAAAGGGCTCAAATTGGATGGTGCCTTGTTGGTTAGGAAGAGCCTTCCAGTTGAGACCTGAGCCATAGGAAGTCAGTCATGAGAATAATGGAAACAGGCACAGAGCCCTGTATGGCTAGGCCAGATGACAAAAGACAGCATGCCTGGGCAGTGGGAGAAGGAGGCAGGCTGGAAGAGGCCCTGGGTGGTTGTGTAATTGCTCAGGAGTTTGGCTCTGACTCTTGATGAAATTGAACCCTTTGGAGGGCTTGTGCCAGGAAAAGTTAGGCCTGAAATTCACTTGTGTTTTCTTTTTTAAATAGGCAGGAACCATTAAAACATCAGTTACTGGGACAAGCATACCAACAGGTGAGAAGAGTACAGTATTCAAATGGGAACTGGATTTTTGGGGGGGTCCTCTTGTTTCACAAGCATCTTCTCTGCAGGCACCGTGAGTGGAAATGTGATTGTTAACACCATAGCAGGTGTGCCAGCTGCTGCCTTCCAGTCCATTAACAAGCGCCTTGCTTCACCTGTGGCCCCAGGAGCCTTGGCTGTGAGTTGCCCCTGTGTGTGGGAGCCCCACTTTCTTTGTAATTTGAGGTGATGCCTTGCTTTTTGAGTATTCCATTGGTGAGGAAGTACTGGTGCTGTTTAGTTTTGTAGAATAAGTAGCTGATAACACAGCTGTTTCAGCTTGCTCTGTTATTAGGCGATAGTTTCTATCCTATACAGAGGAATGGTGAGTTTCAGATGTTACTGGTCCTCTACCAAATGCATGTCGGAGAGGAGGTAGGGTAGATAGGAGGACACATCACCAGTCCTGTTGACACAGTACCTTTCATATTTGCATCCCTGGCTCTGTGTGCAGAAGCAAAAATTAGGTTGACTTGGTAGGGGCACAGTGCTGGGGGAAGGAACACAGTGCCTTTGAGGATTTGACCTGGTTTCACACAGATTCTGGAGTATGTAGAGGCCAGCAAGGCTGAGCGCTTGTTCAGAAGCCCTTTTCCATTGTCAGACCACCAGCTTTCATTGACAGTACACTGCAAAAACAAAACAGAACTGAAGTGGTGGTAGGAAGACCCCAAGGTAGCATGTGACCTGACTGAAGAGAAGCAGCTCTGGCCAGTGGCAATGCTCTGGAACCAGTACCGTGTCCAGATAGTGTAGGGTTGAGGTAGTGCCTTTTCGGTTTGAAGATGAGAGACACAAGGATGAACAAGTGAGCTAGGTGGAGTCAGGAGTGGAGATACCTGCCTTGTGTAGTCAGTTTCCTCAACATGCCTAGGAATTCAGTGGGGAGAGGACGGTCTACATCAAATGGTGTGGGTTGGAGAATCATAAGCAGAACAATGAGCCTTGACTCATAATTGATACCATGTATAAGAAACCATCATCATGGATTCTAGGCTTTAAGACCAAAAACTTTACAGACTCTAAAACATTTCTGGGAGAAAACAGGAGAAAAATCTTGGCTATATTTACCTAAGCAAACATTTCTTAGGATACCTAAGGCTGGATGGTGCCTTGTTGGTTAGGAAGAGCCTTTCAGCAAATGCCTTTGATACTTGAGTTGAGACCTGAGCCACAGGAAGTCAGTCATGAGAGTAATGGAAACAGGCACAGAGCCCTTGTGTGGCCAGTCCAGATGACAATAGACAGCATGCATGGGCAGTGGGAGAAGGAGGAGACCCTGGGTAGAAATTAATTGGAGATAAATCTCACAGACTTTTCCTGCCCCAGTTGGCTTTGAACCACAATCCTCAGATCTCAGCCTCCCAAATAGCTAGGATTATAGGCATGAGCCATCTGTGCTCAGCTTGACAGAAGCCTTTGATTGATACTTATTGAGAGACTCCTGTGTCATAGTACTATACACATTGAGGTTAGATTGGAGTTTGAAAATCAGGCTAAGAAACATGGATTTCACCCACTTGGCAGTGGGGAGCCCTTGACTGTTGGAGAAGAGGTTTGTCTTAGGAAAGATGGCAGTATATGTGGATTGATGAGAGCAGAAAATGGTAGGTAAAAAACTATCAGTAGTCCAGAAAGGAACTTTGTTTCTGATAATAAGTGAAATTTTAAGTATTTTTATACAACTCAATTTTTCATTTGAACAAAAATACTAGAAAAAAATTGAATTGTTACGATCTTCAAGGGACTGACAAATGAATCAATAATGATCAGACCATAATTGAAAGGAAAGAAGAATGAATGAAGCCATGTTTGCCTGAAGAGTAGATTTCAGCATTGAGGACAGAGGACTCAAATCCACCCAGGGCTTGGCTAGGTGAGCCTGACTCTCCTACACCTTGCCCAGGGTGGAGTCTTAAGAGGATGCTGTTGACATACATACCCAGGATCCCTTAGGGCAAGAGTAGGCCAGAAGTGAAATCAACCTTTGGTTTAAAGAACAGCAGCAGCCATGTGTGGTTGTATGCACACCAAGAATCCTAGCACTTGGGAGGCAGAGGCCAGCTTGGGCTACATATTGACACCCTGTTGTGTGCCCCTTCCCCCATACCTCTGTGTTGAGCCGAAAACAGTAGTGTGAATAGTGTGCATTCGGCAGCCTTAAGAGTATGTGTGCTCCCGCTCTGGCCTTGCCCGCTAAGTCAAGTGTAGCCAGCTGGGACCAGCAGTGTTTCTAGCCAGCTAAGTGGAAACAAATACTGATTCCCTCTAGAGTACTAGTATCCATCTTTGACTTTTTGAGAATATCCACAAACAGTTTTCAAGAATGAACTACATGCAATAAAAAAATAACTCAAGTTCAGAATAAGAGAAAGGCCCTGGAGTGAGAACCAGCAGAGACAGCACAGTAGAAGGCATGGCTTGTAAGAGCCACCAATTATGATTTCTGTTTCAATGAAAGTAAACTGTATTTCAAAGGACCATAGAGCTGGATGCAGTAGCTCATGCATTTATTCCTAGCTAAGATCTGAAGGTCTCAGTTTGAAACCAGCCCAAGCAGACAAGTGAGAGAGTTTTTATCTCTTACAATTAACCAGCAAAAAGCCAGAGCTGGAAGTGTGGCATAATGCTGGAATACCAGTTGTGAGTGAAAAAGCCAAGCAACAACATGAGGCTCTGAAAACAATGGAAATGAGGGAACATTTAGAAATAAGGGTGGACACTTATGAGTGGACTTACTCAGAAAGAATTGATAAACTGGAAGAGAAGTCTTCCAGTGCATCATAGGGACAAGATGGACGTAAAGAGAAAATTTAGGAGCCATAGAAAAGAGAGAGGAGGGCTGGGAAGGTGGCTCAGTGGTAGAGTGCTTGCCTTGCATGCATGAGGCCCTGGATTCGATTCCTTAGCACCACATAAGCAAAAAGAAAAAAAGCCAGAAGTGGCACTGTGGCTCAAGTGGTAGAGCATTAGCCTTGAGCTGAAGAGCTGAGGGACAGCGTCCAGGCCCAGAGTTCAGGCCCACGACCGGAACCCCCCCCCAAAAAAAAAAAGAAAAGAGAGAGGATCTAAAATCGTTAATTAGATCCTGGTTTTGTTGAGCAGAGATAGTATCAGAAGATACAAGAATCTTTTAAGCTGGGCGCTGGTGGCTCACGCCTGTAATCCTAGCAACTCAGGAGGCTGAGATCTGAGGATCAAGGTTCAAAGCCAGCCTGGGTAGGAAAGTCTGTGAGACTCTTATCTCCAATAAACCACTAGAAAACTGGAAGTGGCGCTGTGGCTCAAGTGGTAGAGCGGTCGCCTTGAGTTGATGAGTGCAGGGACAGCGCCCAGGCCCAGAGTTTAAGCCCCACAAGGACCATAATAACAACAAAAAAAAAACTGGCTAATGACACTGATCCTTACATATGCAAAGCTCACCTGATATCCTCATCACTGTTGATAGAAAGAACGGACACTTGCATAGTGTCAGAGACGAAAAGATTCTAAAAATAGCAGCAGAAGAAGGTTAACCTCAGAGGCAACAGCTCACTGCCTCATGAAAAGTAATGAAGCCCAGGGCCAGTGACTTTATCATAATGAAAGAAGATAACTGCTCACTTTGGTGTTCTTTGTCTTTTGAAAATATTTTATAAAGAACAAGCGTAAAATAGTACAAAATAGCATTTTGAACTTAAATTTCCAAGAGCGATGGGGATGTGGCTTAGTGGTAGAATGCTTGCCTAGCTGCATGAAGCCCTCGGTTCAGTTTCTCAGCACCACATACACAAAAAGCCAGAAATGACACTGTGGTTTAAGTGGTTGAGTGCTAGCCTTGAGCAGAAGAAGCTCAGGGACAGTGCCCAGGCCCTAAGTTCAAGCCTCAGGACTGACCAAAAAAAAAAAAAAAAAAATCTAGAAATGTAGAAGATTCAAAAAAACCAAGTAGTCCAGGAAGGTAAATTGAACATTGGGGTTTGTTGTGTGGTGGAGAAGGGTAGGGTAGTAGGGCATAATAGACAGCCAGACTGAGCATGGCCTCCTTGCCTGGCCACAAGGTGGAATCTGGGAGGCAATGAGTAGTATGCTGAATTAAGCAAGATGAAGGTAAGAAACACAAGACTCTTAACTGCTAGCCATACCTCTGCCCATCTTAGGGATGATGGTGAACATCAGGAAGATGTGTGGAGGTACAGAAATAGTCAGGAGCCGATCATGTTCCTGGGTACCAGGTAGTTTGTGAGCAAAGGGAAAGGGATACAGGGGCAGGAACTTTGACCACTGAAATTACTTGTTTCTATGGTTAAAATGGTTCACTGTGCGAGAGCATTGTTCTGTAGCTCAAGGCACTTGCTTTTGAATTTCCGTGGAACACGTATTGTCAACACTTTGTGTGTGAAGAAACAGCTCCAGGATGTATATTCTGGAACCTGGAACATTTTTGTCTCCTGCTCTGAGTGGAAAGCTTTGGAGTGCCATGTGAAGTAGCTTGATACATGTCTGTGATTGCCTTTCCTAGGCGTCTGGAGCCTCTACTCCTGCCCCCGTTGTCCATACCCAGCAACGAGCAGTTGGCTCCCCTGCTACTGCAACCACTGACCTGGTGTCCATGGCAACCACTCAAGGTGTTCGAGCAGTCACTTCTGTGACTGCCTCAGCTGTGGTCACTACGAACCTGACTCCTGTACAGACTCCAACTCGGTCTTTAGTGACCCAGGTGTCCCAAGGTAAGAGGACTGGGGATTTGCTTATGTTGGTATCCACTGTTGGAGCTTATTAAAGCTGTATCCTGCATGTGTTGTTCTAGAAGAAATAAGGATGGGGGGCTGGGAAGGTGGCTCAGTGGTAGAGTGCTGGCCTTGGCATGCATGAGGCCTTGGGTTCGCTTCCTCGGCACCACATAAACAGAAAAAGCTGGAAGTGGCGCTGTGGCTCAAGTGGTAGAGCCACTAGCCTTGAGCTGAAGAGGTAAGGGACAGCGCCCAGACCCAGAGTTCAAGCTTCAGGACCAACAAAAAATAAATAAGTAAAAAGAAATGAGGATGGGTAAGTCTAACTAACACACCTTTCACAGCCACAGGGGTTCAGCTTCCTGGAAAAACCATCACCCCTGCCCACTTCCAGCTCCTCAGGCAGCAGCAGCAGCAGCAGCAACAGCAGCAGCAGCAGCAGCAGCAGCAACAGCAGCAGCAGCAGCAACAACAACAGCAGACCTCCCAAGTACAGGTTCCACAGATCCAGGGCCAGGCTCAGTCCCCTGCACAGATCAAAGCCGTGGGCAAGCTGGCACCGGTGAGTGCTTCCCTGAGTGTGACAGACACTTGTGGCCTATCTGTAGCAGATTGCATAGTGTAATTCAGAGTGCATTTGCAAAATTCTAGCATTGCTTTTAGGTAGGAAATATGTCTTATTGTGTCTAATGCAACTTATTGGATCAAAGTCAATCCAGACAAGACTTGAATATTTTCAAAAAATGTTTTCAGACTTGTTCATAGCACTTTAGAGACCTTATTCCTTTCTATAGTGCTCAGGAATTCCTGCACCCAGTGGTGGAAAATTGTCTAGTAAGTGGTCTTGACCTCTGTCCCATGTCAGAGTCTTCTGACCTGACTGGATCTAGGCAGTGACAAACTTCCAGAACCATTTTTCACCATACAGCTACTAGGAATCCTGCTTGCCTGTTTGTGCACCAGGGTCCTTCATCCTTTACCCTACTCTCTCTCCATTCATTTAAAAGTCATTTTCATTTCTCATATCCAAAAAGATAAGATAATCATGAACAACTCACTATAAATTTTCTTCTGAAAAAGCCATTTAAGCTGAGGATGTAGCTCAGCAGTAGGGCACTTGCCTGGCATGTACAAGGCCCTGGATTTGATTCCTAACACCAGAAGATGACAGAAACGAAACAAATCAAAAGCCATTTATTTAAAAAATATATTTTGAGCTAAAGACATGATACTTATTAATAAGTAATTGTTTATTTAATAAGTTTGACAGCTCCATATTTCAATTGATTTGTTGGCTGTGAACTTGCTGATCTGTCAGAATTGGCTAGTTTCCTTGGTGAAATGCGGATTTCTAGTAAATGGTCACTTTGCCATAAGGTGATTGCATTCTGTATATCAGCAAGTATGCACCTCTGTACTTCCTGGAGGCAGAGGAGCAACTTAGCGTCAGGATGTGTACTGTCATGTGGCAGAAACTGTACCTTATTTGGGTTATAGGAACACATCATCAAGATGCAGAAGCAAAAGATGCAGCTGCCACCGCAGCCTCCACCACCACAGGCCCAGCCTGGACCTCAGCCACCAGCGCAGGTGCAAGTGCAGCCCCCGCAACCCCCACAGCAGCAGAGCCCCCAGCTCACCACGGTCACGGCCCCAAGACCTGGGGCTTTGCTTACGGGCACCACAGTAGCCAATCTTCAGGTGGCTCGGCTTGTAAGTTCTGGTACATATGTTTGTTTTCCAAAAGCAGCAGCACTTCTCCATTTTAGTTGGACACTATTACTTACTCCTGCACATATACATGTCCTGGTAGACTTAGAAGTGAAGCGTGACAGGTGATCTTTACCCAGGGACCTTTGTCTCCATTTTTCATCTTCAAAATGTAATTTTGGTTGTAGTATATATGGTAGATAACCAGTGGTCCTGGCTGTGATCTTGGAAGGAAGAGAGGGAAGCCAGGGAACAAGGTACATGCAAGACCTGATTGGATTAACTAGTGAGGTGCAGAGAGGTTGGGGAGTAGAAGTAAGACCATGGCAGCCAGGCTGACAAACCATGGCTATTACGTGAACCCTGTCATTTGGCATTGGTCACTGGCAGGCAAAGAAGCCTGGCCAGCCTCATGATTCATTATTTTCTGCAGTATGTGGGCCTTCCCAGTGATACTGGGGGGGGGGGGGGGGGGGGCCAGTATCACTGCCACTTTGCAACTTTGTTATCAATCTGTATACAATTTTCATGGCTTGATGTATTGTTGAGAAATGTTGAAAATGATATATCTGAGTTTTTTTACTTTTCTTATTTCTGTTGCTTAGACTCGGGTTCCCACTTCCCAGCTGCAGGCGCCAGGGCAGATGCAAGCGCAGGCCCCTCCGCCAGCGCAGGTGGCCTTGGCGAAGCCTCCGGTGGTGTCTGTCCCAGCAGCCGTGGTGTCCTCGCCTGGCGTCACAACCCTGCCCATGAACGTCGCAGGCATCAGCGTGGCGATTGGGCAGCCTCAGAAAGCAGCAGGTGCTTATCCCCACAGCCTGGCGTGCCCCGTTGGTCCTGACAGCCCTCTCCCTACCCTGAGGCCCATTGTCGTTTAGTGTAATCTCCCACAGTGATTTCTACGGTCTAGGTTTTGGCCCAAATTAGCATTCTGACCTTTTCCCACCCTTGAACTATAACCATGAAGCACTCTTCTGGGGCTGGTATTGGCTATCTTAGTGCAGTTCCATGGCTCATCATTTCCTGTTAGAAGAGAGTCAGTTTTGGCAGCGCATTCCGTAAGCAGGGCCTCCCTGGGCCTGACAAAGTTTCAGCAGAGCGTGCTGTGAGTAGGGCCTCTCTGACAAAGTTACTCTTGCAGGGCAGACCGTTGTGGCCCAGCCTGTGCATGTCCAGCAGCTGCTGAAGCTCAAGCAGCAGGCTGTGCAGCAGCAGAAGGCTATCCAGCCACAAGTTGCCCAGGGCCAGACTGCCGTCCAGCAGAAGGTATGAGCCTCTATATAAGGTTTCACCTATGTGCATCTCTGTGCTGAGGAGGAGTCTTCAGCAGATGGCTATGTGGGGTCATAGGCCTTGCCAAGGGTGACAGGACAGGCTTCAAGGGCAGAGCTACCTGTGGGTCAGCATTATTTGTCTTCTTTCCTTTGCTGGTTGTGGGGCTTGAACTTCTGGACCTGGGTGCTGTCCCTGAGTTCTTCACCTCAAGGCAAGTGCTCTTATCACTTGAACCACAGTGCCAGGTTTCTGGTAAATTGGAGAGAAGAGTCTCATGGATGTTCCTGCCTGGGCTGGCTTTGAACTGTGATCCTCAGATCTCAGCCTCTTGAGTAGCTAGGATGACAGGTGTGAGCCACTGGTGCCCAGCTCTTTCTTACTTTTGAAATGAATCCTGTGTGAGATGATGATGGTCTGAGGCAGGAGCCCTCAGGCTGCCGGGGTCTGGCTCTGTTGAAGCTGCTTTCCAGGTGTGGAATTGTTGCCTACCTTTGAAGGGCTAGAGGGGTTCAGGGAAGCTGGGGCACTGTGCAGTATTGGGGGTTCCCTGTGGCACCATCACCCAGTTTGTGTTGGTCCTGGCTTGTTGGGAGGATAGATGAGGAAGGGGCTGGTGTAAGGAAGGAGACTGGAAGAGCTGCAGCAGATGCTAGAGGGAGACTGCCGCGAGCCCACAGCCTCTCACTGTCCAGCACTGCCTTCGTGGGTTTCTCCACAGCCTCTCACTGTCCAGCTCTGCCTTTGTGGGTTTCTCCACAGCCTCTCACTGCCCAGCTCTGCCTTTGTGGGTCTCTCCACAGCCTCTCACTGTCCAGCACTGCCTTCGTGGGTTTCTCCACAGCCTCTCACTGTCCAGCTCTGCCTTTGTGGGTTTCTCCACAGCCTCTCACTGCCCAGCTCTGCCTTTGTGGGTTTCTCCACAGCCTCTCACTGCCCAGCTCTGCCTTTGTGGGTTTCTCCACAGCCTCTCACTGCCCAGCTCTGCCTTTGTGGGTTTCTCCACAGCCTCTCACTGCCCAGCTCTGCCTTTGTGGGTCCCTCCACAGCCTCTCACTGCCCAGCTCTGCCTTTGTGGGTCCCTCCACAGCCTCTCACTGTCCAGCACTGCCTTTGTGGGTCTCTCCACAGCCTCTCACTGTCCAGCTCTGCCTTTGTGGGTCCCTCCACAGCCTCTCACTGTCCAGCACTGCCTTTGTGGGTCCCTCCACAGCCTCTCACTGTCCAGCACTGCCTTTGTGGGTCTCTCCACAGCCTCTCACTGTCCAGCACTGCCTTTGTGGGTCTCTCCACAGCCTCTCACTGCCCAGCTCTGCCTTTGTGGGTTTCTCCACAGCCTCTCACTGCCCAGCTCTGCCTTTGTGGGTCCCTCCACAGCCTCTCACTGCCCAGCTCTGCCTTTGTGGGTCTCTCCACAGCCTCTCACTGTCCAGCTCTGCCTTTGTGGGTTTCTCCACAGCCTCTCACTGCCCAGCTCTGCCTTTGTGGGTCCCTCCACAGCCTCTCACTGTCCAGTTCTGCCTTTGTGGGTCCCTCCAGAGGCTTCTGCGCTTAGTGTCTTGTTGGGAACATAGAGCCCAGACCCCCTCAGCTTGCAGATGTGCAGATGGCCTCCTGTTGGCACTCATTACAGGATACATGTGTGCTGTTCTCAGGACTGAAGTCAGTCTGTTTGAAGGCAGGTCTGACAGAGCAGAGGTGTTCATCCTCAGCCCCCTGTACTGCTCTCTGCTGAAGGTGGGACTTGCTGCACTGCTATGGCGTGCGTATTCCTCACTCAGCTGAGTGTCATTGTCATTGCCAAGGCTCCCGGAAAAGGAGCCCAGTGGCAGAGCTGGTGGCAGCAGGCTGAGGGTGGCTTCTCAAGCAGCATGCTAGATACCCGTCCTTTCTCTTAGTCATGGTCATATCATGTGAAAGACAGGGTGGGGATCTGATAGAGCTGAAAGTGTGCTGATGCCTGGCACTAGCATGCTCTGGGAGCACACAATAGGGCTGTCCTTGGGACTAAAGGAAGAGTGAGCACAAAAGGACACAGTGTCAGGAAGGGGAGATTCAGCCGGGGCTGATGTATCTGCTCCATCACAGCTGGCTAAGTGCCATTCTTATTTGGCACAGCTGATATGGGTCAAGTATAGTCACCACATCTTCCTCTGGGAGACACCACACAGCATTGCCTTCCTAGCTCTGGTGTGCCTGGTCCTCAGGAGCACAGCGACCCTTGAGATGCCCAGGCCACCTACGGTCACAGCAGGCAGCTGTGCCATCTCCCAGGCCTGATTCACAGCAGCCTTGGCTAATAGCTAATCTGCTTTGTCATGTGCTCACAAAGCCATGGCTTCTGCAGCAAACACACAGCCATATAATACAGGTCTTTCTGAATATTGGGCTCATTCCCTGGGAGGAAAAAATGATAAATCTTTTTTAACACACAAAAGTGAAGCATGCAGGTTTTTATGGCTTGTATTAAGTGTTTTCTGGGTGTCTGCCTAATTTTCCAAATCAGATTCAAGTGACTGGGTAAAGTTCAGCCATTTGCAGTGACCAGCCCCTACCCTGGTAATCAAAATGGCAGGCAGCCTCTCGGCCACACCTGAGCTCATGCAACCCAGGAGCAGGCCTCCATGTCAGAGAAGACTGAGCATGGTGGCAGAGGGGCTGACCAGGGCTCTTGGCTGAAGGGTGTAGGACCTCTCTCTGCAGGGAATGGGGTCATCTCTGCAAGGGGTCACTGCAGGCTCAGGGCAGAAGGGTAGAGCCCTGCTAAAAGCCTGGGTTGTCATCCACTGGTTATGTCTGGAATGGTGTGAGGAAGGTATTAAAACATCCAGCTTTCCCCCCCTTTGGTGACATCAGAGTTTGAATTTAAGGCCTTGTGTTTGCCACACCTGGTAGCTCTGATCCTCTCCCTTTGCTCTCCTTTCTTCAGCTAACTGCACAACAGATTGCTGCTCAGAGCCCACAGCAGAAGGTCGCATATGCTGCCCAACCAGCACTTAAAACCCAGTTTTTGACTACACCCATATCACAGGCCCAGAAACTGGCTGGGCCTCAGCAAGTACAGACCCAAATCCAGGTGAGCAGGAGTGGGGTTTGTATGTGCCGTGCAGTCTGTGAATGTGCAGGTTGGGTGCGGGAGGCTACTGGAAGCAGTGAGGGCTAAAGAACAACATTGGAGCCCAGTCTAACCACAGGGTAGAGCCTGTGGTTCTAGCCTTTTCCTGCAGCCTTGACCTCCACAGAGTCCTTGGGTAACATGCCGGTAGCCTTGTGGCATGTAGGGTTGGCTTATGCTGTTGGTGCTGGCTGACCTTCTGGTCCTCAGGTATGTTTGTGAGTCACAGATGAGTCTGCACAGCTGACCACTTGGATGTGTTCAGAGATATAAGGGGAGGCATTGCACATCCAGCTGGTTTCTACAGCAACTATCCCAGTCAGACTACTTCCAGGTGTGGCACCTGAACATGTCTTTATCTGGCAAGTGGGAAGGATATTGGTCTCTAAGTGTTTGTGTTTCTGGGAACTGAGGAGTGTTCAGTATCTTTCGTTGATTTAGCAACTTTGAGATCCTGCTCTGGGAGGTGCCAGAGTTCAGCAGTCTGGACATTGGTTGTCCCAGTGACTTGTCAGTGCATGGATGCTCTTCTTACCTACTGGTGTGTAGATGTGGTCAGGTATGTAAAGGTGCCAGTCTTTGCTGTTCTGGCTGGAGTTCTGGCTAGGCAAGACAGCCTAAGACCTTTCTCAGATCATGGAGTTATATCTTCCCAGGTCACCTTCCAAGGTTGACTGAGTTTGCTCTCAGGTCTTTAATCATCCTGGAGTTAACCTTTGTGTGTAACATAAAAGAAAGGTTCAATTTAGTTTTTCCATGTGAATACCTTGTTCCTTTTAATACTGTATATTAAAAACTGAGTTCTGAGGGTCTGCTCTGACTTTCCAGGCCCTGCCTTATGTTCACACCTTGCCCAGTTCCATTACTTTGGCTTGATAAATGACACCTGGCCTCTGGCAGGCATATTTCTCTATTCCATCCTTTCTCAGGATTGTCCTCATTATTGGTGGCTCTTTACATTTTCATAGTTAATTATAGAGTCAGTTGAGGAAGTTTATAGCCAAGTTCATTCACTGTTGGAATTGTTAGAATTGCATTGCTGTGAGTAGCATTGACACTAGTATAAACCTAGCTTCTGATGCACCCATATAATATATCTTTGGTTACTTAAGCCTTCTCTAGTGCTTTTAAGTTTCTTTTTCATAAAGGTCTCATAAATTGTATCAGGTTTCATAAATCGATTTATGTAATACTTGAGTTCAGCTTTTTTTTTTTTTTTTTGGGTCCGGTCATGGGGCCTGAACTCTGGGCCTGGACTCTGTCCCTCAGCTCTTCAGCTCAAGGCTAATGCTCTACCACTTGTGCCACAGTGCCACTCCGGCTTTTTTCTTTTTGCTTATGTGGTGCTGAGGAATCGAACCCAGGGCCTCATGCATGCAAGGCAAGCGCTCTACCACTGAGCCATCTTCCCAGCCCTTGAGTTCAGCTTTTATAGAGTATGTTTTTAAGTTTCCATCTTCTATTTGTGGCTGTTACATACACATTGATAATCTGTAGTCTTGCTCTCGATGATTATCATTTGAATAGTTTAAAGTCTTTCTTGGTGGATAATTAGAGGAAAGAGTGTCACAGACTTTTCTGCATGGGCTGTCTTTGAACTGCAATCCTCAGATCTCAGCCTGTTGAATAGCTAGGATTGCAGCTGTGAGCCACCAGTGCCTGGTTGGCAGTATTTTGTTTGCTTGTTTGTTGTTTTGTTTTTTTCAGACAAAGTCGTGCTATATGGCCCAGGCTGCCCTTGAACTTCTCTATGGTCTGTCTCCCAAGTGCCGGCTGGGATTCTAGGTGTGCATAAACATCACGCCTGCCAGAGCATTTTTTATTAAAAGAAAAAACACTGTTTAGGGAACATGGCTTAAGTGGTAAAGCACTTGTGAGGCTTGAGTTCAGTCCCCAATACTGCCAACACTTTTGTTTGTTTGTAACACAAGACCAGAAATAAGTTATGGGCGTTCAGTTAGGAGGTACTCAGGTAAGGAGTCCTACTTTTACCAATGCCCCAAAGCTCACCTGAAATGGATTTTTAGTGTCTTAAGCTATTTGTTCACTTCAAAACTATAAAAGAACTGGGTGCTAGTGACTCACTCCAGTAATCCTAACTCCTCAGGAGATTGAGATCTAAGGATCATGGTTCAAAGCCAGCTTGGGTATGACAGTATGTGAGACTCTGGCCCCCATTAAACTACCAAAAAAGCTGAAAGTGGAGCTTTGGCTCAAAGTGGCAGAGTGCTAGTCTTCAGCAAAAAGGTCAAGGACAAAGCCCAGGCTCTCAAGCCCCAGGGACACACACTCTCTCTCTCCCTCTCCCTGTCTCTCTCTCTCTCTCTCTGGTAGGGTTGGGAATGTGTTTTAGTGATAGAGTGCTTGCCCACACACACATACTCTTGTAGGGTTGGGAATGTGTCTTAGTGGTAGAGTGCTTGCCTACACACACACACTCTTGTAGGGTTGGGAATGTGTCTTAGTGGTAGAGTGCTTGCCTAGCATGAATGAAGCCCTGGGTTTGATTAAATACCACATAAGCAGAAAAAGCCAGAAGTGGTGCTGTGGTTCAAGTGGTAGAGTGTTAGCCTTGAGCACAAGAAGCTCAGGGACCGTGCCCAGGTCTAGAGTTCAGGCAAAGATCGATTCCCTTCTCCCCCGCCCCCCACACCAAAAAAAAAGGAAAAGAGAAAAACTTCTGACTCGTGTGTTTACTTCTCTGCTTTATCAAAGGTTGCAAAACTTCCACAAGTTGTCCAGCAACAAACACCTGTGGCCAGCATTCAGCAGGTTGCCTCTGCTTCTCAGCAGGTAGGATGTGGAAAGACATTGTGGCTTAAACAGACACATAGACTTTTTAATAAACTGGACGCTTATTTTGATAGCATTTCTGGTTTTTCATCCTGATTAAAGAATTACTTTTGATTTTCATAATGCATACAAAAGCATCAGCTCTGGGGAAGAAGCAGACATCCTTAACTAGGGAGCAAAGAACTGTCAACAGGGCATTCCAGTGGTCTGCTATGCTGACGCCCTGGCCCATTCCTCATTATGCGGGTACCTTTGGTGGTCCACTTTCCCGGATTCCTGGGAGGGTAAACCTAAAGGAGGACTGTGCTTGCAGTGTAGAGCTGGGACAGATAGGCATGTTGACTGGAGGCAATGGGGCCCTGCCCCAAGGCTTTCTCCTGTTTTTATTTATAGTGCAAAATGTGCTATGTGGTATAACACCTTAAGTTTAAAGCAGTTTCTCCCTAACTTTTTACTTTGTTCAAGTGACACTGGCATATGATTTCAAGAAAGGAAGTAAGGTTCAACCTGCCTCCTGACCCATCCCTGCCATTCTTCCCTGAACTTAATATAGCACTGCTTTGTTCCCTGCTCTGCTCTGTTAGAATCGAGTTGAGGTGGTCTGGTGGCTCTCACTGTCAGAGCAGTATGCTTGCTGGCCAGTGCTCTGGTGATATGTTCCCCTCATCCCCTTCAGGCTTCTCCGCAGACAGTGACCCTCACACAGGCAGCGACAGCAGGGCAGCAGGTGCAGGTGATCCCAGCGGTGACTGCCACAGCCCAGGTGGTGCAGCAGAAGCTCATACAGCAGCAGGTGGTGACCACAGCTTCAGCCCCACTTCAGACCCCTGGGGGTCCAAGCCCAGCACAGGTCCCAGCCAGCTCCGACAGCCCAAGCCAGCAGCCCAAGCTGCAGATGAGAGTTCCTGCCGTGAGATTAAAGACACCCACCAAGCCTCCGTGCCAGTAGGAAGGAAGGCAAGAGAGGCCTTTGCATGGAGAACACCACGCCATTTCTGGGTGCTGGGGTAGCACCCTGCAGAACAGACAGCACTCGGCAGCCACTGTCAGTGCAGAGTTGTGTGAGACTATCTTAACATGTGCGACGCTGCAGGAAGAATGGTCCTATCTGTGTTTGTGACAAGTTGAAAAAGTGACAATGGAGACGTTTCTTTCAGTTTTCCTCCAAGGCAGTGGTGCTTGTTTTGAAAGCCATGTAGAGTTTCTATTAGTACGTAGTATTTAGCACGCTCCAGAAGCCATTGGGCATGTGCAGTGAAGTCATAAAATAGACTCTACTTGCTAAAACCTGGCCTCTGGCACTGTCTGCTGTGGTTTGGGTAGAAGACTCAGCCACCTCCTCAAGGAATGATCGCAGAAGATAACCTGAGACCAGCTTCTCGCTCCATAGGCACCACTGAGGATGTCCCCCCTCGTAATGCATGGTTTAATTCCAACGGGAAATACTTAGTACTGATTCCCACCCAGGTACACCTGGCGTACCCCTGCTCACGTGGAAGGAACCTGTGACTGGATTTTCATTCCAAAGAATGGCCAGTGTGGCTTCTGGCCCTGCCACAGTAGTGGGAGCTTTCACTTGAAGGAGCTTTGGGTCCCATGCCATCTCTGTATGCCACACGTCTCCAGGGAACTTTTGTGAAACTTCTGGTGTGAGGCCCACGGTGGCACATCTTGTTGGGTTGCAGATGTCACACAATGTGTGGCAGTAAGACAACTCAGTGGGATCTGGGAACAGGGTCACGGACCCCTTGCTGTAGCCCTGCCCTGCCCTGTCCTGGCTTGTTCTGGAAAGCATTCTGTCCACGCATTCAGAGGGACCCTATGGGGCCAGCACACCAACTTCTGTTGCATGGTAGCAGCAAACTTGTGGTTCTGCGGGTCAGCTGGAGTGCTGCTGTCCAGCTGGGGCAGGCCTGAGTTGAGGGGGTGTCATGTGTACCTTTTAGGGTTGGGTAGGCCAACTGTGGCTCTTCCCCTTACTGTTCTCACTGAGGAGGTCAGCACCCAACAGCACACATCAGTGTCATGCCACTGCAGCCGCGTAATTGTATCTGCTGTTCCCATTTCATCAAGTCCACACTACAGTATCTTCTGCCTCCGTGGCTTGTGTACGCCAGAATGTGGTGGCATTTTCCAACACTTACCCCAAACTTCCTTTTGAGTTACTGATTTGACATTTGGAAAAAAGCATAAGCCAAGTGTTGCAAAAACAGACTTGACATGTTATTTGTCAGCTGAGCACTGTCTGCTCACAGCAGGCCATAGTCCTCTCCTGGTGTGCTGTACCAGGGAGCATGGTCTCCCCCACACTCTTCAGATCTGGCTCCTCGTGACAGCGTCTGCTTGTCAGTACTGTGCTCATCCTTCTTTGTTCCTCCCACCATGTTGGCAGCCTTTTCTTAGAAGCCAAAAGCTGTATCACTTATTTCAGCAGGCCCTACATGGACTATCTGCCAAAGTTCTCTGCAAGTCTGGAAGAGCAGATTGGGGCTTGCCCCCGAGCAGACTTGGGATTGAGGGCACTTGTGGGCTGGCCTCCTACCCAAGCATCTCCTCTCACTCTGAAGTGTGCCTGCAGCAGGCTCCAATACACAATGCGAGCAGACTTGTTCATACTGTCACTTGGTGACAGCAGCTCCCACCAACCTGAGTGATCTCCTTTCCTGCCTTCCTCCTCTAAGGAAGTATGTATGAGGTTTTCAGAACAGAACATAAATGCAGAATCTAGAACTGCAGACTAACTAACCCCGTGGCAAACAGGACCCAACTAGTCTTAAAGCAAGAGGAAGGCCAGACATTTCTAATGCTCCCTAGGGGTGAGTCAAGTGTGGGACAAGCAGATGCTGGACAGGCAAGGGCTTCCTTTGTGCGGTTGTTTTTGTTCACTTTGTAACGTTAGCTGTTGTGTTTCAGAATATAAGGAACAAGTCTGAATTGTAAATACTTTGTAAACACAAGCATTTGTACTTGAAGAGTAGGATTTTAAAGGGTACTGATGTGTCCTACCAAATGAAAGGCATAATAAAGTGCCCCTTTTTTATACTTCTTTTGTGTTATCTGTAATAAGAGTAGTAGTATTTAAGTTAAAATAAGATTGTGAGCTGAGCCACAAGCTGGTGGCTCACGCCTGTTATCCTAGTTACTCAGGAGGTTGGGATCTGAGGATTGCAGTTCATAGCCATCCTGGATAGGAAGGTCCCGTGAGACTTATCTCCGATGAACCAATAAAAAACTGAAGTGGAGCTGTGGCTCAAAGTGGTAGGGAGCTAGTTTGTCTTGCTGGCTTTGAACCGCAACCCTCAGACCTGTCTCCTGAGTGGCTAGGATTACAGGCAGGCCTGAGCCGCCTGCTTGCTTTGAAGTCAAAGTTGGCTGCTCAGATGGGAAGCCGATCAATGCGTGCCTTATAGGAAGTCAGAGTCCTGGAGGTGGGAAGGGCATGGAGTGCTGTGGGCCTGACGTGGAGGGGGGTGGGAAGGGCAGGGGCGCTAGCCCACATCTAGGGCTAGTGGGAATTTTCCAGATGGTTGGGAGGAAGGGGAAGTCAGGGACTGAGGCAGGAGAATGTCTGGAGCCCTCCCCAAATCCAGGTTCCCAGAGGTAGCCTTGCACCTACTGAGACCTGTTCTTGCAGCTCTTCCGCTCAGACAAAGAAAGGGGTAAGAGTGGGGGTGGGGGGGAGAGTCGTGTGAGTTTGGGGCCAGCTGGAGGCACCTCCAGTAGATGTCCGTCTGTCTGTTCTGGAGCCATAGGTACCTAAGAACATGGCAGAGGGCTCTGCCGCCAACATTTTTCTGTACTGTCTTCATACAAACAAAATTAGTTCCTCTTTAAAAAAAACAAAAAAACTTTAATACCTAAAAAAAGCCTTCTAACAAATGGAGATGGTCAATGACAGAGTCTCTTCATCCCTTCAATATGAGGGTTGTAGGGCAGAACGTGACACCTGTGATGTGAATCACAGAGCACTGCTGACTGCGGACACCTGCTACTATGAAAAGATCTTTGATGTCAGTCTCCCCATACTTTCCAACTGTCCTATCCAGGCTTCAGCCTCATCGGAGTTTATTTCCAGAGGCCAACGGGACCCGAGGCCACACAAATCCCATGACGCTTGCAGGCCTGAGCTGAGGTCCAGGCTGTGCCCTACACAAAGGAAACTGGCGGGAAAGGGGCCGTCCACACTGGCTGCTTCCTCAGAAGTTTCTTCTCACACAGCATCCAGTGCTCAGGGCAGATAGCACTTAACCAGCAGCAGGGTCCCTCCGGTTCCCCAAGTCCCCTGCCTAGATCAACTTGGACTTTTGCTCTTCCTGCAGGAGGTAGAGGAAGTGTTAGTACCTGTCCAGGCTGTCTGCAGGGCCCAACCTAGCATCAAGGAAAAGCAAGAGTGAGCTCAGGCTCACTGAAGAACTCTCTATGGCTTTAAGCGGGCACTGGAGGACACACATCCTCAGGATGAGTCCTGACATCTACTCAAGAGCCTGAGGCTCAGCTGTCCCAGGCCCAGTAGTCCTCACCTTGACAGTCCTCTCCAATTGGGACAGGGCTTCCTGATACCGAGGAACCAGCGGCTGCAAGAGCTCATTGGGGACCTCATTGCAAGTCAGCTCAGGCACCCCAGCTTTTGCCAGCATGCGGAGGAACTTCTTCTCCTGTAAGGAAAGGTTCTCACATGCCAGTTGCAGCCCCCCTAGCACCAGAGATCTCCCCCAGACTCCACTGAGACCCACAAAACCTCACCTGCACTTTCAAGAGCAGGGTGAAGGCCTGTCCAGTTTTTCCAGCTCGAGCTGTTCTCCCAACTCTGAAATCAAACACAGCTGTCTCCAGACAGTGGCCCTGACCCTTCAGAGATCTCACAGAAGGACAGCTCTTTGCTGGCCACACATGGAGCTCTTGGGAGTGTACAAGCTCCGAGTCCCAGAAGCACTGTGCCACTCTCACCTGTGCACGTAGGTCCTCAGGTACTGGGGCGCATCGTAGTTGACCACCAGCTCCACACCCTGCACGTCAATGCCTCGGGCAGTGGCGTCTGTGCTGATGAGGCTGATGGAACACAGCTCTGAGGACTCTGCTAACCAGAAGTGTTACACCCCACTTAAGCCCACCCTTCCTCAGAGAAAGCAAGAAGCTCCAGGCCTTGAGCCATAGAGTTGGGCACAGGAGGCCAATTTCTGGAAGCAATCACCCTTGGGAGAGCCCCACTCCTCCATACAGCAGACTCTGCCCCTGACTGAGTACTCACAGCTGGATCTTGCCCTGCTCAAACTGCTTCAGTATCTTCTTCCTCTGGCTGGGTCCGTAGCAGGAGGAAAACTCAGCCACACTTACACCTCCAAAAGCTTGTACTAGCAGGAAAAGCCTGGGAGAGAAGACGGAGCTAGGTGGTGCCAGGGTCCCAGTCTGCCTCAGCATACATGCTCTAACCTAAGCTTACCTATGGGCATTCTCTCGGGAATTGGTGAAGCAGAGGGTCCTGGACACGTCCGTCCTAAGGACCAGGTGCAGGACTGTAAGTGGCTTGGAGCTAAGTCTGCAAGGCACGTAGTGGTGCTGTGGGGAATAGAAGGGGTGAGGCAGAAGACTGGGGCCTGGTCACCAGCCTGAGCCCCATGGGGAAGGTGTATTCCACTGACCTGGAGCCCCATGGGGAAGGCATACTTCCCCTTGGAGTCCCCGTCCATTGTCATTTCCCCATCCTCAGTGCCCCTCTGAACCACGCCTGTAGAGAAAAGCCGAGGCCGATAGAGGCCAAGCCGCTGCAGTTTCTCAGGATTCTGTGTTAGGGTGGCTGAGAATAACAACTTCTGCAGAGGCATCTGAGGGTAGCAGGTGCTGGAAGACAAGGGGAGTGCTGGCAGGATGAGGCTTCTAGTGCTGTCCTGACTTGCAGGACAACCTTCTGTCAGCACAGCATGCGTTCAGGCACAGACAGGATACCTCTGGGCAGTTACAGCTTGGGGCTGCCTTCTCTGGAGCAGGGCACAGGGGTCTGCAGGGCTCTTGCTGTGGAAAGCTGCTGCCACCACCCGCGGCAGCCAGGACTGGTGCATGCTGTCGATCATTCGGTCAGCCTCATCAATCACCTTTAGAAATCAGGAGCCAGTTAGCTGGGACACTTGCTGAGGCCGGGTCAGCTCAGGGACCAGGCTCCCAGGGTAGGTTACCAGGAAGCGGAGCTGCTGGAGGCTGAATCCTGGAGTCTGATCAATGTGGTCCACCAGGCGGCCAGGTGTGGCCACCACAATGTCAGCCAAGCAGCGGTAGCTATCTGCTCTACAAATCAGAACAACAGAAAGAAGCTGCTTCCAGGGCTTTCTAATAAGCACTACCTGTACCACACACAACACTTCAGTTCACTCTGACCCCAGGAATCCAGCAAGCACACACAGGGCGCCTCTGGAGGAGCCCACCACTGGCATTACGTACATCTTTTGGACAAGGCTCTCTTGTTCTTTAGCCAGCGACTTCTGTCCGGTAACCAGGGCAACACGGAGAGATGTGTTGTCTGTGTAAATGTTGAACACTTTGCTCACCTACAAGAGGTCTCTGTCACTGGCCAAGGTTAAGTGCTGGCCCTACCTTGAACTCTAGTGTAAGTCACTCAGGGACTGAGGTCCACATGTGCCCAGTGGGGTGGCTGGGCACTCCATACTTGGAAGTACGGTTGATATACCTGCTGGGCCAATTCTTTGGTGGGCAGCACAACCAGGGCACGGACGTGGCAAACCACACGATGCAACAGGGCCTGTAGGGAGAGTGGGAAGGAGGGCCATCTGCATAAGTAGGGGTGGCTCTCTGCTTCCTCAGTGGGCAGAGAAGGGGACCCTAGCGCTCACCTGTACAACTGGGATGACAAAGGCCAGAGTCTTCCCACTGCCAGTTGGGGCAGAAACACAGAGGTCGCTGGGCTGGTAACCCCCTCTCCCCACCAGAAACCCACTGACTGCGTTCTCTAGGAGGGCTGGAATCACAGCTGCCTGGACTGGACAACAGCAGGGAAGAGACGGGCCTGGTCAGGTTTACAGCAGGACCAGCCCTACCTCAGGGACCCATTTGCTCAAGGACAGCACCAAGGGCACAAGGAGGGCCTGGCTTGAGAAGCCCAAGTGTTTACACCAGGAGCTCAAGCTGCAGGACACCAAGGCACACCTGATGTTCCATACGGCAGGGACTTCTGCCCCATGGCCAGCAGCCTGGAAGAGGCTGCTCTAGGAGTGTTCCCTGCCTGGCTGCCAGGGGCTGGAGCACCTGGGAAGTAGGAGGAGATGCCATGTGCCCTCAGCTGTTTCTGCAGGTCAGGGTGCACCTCAGGAATGGCCTCAAGTGGAGTAAGATCCTCGGTGACATTCTTCCTGACACAGCTCGGCTCAGCCAGCCACAGTGGCAGGAAAGGCTGGACCTAACCCCAGAAGACAAGAGAGACCAAGAGAATTCTGCCAGTGAGAGCAGCAAAGCAGGCAAGAGCCACAAAAGTCAAGCAAAGAGGCTGGCGGCCCCAAAAGGCCCTGACCAGTCTGACTTCAATCCTCCACCCGTCCAATTTCCATCCCACTTTTCAAATGACATCAACTCAAGCAAGTGTGGCGGCAGAAGGCAGCAGACCCACCCAGAGCACACCACAGGCACCCCAGCACCCCAGAACGAAACTCCGCTGCGGCAACGCTGTTGGTAGCAGTTGTACTGCCTGCTGCCTGGCTGGACACCGGTCCCGGCCTGGTGGTTCCCCCAGGCCCCCGCTCCCAGGGCGCTCTGCAAGCCTTCTCCCCCACTGCCGGCGCCCAGGTGCTAAGTGAGGATGACGCGGAGACCTCTTGCCGTTCCCTCCCCAGCGGCGCTCACCTTGGGCGTCTTGCTCCGGGCGAAGCCTCCCAGGACCGGGCCGGGTCCCGGAAGTCCAGGCGTCCCCTTCAGGGCCCGCCCGTCGAGGGCCGCCTGGGCCTCGTGGCGCTCGCGGCGCGCCCGCGGCGCCGTCTCGCCGTTGCCTGCGAGGCAGGCAGGGCCCGGTGGGGCGTCGTCCCGCCGCGGCCCTGGTCCCC